GTGATAGGAAGGCATTGAATTTTTTTTTAACAACACAGTGTCTTTCTATTTCATTTTAATTATGTAATGCTTACAATATAATTAATGACTATCTGTCTGGATATAGAGTCATTACGCCATCATAAAATTTATTGATTATTTTTATATAGTAATCAATCATTTATAATTATTTTAATGAAATTATCTCTAGAATATTTATTTTTGATTTTTTTTTAGAACAGAAAATAGGGTGGACGGAGAGTTTTTCAATTGAAGCATCAGCGGTAATAACTCCTAAAAGAAAATAATAAAAAAATTATTCTCTTTTATCGTAGTAGCATATGTTTGATAGATTGTGGCGTAGAACATTTTTGTTTTATGTATCATTTGATTGATATACTATAAACAGTTGGAAAAGGCGTCACGAATGGAGCATAGTAGTCTTTGGGGTGATACTACCTAAGCTAAATTATTAATGGCATTATCCTTATACAATAGATTGTACTGACAGCTCATATCTATAAATGGCATTAGTACAAAAAGGATTGATTTAGCTCATCGGATGGTAATTAAATTAAAAAAACGATTATTTGAAATTATAAGAAATCCTTATTGACATTACTACTACTACTACTTAAGTTGATCGTTATTGCTATCATTCTCGATCGATACTATAGCCAGATTGTATAATACCAAGCATTGAATCATAGTTCCCTGATAAACAGGATACTTACAACTACTTTAGGTGGCTTAGTAAAATGATTTTTATGTTCCAATTGATGTTGATCATAAAATATCAAATGTTCAATACAAATACTACCATTTTTGTACTTGACTACTATTTATCATCTCCATTATTTAGCGTACTACTGTAGGCATTTAAGACGACCACTTACCGAGCAAATGTAATTGCTTTACGATAACTTGATCAATTATAATGTGATTATAGATTAAGTATTATTCAAGTCGAATATTAACCACGTATGGATTGTAAGTTGAGATTGGAGATGATAGGCCATCGATCAGCTAGTGAATAGACCGCAGTTACGCCTAACATAGCGATGCTACAGACTATATGATATTAGAATTGATTAATCACATTACGATACGTCTTGTTCGATAATTGTTGAATAAACTATGGAAAATTGTAAGATTAGGAAAACACGCATCTCTTTTCTATTCTATAAACAGTAGTCACTCATTAGCGTTATCGGCTTTAGCGCAATGGATAACATAGCGTTGAAATTGTCTTTCCTAGTAGGACTGCATCGAATACTATTCGTCAATAAATATAATGCTTTGTTTACCAGCGCAGTCTAACATATAATGTGCATATATTGACTTGTCTAGTTCACTTTATTGTAACTTCGATAGGCTATACGCGTATGCCAACTCTGTTGGCAAGTCGATGAGTTTTGTTGCTTCTCTAAATGTAAAAGCAAGAAAGAATATCTGAAAATTTGAATTTGATTTTTGATGGTTGAAAATTTCTATGGTACAGTCTTTATTTGGAAATGGCATTTTAATATAATTTACTATCATTATCGAATTGACACTTTTGCTATTTCGGTTTTATGGGTATTGGTGTATGCGTTGTTATTGTTAATATTGTTGTTGCTGGTATTATCGACGAGATGGGACAATGATGATTTCTTGTAATCATTCATTCACTTGATTTAAAATAGAATATACGCGTACATATGGCGAGCGATATTTTTAATTGTCGAATACGCGGCGCCCGTTCCCCGTTGTAGTAAACATTGTTGACTACCGTATTTTGCACTCATTTGCGCTGGTGCAGCTTTCAATGAATGAATGAATTAAGATGAAACTGACGAAATGCTAGAAAAAACTGGAGTCATGATTTCTTGTCAGCTACGGACGGAAGTAATAGATGGTTGTCCCTTAGTTTACCCTTAATAGCCACTTGATCACTGCCGGAGGTATGGGAAATTGTACTATTTTGCATTTATCAGGGTGAAGGTGAATTAAGACCAGTTTGAAAAGCTTGTCGACTAGCTGGACTACTGCAGTTCATGTTGACAACATGAACTGCAGTCTTGGATTTGCTGCTCATGAAGGATGAGCAGAGCCGCGGGTGCGGTCTTCTCAACACTGGTGTGAAATACCATCGATGGGAGGGTCCCTCTCACTTCTGACCTTAGCAAGTGCCAATTGGTTTCATTCGGACTGAAGTGCAGTACCGTACAGTACGATTCCAACTGCAGTCTACAGTACTGTAGACTGTAGACTGTACAGTACTGTCTAGTTACTGACCATGGACACTTGGACAGGTCACCGCACTTCAGTCAGTACAGTACAGTACTGTACAGTGTACACTGTACTGACAGGTTTTCATGGTCTGGTCAGATCCTGTACTCTGAGTGGGTACAGTACAGTACAGTACAGTACGACAACATGACGTTATATGATGTTCTACTCCGCAAACGGAACGAAACGGTCCAGTACGGTACGGTACGCTGGAGACTCTCTTTTCATAGAGGGTCTCTCCTCTACACTGTAGAGTGCTTGAACAGGTCACAGCACTTCAGTCAGTACAGTGTACAGTACTGTCCTGACAGGTTTTCATGGTCTGGTCAGATCCTGTACTCTGAGTGGGTACAGTACGACAACATGACGTTATATGATGTTCTACTTCGCAAACGGAACGAAACGGAACCACCCAGTACGGTACGGTACGGTACGCTGGAGACTCTCTTCGACTGTACACTGTACAGTGCTTGGACACGTCACAGCACTTGAGCCTTCAGTACCGTCAATCCACCATGTCGATTCAGTACCCCTGCGCATTCACCCGACCTGCCTGCCGATCGTGGCATGCTGACCACGACTCGTCGACTGGTTGTGACCGATGATTGCATCATCCCACCCCGGCAGCAATCTATTTTTAGATCAACCCTCCTTGCCCTACCATATATATTAGGGGCATTGTCCGCTCGTCGTCTCCATATTAGTAGCGACAAAATTCCAAAACAAGTGATTGAAGATAATTGGAAAGGAAGAATTTTCTTTTCATCAAATCCAATTACTCGGGGGCAATTAAGTTAGTTGGTTAATGAGCATCTTGTGGCGGTGGGAACGCCCGGAATAGAACTTTGCAGCCAAGTGGTTAAGTGAACATTTAAAAATACTATTCCTGGAACAAATTGTCCAAGGCTATATAAATAAGCTGTAGTGGCGTGTTGAAATATCAAGGTAAATCCAAATCGATGTTTGCTTGCACATTTGGACTAGCATCACTTTGCCACTTTTTCAACGCACTGTAGACTTTTTCTTGCTTGCACTTGCTTTCCACTTATTCTTTTCCCTCTTATTGCCTATCATCGACCCTTGACTTGCCTCTCTGCCCTCTTATTTTACTTTTTTTTTTTTTTGCCTTCTTTCTCGTCTCTTGTAAACTTGTTGGCCCAAGCAAGTCTGCCTCACCTTTGTAATACGCTCACATTGCCAACATTGCTACACGACTAATTTTGATCATTGATTCCAATCACGATAACGCATCGTCTAGTATAGTACACCGGCGATTCGACGCCTACACATGTCCGATAGTTGAACATCTTTTCATCATAACAACCTTTTTGGTATACTGCCTCAATTATAGTAGTCCATTTTTCTTGTGTGTTTTTTCTTTTTTATGTGTCTACTTCTGTGTTGTTTCCTTCTATTTGTCACTATTATAACTACAGATATTAAGATTGTATTGGAGTAGAGTAAGCTGTTGTTGTTTTTTCTTTTCAATTCTTTTTAATTACAAACTTACTCAATATTCTTACTTTATGATTCATACAAGTTTTTCAATTTGCTAATGCCTTCAAGTTATATTGTACGCACAAGTTGATAGATGCAGTATTAACAAGTTGATATACCCCTCCTATTTTTTTGGTTTTTGGGGGATTGGACGCGCGTAGACAGTTGCTACAGATTAGTCAACGTCTTAAAAAGATCAACACTACACCCACATTCTATCATATCCTTTGGCGTAGACTGAGGGAAACTTACCCGAGTTTCCTTGACAGCTTACCTTAACTAAATAGTCGAGTTGAATAGTCCACTTACAGATTGGATTCTTCAACCGATTGCTACCTTCTTTTTTAATTAATTCTTTCCGTCTTATTTTGTTCAGCAGGGTACTTTTTTTCCCCTCTCTCTACTGTACGTCTATACTTTCCTGTATATCTGTAGGATTGCAACAATTTATTTATTTATCCTTTCATTGAATATTTCTATTCTGTTGACGTTGTACTGTACACTATACTGCACAGTATTGTGTGATCGGTACTGTATTTTTCTACGGTACAGTAATCTACTGACATCGAGAATCGGTCGTCAACTATTTCAGTTGTCGCTCGCTACAATTGGAAAGGCTGGACCTTTCAGCTTATTATTCCTATCGCCTGCCTAGTGCAGGATTGAATGACACACCGATCGTCTACGACGACGGCTTGATGGATCGTAAAGTAGATCGATACTCACGTTCTTGCCTTCCTTTCAGTTATTATCAAGGTAGTACTCGTAATTGTAATCCGCAAGAAGAGAAATTACTGGATAGAAGTGATCTTCGTGGAGAAATCAGTGGCTCTACTCAATTAGAAATACTTGCCAACGAATCATCGATCGATTTAGCCTCGTATTTCGTCACTGCCAACGTAACTAATATTCATCAACCCAAATCCAATCTTGCTGACGAAGATTTACTATTTCGATTGGTATCAGAATCACCTGCTGATCCTACAATCACTACGGTTGTTAACTCATTTTCTTCTACTACCTGTGCTAATCCTGCAACTGCAAGTATGGTCAATAATTATAAGAATTTATCCTTAAAAAGTTACGACGATACCAATGTTGTTACAACTAGTACCACAACATCGACTACAGCTGGTGCCATGTCGACTATGACAAACATAGTGGCCAGCGATCACAACACAAGGCAATCAGCAGCAATTACACCTGATGAAGATATAGATCTACTAACAGAATCTTTAGACGCTGGCAGCGGTAGTAACAGTAGGAAATCATTGAATAAATACAGTGATGAATACCGTCGTAAGCGTGAACGCAATAATGAAGCGGTACGAAAGAGCCGCAAGAAGACGAAGCTAAAATCGATGGAAACCCAAGAAAGGGTCATGCAATTAAGCATGGAGAATGAAGAATTAAAGACAAAGTTATCACTATTAACAAAAGAATTATCCGTCTTGAAAAGCTTATTTGTCAATTCTGGTGTCGTCTCTGCTGGTAACCTGACCGACTTCTCATCCAATAAACTGGATAATACATCTACCACGACAACAATGACTATGATAACCAGTGCAAGTACTAATAGCCTATCCACGAGGAATCAATTTGGATCAAGTCCTTCACCCTTTACATTGCCTTAAAGCACAGATAGAATTATGATTGGACGCTCTTACTATTTATCTGTCGTTGTCAAGAATGAATCAATTTCAATCTAGCTGGCAAATTTTGGATAGCCCTACGATATAGGGTCTATACCGCCTTAGACTGGTGCGTTCAGTATTATTACGATGATTTCAGCTTCGAAAAAAAAATACTTTTGTTAGTTATAGTATAATTCTCAGCTTGATTTCATTGCAACGACTCTATAGTAGATGATTTTATGAAATAAATAATAATGATAATAGTAATAGTAGTATTTATTGACGGACTGCTACCCTTCACTACTGGCGAGATCCATCTTGAATTGAAGTGTAGAGAATAGCTTAAATACTGTAATGATTCTGAATACTTACCGAGTTAAACTTATCTTTTTTAAACGTTATTATTAGAATGCTGTCATGTTTGCTCATAATTTTACGATGTTCGTCTGTCTCTTGATTTAGTCTGCTGATTGTGTACTCATAGCATTACTATGATAGTAGGACTAATTAAGAAAAGCTACGGTCACGTTGTAAGAGAAAGTCATACAGTAATATTGACATCGTGTCTACCCGTCTATATGTACGGTAGGAAAGGTTATTAGATATTCACGTGCAGCGCAAGTGCTTGTAATTCTTCTGTGCTATATGACGTGGGATTGATATTATATTATTTATTATGGAAAGGTTACAAGATATGTTGCTTGATTTTATTTTCATGGTAATGTTGACTATGAAGATGAGTACATTGTAATTGTAATGGCAGTTACTTTTCAATCATCGTATCTTTTATTCATTGAAAGTTAAAAAGGCTGTGGCTTACAGTACAGCGCTATAACAATATAGCAATGTGATAAACTTGTATTTTTAAGTTATGAGTAATAGATTAGTTGGCCTGCCAGCAGAACTAGCCCTTATACAGTACCGTACTATCATAAAGCATAAATAATAATTTTTAACCTTAAACTATCAAACTCAACAATCCTAAATTACTGTAATTTCAATTTCAATCCTTCATGTTAATTCATTTTAAAATTCTAAAAATAAAGTTATAATACCTATAATTGACTTTAAAAATGTAAACTGTTTTAAAAATTGCGTGCCAGACTGAGTTGAACCGACCGTTGGGGATCCCTAATTATATCTAAAATACGACGAATTCCTTCCTTCAAAAGTAGTAGTAGGCGTAAAGTTTTACTATCACTGCATTTTGACACAACACATTGATAAATTATCGTCTTATTATCGATTTGTTGTATAAACTGGAGTAATTAAGATGATATAGAGATTTGCTTCCAGAAAAGATGGTATCTTTTATTATTATAACGTTAAAAAATACTTGACCCTCACAAATAAACTGTCTAATCGTTATCATACAACGGATGGCGAGCGTAATTACTCGTTATCACATATAATCAAGTTATAACTATTCGCTACTACGCCACACAAGAAGTGCAAACCAATGCAATAAAATTAAATCAGTCAATCAAAACATAAAATATAACAATTGCCTTCTATAAAAGTAGAATAAGTAACCTCTACGCTGTAGTACAACTTTACAAGAACCGCAGTACAAAACAAACGTGTACAAATAAGGTACTCAAATGACAAGATTAAATACAGAAAGGAAGCTATTCTCTTGTTCAACATTTGTTTTCATTCATTAACCACGCATATACTTATCAATAGAGTAGTCATATCATCAAATTGGTTACCTTATTCATGCTGTATGTTGTGTAAGAACAATGCTACTAGATCTACAATTTTAACCATTATACGTTAACACAGTTACAGTATGTCAACCGTATTGTCAACAAAACTACTGTATAGCATATAATATAATGATAGCCTCACAACAATTTGCTTATATTTAGTAATACGCGTAGTACGATAAAGAACAGTATGTAAGATAAGTGCATATTAATAGTAAGATAAATACGTAGAAGATGGGGTAAAGTCATCGTCTGCATAATTAGTCAAGGCAGCAATACCACGCTCTAATGGCTAATTAATAAACAGCTTGTGTTTCCCCATCTTATCAATATTCTAGTACAAATACGCTTTATAAAGCCAAGCCATAGATTGCACTTTGCAGTTTCTATGCGTCAAACACCAGCATTTTCACCGGTATTTCCACCAGGCCACGTTCCGACGTCATTGTAGTACTGTTCATAATCCGTTTTAACTGCCTTAATCTCTTGAATTAGCTTACCACATAAGACTAAAACTGCCAACTAAGGCAAAAAATATCCCAAATTCAAATAAGCATTTATTATTGTAGTAATTAACTATAAACTATATCGATCAAGTGATTTCAAAATAATAAATCGACATTTTGTATTTCTCTACCTGAATTAAGCATAATCCAAACCCAATTCCAATGAACCAATATAGGTTATTCCTAATTAATGCCTTGACGGAATCAGTACAGCCGTTAGTATAAATCCTAGTTCTGGCTTGAAGTTGCTGTACGGAAAATAGATAAAACGATTTAGACTTGAGAGGGAATTGAACATATTAAAAATAGGTTATATAAGATTAAAGTATTAGGCGTAAGAGTTACAAAGTATATAACCAATATCTTAAAGTGTGAAATGTCTTAGACGATGTCAGTTGTAAGCTTACTGTTAGTCTTCTACTTCCATAGCCGCACTGCGAATTAATAGAACCCTATTATAAAAATCCACCAAAGGTAAGTTTTGAACTGAACCGATGTAATATGTCGTATATAAAGAATGTTCTACAAATGAAAGATAAATTTCTATAATTATCATACTAACCGATATAGTATAATTAATACAGCATGAGTAGGGTACGCCACAACTCTCTGGTCCAGGGCTAGTACAGTTGAAGTAGATGTTAAACTCCCAATCATTGTAATTAGCGCCACCACAACATTTTAGCTATATTTTACAATGATATAGGTGAGATAAAGAAGAGGCCAATCGATATCGCAAGAACTAATTTTGTTTGTACAGTGTAGTATTAGCTGTCGGTAAATAAATTATCCTTTGCTACGTTTATCTTAATATCCAGTATATGCTGTATACCCAAGGAGAGCATTCCTAAAATTTTCAGGATTCAAACGATGAGCAACTTACACTTGTTTGGATATAGTTAATTAATCGTTCCAAGTCAGCATTGGCTCTGTAGTCTGTGATTGAACTTCTAACGGCAGTATTGGCTAAATTCGTGGCCTGAATTATAATAGAAGCGTAGACGCAAATATTTCACCGACAAATTGAAAGCTTGACTCGAGTCGTCTTTTCTTTTACAATTTTACTGATAGTAGTAGCGAATACTAATAACTTAAAGATTGTAAAACTTCATAAACCGATTTACTAGTTGACAGCAGTGAATAAAATTACACTGAGTCATTGGTAAAGTATAGTAATGACCGCGAAGATTACTTCCGATAAATTTGATCATCATATCGGTCAAGCAGTAACATACTAGTTGTAAAGATAGAAAACAACATACAGTTTAGTCTGTAGAAAATCATGTAATCATTTGCAACAGCAAAGTATAGTCGTTTAGTACTTATATTCTATCATGTTGATAGCGAAATAAACTATGTGCGGTAATAGCTACCGAAGTTTTTAGTATAGGATCTGGTACAGTGTTTGCAATCTTACCTCCTGTGATAAGACATAAGCCAGAATTGGAGCTACAATTTGCAGTATGAGAATAATAGTAGCCGATACTAGAAACTAACGATAAGAGAGGAAAAGGAGAATACATCATCAATTTTAAGCTATTATGAATTGATTATTGATGGCACAATTACTCCTATAAGTAGCTTGACAGGATAAGATTAATGAGATTAAACTAAATCAATGTGGGGTTTGCTAAATGATTGAATAGCAATCTAGCCTTCCTATGAATTGTTATTGTATTGATTGCGATGTTATTTATACCGTATACAGCATGCAAAGATTTTCTCTTAAAGCACCAACACAGCCTAAGAAACCCATAATAAAGCCCATCAAGCCCATTACAATCAAGATGATGGCAGGTCCAGATGTCCAGTTTGCGATTTGTGAATTTACTTTACCATTGGCAGTAGTAGGGCGTAGATTGGCAGATTGCACTTCGGCCCAAATGCCAATGCCTAACGAAATGCATCCTATCAACTGATGGAGAATTTATAGTTCAATAATAAATCTATCGAATGAGTACAGCACAGAATTGAACATTGTTCATTAGGATGGAGGTATTTTAAAGGTAATAAACGATCAACAAGTAGCACAGTGATAATAATTGGCTTGTGTCGCTGTCGTCATTCCATTACAGTCTACATGTAGTGTAGCAGCTCTACATGAGCATCCATTCTTACATGTTGAATGTTTAGCGCATATAGTGTTGGTCATCTCTAAATAAGATTTACTACTATTCTGTAATACAGTATACGCTTTAATACGATCGATTTAATCTGCATTGTACATTTTACTATGATTCCATTGGTGCCTTGCTTTCACGAAAGTACTGTTTACGTATCTTGATACCAACTGTTTATATTGACCACATCGTCAGGTAAACCATCAGGACAATGTTGTCCATAGGTTGTACTTCAGACTTACTACACTAATAAAGTTGCGTAAAAATGATCGTGTTTATTATGCATTGAACGCTGTATAGAATAGTCTATCATATCATTTACCCATGTTAACAAGCAGACAATAAAGAAAGGAACTCGAATCCAAGCGCTAATCTCGGTCGGTTCGAATTTGTACCATTTTTTCTTATGGCGCTGTCGGCGTTTATTTGTAGTCTCGATGGAAGGCATTATTGCTCAGTCCTTCTTAAGTCGTCGGCCTTTGGCCTTGATAACGGCTGCAATCAAGCAGCAACTTTTCTTCAAGTCAGTCAATGAATCGAACAAGCGTTCACGGATTCAGTTTAGGGCGTTGGAAGTTTTTTTTCTGAGCAAGAAAGTCAATGAAGGCCTCCAGTAGTGGAATGCCGGAAAAGGCGACAACACAAAACTGTCCACAGTCTACAGTACTGTAATGTACAGACTGTACTGTAGACGGTAGAGATAGTACTACACAGTACAGTATGTACTGTACCGTACAACAAAAACACTAACATACAGTACAGTACAGGGTACATTGTACAGTACTGTACTGTACAGTACACTAACATACAGTACTGTACAGTATGTACTGTACTGTACAGTACAGGTTACAGATTACAGTACTGTACTGTACTGTACTGTACTGTACGTACTGCCGCGATACTGTATGTACTGTACAGTACGGCACAGTCTGCGCTTGCTTGCTGTGTTTTCCTTTGAATCCAATACGGAGTCAATAGAGAGCCTAGTGTGAACCTTTTTATGAACGGTCCTTTATACTTATACCGCAAAGAAGAAAAATAAGAAAGAGCTTGAAGTGAATTCAAATGAATGTTATTAGTTAACATTCACCAAGGGATACGTTGGAACCAATGTAGCAAAAGAGTACACAACTACAGTACTGTAAAAGAGTAGGCATGACGGATGATCCGTCAGTCTGTCAGTAGACTGGAACCAAATGTACAGTGTACACTATTGTACAATGTACAGTACCCTGTACTGTACAGTACAATATGTACAGTAGCAAAAGACTACACAACTACACCACAGTGTTCAGTTCAAGTTTGCGCGACATCACTTGAAGATTGTGTGACATCATTTCTGTAGTGTACTGTATCACCAGTTGTTACGGCGTATTGCGCTGAGCCTTGTGAGCCACCGTAGTTCAGTCTGCAGTATACTGTACTATACAGTACTTTCTAGTGTACTGTACTGTACAGTACGCGACACTACTGTGGCCTGTGGGCCAACGAACTACTGTACTGGAAGAGTAGGCTTGACGGATCATCCGTCAGTCGGTCAGTAGACTGGAACCAATGTAGCAAAAGAGTACAACTACACCACAGTGTACAGTCTACAGTATACTGTACTTTACAGTGTGCAGTACAAAACGCGACACTACTGTACTGTACCGTCTGTACGCCAGCGAACTACTGGAGAAGACTAGGCATGACGGATGATCCGTCAGTCTGTCAGTAGATTGGAAGCAATGTAGCAAAGTAGCACTATCCAGAACTACAGTACTGTACGGTACAGTACGCGACACTACTGTACAGTACGCCAGCGAACTACTGGAAGAGTAGGCTTGACTGATCATCCGTCAGTCTGTCAGTAGACTGGGAGCTGGGACTGTCCACAGTGTCCAGCAGTCAGGACAGTGTTCTGCGCCTGCGTCAATCCTGGACATGATTCGACGTCAAGAAAAGACTGCTGGAAGGTGATCAAATCAAGCGCAATCACAACCTTGTCAATGGTAGTGGACACTATAGGCAACTGGATTATCTACATCACTTTTATGGTCGTAATAATAGTTAGAGTTAATAACAGTAGTGCAAATTTCATCCCATTGGATGCCTGGTCTAGTCTAAGCGATCTAATGATAGCTAATCTTACATTGATCCATTAGCCAAGCTATCTTGCCTACTTCTCCTACATTGGTCAACATTCTACTGTAGTTATTACTTTCATCAGCGGATAGACCAACTCTTCCTGCGTGCTATCAACCATCAGCTTGATTCAATGGAGGATCAACCTGCTCATCCACCTCAGCCTCAGGAGGTAATTTCATCTACTACATACCAATAGATAGAATAATATGTGAAAATACTATATGAAAAATGAGTAAAAGGACCTCAAATCGATCAATCCTTCTCATAATTGCCTACTTAGAACAATAACGTCAAGAATCACTTTATTTTTAAATTTGTAAATATACAATCTAGCCTGAAAATGAATCAGCTCCAGTTGAAGGAATCGATGAGCCAGTCTTATACTGCATTTGCAAACAACCGGATGATGGTAAAAGATTGATGATGTAAGTACCATACATATTATCAATATATTGACTAATAACCTTCAAAGTATTATCAACGTTAAAATAATACGGTAATCTAGATAATCGTAAATGACGAGGGTACTATAGGTGGTATCAATTCGTTGGGGGTAATGTTATAATGAATGATACAGTTATCAAGATAATCGTAAATGACGAGAGTACTATAGATGGTATTAATAGATTGACTGCGATGGTGATCTTGGAGATAGTGTTAAAATCAAACGGTTATCATGTAATCACACTACAGTGTGTTGATGCCAATCATTGATGTCTGTCATCGTTAACGATGTTAGCCTACTAGGAAAAGAATTGTGATTTGACATGACTAGCAATTGTAGCTTGAACACATACTGTACATGAGGAGATGGCATCCTGTGCAACAGAGTAACAACAAAATTACCAGTAGCAATCGGCATAGAATGAAATACCATGGCTTACGTTTACTATACAAGTACTTGACAATTATAATCATTAGAATTCCAGTGATCAAGATAGAGTTATGATATAGCATCGGTACAAGAGTGTATCAAGTAACTATACTATACAGTTATCACTATCATCTCAAACTCACCTTTTTTAAACAGATGCTGCGATGGTTGTGACGAATGGTTCCATGGTGATTGCGTTGGTATTAAAAATGAAGATGCTAACATGATTAAAAAATTTTACTGTCCTAATTGTATAGGTAAGTTCATGATTAATGTAAAATGGTAAAACTACCTTTCAATTTTAGTAATCATCTATTTTGTAGTCAACCTGTATTACATCGTATCATCTCCGATGATACATCACTTGCTTGATGCACTAATGATGTCATTACTATATATATTGTAGTATTGATAAGCTGTATTCGCCCTGAATCAATATCAATCTTCTGCATTAACTTACTAATACCAATGTGATTCTAATTTACAATCAATATGCCTAGCTTTAAGTCACCTCTTGAGATATCATTGTAATGTACTATATTGTTACATAGTGCTATAAGCTGACATAGTGCTGACTAAATTTTAATCTAAAAACTAAAGCTCTTATACTGTTCTAGTCCACAATTTTTCTATCAACTAATACCATTCCTAAAAGTACATCACTAGCTTGATACATCAACAATACTATTAAATAATAATACTATACTCGTATTATTGCTAAGTGAAAGTTAATCTTAACAAATTTCACTTCTAACAGCAAAGTTTCAGTGATATTAAACCCTCTTGATATCTGTACCATATCCACTAAAGTAAAATGAAATTATTTTTCATATTTTCATAACTGAAGAGAAAAATAATGAATTACGTACAACTTATAAATCGAAAAAAAAGAGAGAAGATCGTCATCAAGAAGAAAAGAGACAAAAAGTAATAATAAAGATAATATATATAGCTATAGAAAGTTCAAGTTATACAGCAAATGAGTTCCTTTTAAGAATTTATATATTTCGATTTTAACTATGGAATAGCAACCACCACAATGATAAATTATTTTTAACTAAAAATAGCGTTCCATTCGAGCTTGTGGAAAATGCGATGCTTGTACAAGAACGGAAGATTGTGGCAAATGCAAATTTTGCTTGGTATAGCATGTTAATTCTATAGCTTGTCATAAAGATATTGTAAAACGTTTAACTTACGCTAAAATATCACAATAAAGTATCTATGCTTCAATTAGCATTGTTAATACTGTAATTCTTAAATACTGTAGGATATGCCAAAATTTGGAGGTCCTAAAAGACTTCGGCAGAAATGTATGTTACGCCAGTGCAAATTTTATTCACGATTGGTAAGTCCCTTACGTCATTTGTTTTCTTAATGTACACAGGCTGGTGCATAATTTTGAACATTTGCCTTGCGCAATAGAAATACGAATTTTGTTACAAATTGCTTGTCATTAGCTCATTCTACTTTTTTATTATATTTTAGTCGAACGGATCTATCAATGTTAGCGCTACTTCACAGCCTGCGCCTACTTCTCCTACTTTAACAACACCTACTGATGAAGATAAAGGAAAGATATCAAACATGGTAAGCACTCTGGCATTATCAGCATTACAGGATTATCAACTACTTTTACAAGAATAAGTTTATTTTCGATATTAATCTTATAAAATAGGATTTAACGGTTCCAGCACAAGACGAAACGACTATTGCTAATAAAGTTTCTGAAAAAGATGAAACTTCAGCTGCAACAGCGCAAACCCCTAAAGCATCCAAAAAATCAAGTAAACAGCGTAGCCTTAAAGTTAAACAGTTAAAAAAGAGCAAAAGAGAGGAACAGAGTGAAGTTAGTTGATATTGATAATAATATTGTTCATTTTGTACTCTACTTTTAAGTTTTGTATAATTCTTTTTGTAGAAGAAAACACGTAAAGGAAAGGAACATCAATCAAAGAGTCGGAAAAGAAAACGAGATGAGGGCAAACAAATCAAAGATGAGGATACGCAAGTTGAAATTATTGAGAAGAGAGAATTGATACAATGTATTGGCATCGGTTGCGTCAATGCTGCAAGGCTGTCTTCAAAATATTGTAGCAATGAATGCGGTTTAAAACTGGCTAAAGAGTTAGTTTTAAATTAATTCATAATTACTTTAGTAATCCATTGAATTACGTATTGATTTATTTGCAACTAGGCGTATTCTTCGAGTCTTACCGAATAAAATTAAGACTTTGAGAACTCAAGGCCTTACCGCTGATATTCAGGGTGAATTAAAAATAAAGGAGTTAGAAAGAAAACGAAAAGTAAGTTAAACATGCCAACTGTACGTTAGAGTGAATACAAAATGTAGCTGACCAAATACTTTTAATGTATTATTCATACTTCAATATAAATCTTGCAGATTGCTGAAAAAAGGTTAGCAGAGTTAGATGAAATGTCTGCGAAATTAGACCATTTCGTTAATTGGACTAAAATGTCATCTGCTTCATTAGAACCCGATGTAGGTTATTGTTGCTAAAACTTTGTTATTATATATTTGTTACATACGCGTAATTATGATTTACAATTTGCATTTAGGCCAATGAAGATGGCAATGAAGATACTGATTTACAAATTTATTGCGTTACATGTGGACATTCTATTCCTCCACGTAATGCTATCAAACATATGGAAAAGTGCTATATCAAGGTAAAATCGAATTTCTTTAATATATTATAAATTTTAAATTGACGTCCGAAATAATCTTAATTTTGTGTGCCTATATACAGGAAGAAAGTTTGACATCGTATGGATCAAAGTATGCTACTAATGTAGGACCAAATGAGTAAGTAGGACTAATACTTTATTATTGGTTTTAATATGACATATCTTGATACATAATATTGAGAACGTCACTACTTTTTTCGGTGAATTAAAAGAAGAATTAAATCTACTATAAATTGTTTACAAGGGTGTCATTATTCTGCGATGAATATAACGCACAACAAGGAACATACTGCAAGCGTTTACGCGTATTGTGTGCAGAACATACTAAAGAGCCAAAGGTTGAAGATTACCTGTATTGGAAAATTTTTCAAACTGATTTGATAGCTACAGTATATCGTAGTAGTGGATACAGTTCTTTGGACTTTAAAGCAATCTAATAACAATGAATTAAGCTAATATCCTTTTATGCATAACTTATACTTAGATACCTGCGAATGAAGTGTGTGGATGTCCATTAACCCGAAATGTGTTTGAAGAAACTGATGATTTTTGTAGAGTAAGAAAGCGCTCTTGCATAAAACATTATCGTTGGGAGAGACTGCAAAGAGCTAACATTGATAGAGAACGGATTCAGCAGGTACCCAAACTGTTATATCCTTAATAAAATTTTGCCTAGTTAACAATGCCCAATAGCACGAATGGTGTAAATATTTTTATTGTGCAATTATCAAAATTTTTACTTTCTATTTTTATCAGTGTCTATTAATTGAAGAAACATATGAACAAATACGAATTATACAAACTGCTAAAGAAGGCAGACGAGGACTACTGGGAATTATGCTACATGAAACTAAGGCTTATTAATCTACTAATCCACCATAACCAAATTTATAATTCAGTTAAATGGTAACTATTTATGTCCATATCTAGAGTTATGTAAAGTGATCATCAGCTCAAACCTTGATAAATTAGCGATATCATTTACTTTATAAGTTGCTCATCAAGCACTGACTCACTGTATCTATAATTTCGAATGAACACCTATCAAATTAGTGTTTTCCTATATTTATTTCCTTTAAAAATTTAATAATTTCTAAGTTACATTAGTAGATTGTGTTTCCTTTAAAATAACATAAATACCTTTTATTTTACTTTATTCTTTCTAATTATTACTGAACTATATCAATCTATTTCAATCCGACAATGAAAATTGATAAATTTTTCGAATGATGACTTCATAAGTATCTTAATATACTGTTGCTTTTTGTTTCGTTTTTACGCAAATACCTTCACTGCTGTACTGTACTTTGTTCAAGGTAGTTTTATCATTGGTGTACTAATTATTCATTTTTATGATAATCTTAAGCAATTACAGTACTTTGAAAATCGAATATTCTATTCCATAATGTCTTATTAATATATGGAATAATAAAACAGAAAAATCTATTTAAACAATATATTGTGATTTATTATTATGTACAGTTGCTTGTAATTCGTTTTGTGCCATTTGCAATTGTACTCGATGTAGCCATCTTTTTAGTACTGTTTGATTATCGGTAATATTGTCCTTACTAGTACATTCTTGTAAATGACGTAGGCGATCAATTCTATTTGCCTGATTACAATTTTCGCTTAAAAATGATATCCAAGATGGGAAATATTCATGAAATATAAATGAGTTACATTCTTTCAAGCTTTCCACAGTAGTAAAAAATTGACCAATAACGTGCACATGTAAATCGTGTATTTCCGATACTACCTGCAACAGTGCCGAAGTGACTTCTTGCCAAAAGTCAATTAAAATTGGTATAACACTAGTACTTGAAAATTCACTAAATTGCCACCGACTATTCATATACTGTTCGCAGTAGACCGTCCATAATTGGCATAATATAAGAATAGGTGGTATTGCTGATAAATATTCCGATGACTCACGTCCTTTCGATGCAATAGAATTGAACACATTTAGTACACGCTCAATAACAACAATATCTGAAGGTAAAAACGGTGTATAAATCGATGATGTAGTTGACGACTCAACGTAATGATGCAGACTGCCAACGAGCAACCAACATACTATCCTAACTTGGGAGACACATTCCTGTAACTGAAAACGTGTTGGTTGTGATTGCCTTTGATGAAACCAAGGCATTAATCTTGTTATATATTTTAAATCACGGTTATTATTGTTATTGTTATTATTATTAGTTATTTCAAATGCAATAATTTTAGCGATCATAATTTTTAGGTTACCAATAACGGAGCTCTTACTCGTTACTAAATCTTCAAATCTTACACTAACATCTCCACTGCCAAGAAATTCAACTGCTTCAGGTAGGTACTGTCGGAATAATTCTAGCGCATTCGATTGTGATCCTTGATATGTTGTTGATGATGTATCAATAAAATTTAAATCTGTATTGCCTTCAACAGTATCTAAAAATACTAACTGAGCTAGTTTAACAAAGTTATCGGCAGGTAATATAATTCTGGACTTTAATGCATGAACAAGTTCTGTCACTGCACAACGTGTAAAATAAAGTTTCTCTCTTTCCTTTGCAAATGACCAATAGCACTGAATACACAGTTCAGTAAATGATGCAGTAGAAAACGGTACATTGCGCAGAGCTACTGCAAAGCAATGGCCCATACTTTGTAATAGATTTTTACTATTAGTTGGTAATTTAAATATGGCTACCATAATGCGCGCTAATGGAGCCCCATCTTGTAAGCCCTTAATAAATATAGGTAATTTTTTAAAGAATGTATCTAAATGCGATATTACATTCTGCCATGCAAAGTGTGCTTCATTTGATAGATTATCCATGTAATTGGCGAGATTATCCAGTATAATTTTCATTTCACGATTGGTTATTTTGTTATTGTTAATATACTCGAATAACTTATATAATGGCTCCATTTGATCGAATTCACTAAAGTCGCTCAGTAATTTAGCCATAGCTGGCAAAAATTGATCATCGCTAATATGACTTTTAAATAATTGTGGAAATATACCATGCGGTAAATATTGTAATAAGATACATTTGAAGACCTGAGTTGAAACTTTCGACAAATGATCTGGATTGTCGCATACGAAAGTATCATTATGATGCAATAGCGTGCCTTTTCTGGACGTAATCCTGGCGATACATCTTAATATACGTAATAATTGAGGTGCTGCCATTTCCGGATAACGATAGACAAAGGTGGATAGTACTAATATACCAAGACAAATATTTTCTTGATCATAAGCGCTAATTAATTCACCACATTTGATGCATTTGGTTATATCAAATATTCTATTTTCGATATCATCTAAACGACTATTATGAGATGGATTATAGGTCAGATTAGATTGCGGTACGCTTGCTGATATATTCCTTTTCTTTATTTTGCGATTGGATTGTGTAATGGCATCATCAATGATATCGTAATCATTGTTGTTTTGGTGCTCGTTAACGTGGAGTGGATTGCTATCATTATCATTATCAAAATCATCGTTATCATTGACATCATCAATTATTTCAGGTAATGGCTCTTCTTCGAATGAGCGCTCTCGTCGAAGAGTTCCACGAGCTCTACCACTAGTCCTAGCAATATCGCGATTTGATTGACTATCAGATTGTTGTTGTACTTCTATTTCGGTATTCATTTCCAATTTTTCGGCCAATGTCGAATGAACACTACGCTCATCGATTTCAGTCGATGTATTCACTACAGTGGTTTGCACACCTAATTGATTATCTCCCGTATCAATTACATTTAACTTGGTTAACATTTTCCTTTTAATACTATTACGTTGTTCACATAATGATATCGACTGACAATAACTGAAATCGTTCTTACTTGAAATGCGATGCCTTATAAAACTACCGTTATTTTTAGCTCCATGATGGCATAAATGATGTGCAGTTTCAATCATTTGGGTTGTTAATTCCATCAATTTGCATATTACTGCCGATACATCTTTTAAGTTATACTTGTATAGCAAAATTAGCAAAGTCATAAACCAATTTTGACGATCAAATTGTGATAAAGCTAACAGGGTATATTGCTCCGTATCTTGAACGTATGTACAATAGTGTAGCACAGATACGATGAAAGTAATTAATTTCTTGCCTTGAGTAAGACAGGTATCCAACATTAATGGAGCTTCTACTAAAAACGCTTTATAAATTAGCGACGATCTCAACTTGGAAGATGATAAGTTAAATATTTGTGTAACATGGTTATAACCCATTAGACGTTGAATGCAAAGAAATATTTTCATGTGATATTGACTGTTGTCGTTATTATTGCCTATTTTAGAATTAGTCGATGATGATCGACGTAAATACTGCATAAATAACTCAATTAGACGATACATGGTTTCATTTCTCATATCATCAGGATCAATATCATTTACAACCGACAATTGAGATGGTATTGCTGTCGTGCTCTTATGACTCGTTGAATCAATAACAACTCCATCAATGGAACTTGAACTATCAGTGATCGAAAAATTATCAGCAGCAACTGTAACATCGAATGAATTAGACGAAATAATTGAACTACAACGCCTAGTTGATGAACGGCGACCACTACTTGACCGACGTAAACTAGATGAAACTTTAAAAGGATTATAACTGGATAGATCGGATGATTTCTTGAATCTATTCTTAGATGTTGTAGTTAAGCTGAGTTTACTACTAACATTCTGATGCTGATATGTGGTAGGATCCAACGATAAATAAGGAAATCGTTGACGATCGTTGATGTCTAATCCCACAGGTAAGACATCAAACCATAATAGGAACAAATCATAACGTAAAACCTGTATTCGAGGTAAGCATTTTTGTAATTGTTCAAGTCGAAAAAGTAATTTTGGACGATCATCAGGATAGTTTATATACTGATGATGGAAACATAACTTTGCAACTTCGATACAAGATAATTTGATATTTTTAAAACCAATGGATGCAAGAATACGAACTTGCGGTGATTGATCAGATAAGCCTGATATTAGCACCGAAAACGTGTGTGCCAATGTTGATTGTAACGGAGGATATCCAAGTATTTCTTTAACTTCAATAAAATTAATCATAGTAAATAGTTTAGTGATAGCATTATAACGATCGGACCAGTTATGACTATCGAGTGAGTCAGTAATAATAGTTTTAAAAGCGTTGCTAATCTGTCGACATGACAAACAGTGGATAAACAAAGTGCCGCATGCTTGTGCAACTTGACAGGAATCAAATCGAAGCAATGACCATAAATTTGGCAGCAGGAATTTAATAATTAGGTCACGAACTGGAGCACTACTTTTAAACTGAGAAATAAATTCGCTTGGAGGTAATAATAATTTAATACACTGTAATTGATAATATATAATTGCGGAATTTTTACATATTTGTAATTCCTGAACGATTGACTTCAGAACCTGCAATAATTCGTCAATACGACGATGTCTAGAAATCGATCTAATACGAGAAACTTGCAGTGCTGCATTACTACTAGATTTCTCCTTTAAAGATGACGCGAATGGCCTCCGTTTCGAAGGATATTCTCTATTTTTACTGCATCTTTCGATGAGTGAAGTTCTAGTAAGTCCAATTGACTCATTCGACGTACTACTCTTGGGTTGTGAATCGCTTTTTCGTCTAGGCCGCTTATCAGGAAGGATATCGGTGTTACTCTGACTTTCCACTTTGATGGCTGCCTCGTCATCGTGTAAATCTTGCGAGAATCGCTCATTTATCCCAGTTACTTTATTGAATATTTCATGTATCAACATATAGAACATTAATGAGAATTTGCAATGCGAACAATTACGAAATACGGTTGAACAGTTGCCACATGAATGATCACTTAATGATGATCTAACATGGACCATAAGATTTTTTACTAGTCGAACCAGACCATTTGTGATAGTTGATTGTAACGTTTCCTCCAGATGATTTGCATGTAAATGGATCTGAAATATAGACATATGTTAAATGGAGGTCTTTGTTATAAATCTAGAGTGCTAGTACAACATTAAATCGAAACCCAAACATTACTCCGATACCTTAAAATAAAATACAGAAATAATAATATTTACTAAGTAATCGTAATAAGTTATTATAATTACATTGCAATCATTGACCCAAAGCATATAGCTAATTTAACTTAATTAAACGCTAAAAAAATACCTGTTTTACGATGATATCCAGCATTAAAATAAAACAAGACAGCCTTGTATCTTTCAGATCCAAATTTAAAGCCTTATAATTGCCGATCGGCTTTTCGTAAGCTAATATATAAATATCTGGAGTTTGAATTGCTTCCCAAAGTACAAGTAGACCATTTGCATCATCCACAATACTAGCAGGAAGTTCTTGATTAAAAGCTTCACTCTGGGAAAGATGATTTGTAGATGATACAGACTGCTGCTTAAAGCTCTCGGATGCAATACCGACGGCAAACATTTTGATAATCCAGGAAGGAGATAAGAAAATATTCAAATGAGATAGCAGCTATAAAATTGAAATATAAATATTGAGATAAAGATACTAAACATCACAGTAATTAGTTTACTATAAATGCAACATTGTCTATAGTTCGTTAATCCCTCCATGTAATTAATGGTTTTCAATGATTTGCTGGCAAATAATGACTGTAAGACTTGATATATGTATACGAGTATTCTTTGTAACACTACTTTTACAACTCCCAAGACACATTTATAGCCATAGTTAGTCATTCTATTCCGTCGTAAATCAAAAATGTAAATTATTTCCTGCATTTCTTAAATCAATAAATCGTACCCGTAACCAAACCAGCGCTTGATACTGTATATTTGCTGTCATATCTTTAAATTTTTTACCGATGAATTCGTATGGAGAATTGCCAAAAAATAAATGAGCAACATCCGGATTGAATAGCTTCCTGTATAATAAATTAAATTTTTCGTCGCCTACGTTAACGAAACTTTAATTTTTCTAAACTACATTGTAGTATAAATACTGCAATTACCGTAAAGGTGACTCCACTGGATGCAAACTTTCTATATCGATATTGAGTCTAATATTCTCCATCCATGTAGGCATGAGTAGATCCCAAACCTGTTAAAGGGAGTAGTAATCCTAATTAGTTATTTAAGACGATATACAGTACATAACAAACGCTTTATTCATATAAATCGATAGGTATACTATGTTACACGATATAAACGGTCTTAGATATTTATTTAATTATATAAAAAGATAGAAAACTCATCACATATAAACTAATTCATATAAATCGATAACTATAATGTACTATCTTACATGATATAATGCGGTCTAAATATGTATGTGCAGTAACTTGTTAACAAAATAGAGACTGCGCCGATATCGTTACAAACTATTTACGCCAGTTAACAGTGTTTTCTGTTTATAAGAGTAAGATATTTAACGCATGTTGTAATCTGATTATTAAATACTTTGTGATGTTCTGTAGAAAATGCGCTGCTACTACAGTCACTACAGACAATATAAATCGCTTTGTAATAACATGACTATGAATGATATAGTCAATATAACTCGGCTACTGCAGACTATAGATTTAAAATCTATTAAGTTAGCATGATTCAATATTCGATCTTGTGGCTATTTTTATCTAAGAAGTAATACTTGCAAAGCTATATCATCTTGATAGATAACAGAAGAAATCAATAATAATAAATTGCTGACTAGGTAATGAAATCATCACTTATAGCTACTAGTCTAAAATTTATATGGGAGAACACTAATAACATATAGCATGATATTGCTTATCACGCGCTGTGATCTAAAAGCATTCGAAATTCTCACATTTATAAATTAATGAAGATTTGTCGATTACCAAGGTCATGAAATTTATTGATATTAAATGTTTAATTGTTGAAGTTAAATAGGATATACAGGTAAGCTGGAACTATATGCATATCTTACCTCGGAATTAATAAGTTTATCCGACAGCATGTATGCCATACAATTTAGAGCATGCTTATATTTCTCTGCAGTGTCCTTGTTATTCCTATAGACCAACGTAACGCTAGTCAATTAATTTATCATTAACATTGCATAATTTACCATGATTTTTCTATTTCCACATTTACCTTCCTTTACTAATGAGAGAATAGTTATGACGTGGCTTCAGGGAATTTATGAACGTTTCTAAGTAAGCATCTCTTATATTGCTCAGCCATCGAACAACAAACTAAAATATAAGTAACACATCTGTCTCAGAAACTATTTTAACCACTTCTTCAGTAAGCTAATGAAACTAGTTGCATCCGACATACAACGAAAGGTATGGTATATTATAGGATTTAATAAATCTATGTTGCAATAAAGATATCATGTCGTAAGTGCAACCTGCTTTTTTAATTGTTTTAAGCTTGGCTCGGACATTTCTGTACAAAAATAAAACCCAAAATTATAGCAAAGAAGTAGTTTATAACAACTTAAGTGAATAAATAAGGTATTAAAATTGAACCTTTTGGTAGCACGGAAATAAGATAATACCACCGTAAAACAGCATCTAATAAATTACTAATTTCATCCTATAAACAAAGAATGGCTACGATTAATTCAGCGATACTATAATAAGTATTAAGATTCATCAATCTGATGACAGTTAGAAAATTACTCCCAACGAACGATATCATATTAATTTTATCTACCTCAGAGTATACGACGCGACCAATACTCATGTTATTTAAAAGCAATAGTCCATACATGCTTCTTTTCTTAGCCTCAGCTGTTAAATTGCTATCGATAATATTTTTATCCAGGCTAACTATTGAATAAGTCGAAATTTCAACAATTTCTCTAGCCAACCGCTCGATTCCGTTGCTGTGATCATCCTCCAATAACAACCTTGGTAAATATTATGGCTTTTACATTAATTTTCCTATGATTATTGTATTTCCGTGATATAAACTAAGAATTGTTAGCAAGACACGTTATACTGTCTGCTCTACCTTATTATCGCAGGAATCAGGTACTTTGGATATGTCTCTTCTGTATTATTAGTTGACCGAAATCCTAACATAAGCGTAACGAATACGTTACAGCTTAAGCTGTATGTTATTATTTTTTATGCCTAAGTAGCTTTTTATATTTGCTATACTATATTAAGAAATCAAAATTATGTCCTTGTTTCACGTTCATCTTGAATAGAATAAGCTAAATTTTTGATTTATTATTACCTTGAACGATGTGCCTTTCGGAATTTGACAGATTACCGTGTATTAACCCGTCACATGTAGAGCACAGGCGCATAGGGCGACTGCCACAGCTTTTAGTGCAGGATAAAGAGAAACATGTAACCACTGCCCTTTTATCATTACTTTCGCATTGCTATATCAAAAATAAAACATTTACGTAAAGCACGCAACCAGTGGTGCAAATAAACTTTTTGCTTCACTATAGATTAAAAATAATTATAATTCCTTATAACGGGTATCTTGAATTATTAGTAACACATACCTTATATTCGCAAACTTTTGAGGTAGTTTCTGTTTTAGAATTGAACGTTGAACATTATTGTCAGTACTCAATCTGAAAAAAGTCCTTTACTGTTAAGTATACACAACTATTCACCTTGTTTTGGATATACGGGCATAAGATCATGATGTTTCCCACTATGAAGTATTAGTACACTTAAGTCCTTTTGCAATTTAATCTTCAAAATGTGACCAATGAGTCACGATTTCTTCTCAAGAAATGTTAAATTTACCTGCATTTGCTACACATGTACAAGGGAGGAGGCTTGGAACCGAGGGAAGCAGACAAAACAGGATCTAGACTTATCTATCGAAAAGATATTTTAGAATGAAGCACAAATATAACCAATACATTTTGTTTGGCGTATCTCATAGATATAGCGTTGGATCATGATGCGTTTTTGATACTTATGCTATACCTTGACAGCAGGAAGATTGCCAGAAAAGAAACATGAGGTAGTTTGACAAATAACCGATTTCCAAGCTGAATGCAAAATAATATAATTTTCAATCTGTATTCGAATATTTTATAAGGTATTTGTATGACTTATGTAACACTGTAGGCATTTTTTTATCTTTTATACTGTCCATAACATTACTTACCATCACTTTTAACTTCAATATTTAGATCATCTATAGATATGGGCCAAAATTGCAGTAGCATTGATGCAGCATTTAAACATACTTCAATTGGTCCATACGCAATAACGGCAAGCAAATCCTGGATGATTAAATGTTAAAGTATTCATGGAGCTCAAATTAACGTAATCAAAATAATGTTTTGGCGCTTGCTAGAGAAATTAAATTAATTATAAAGTTCATGTAACATGTTAAAACAATCTATAATAGTATTGTTGTATTCCATACCTCAGACAGATTATGTTTAATCGACATCAACGTATAAGTAATGCGTTGAGAGTGCGATAAGTTATCTGCAGTATGTTGTAATACTGACATGATGAGCATAGGTACAGAAAGGTAAGAATAAGATGAATGAGAGTGGTCATCCAATGCCATAGTACCTAATTAGTTATTCATAAATAAGTTATACAATTAACATGGTTAGGATTTGATTACATCGTTGAAAGTTGTTTACATCAATTAGTGTAACTAAAATGACTTTACGTCTATAAATTGAAATGACTTTTAAAGATATCATCATGCGCAGTGATTTTGAGTAATATTAGCGAAATCGCAATTAACCGTTATTCGTAAATTATCATATTAATCAAATTAATATCTTGACGCCTAAATCTAAAGAACAGGAAAATAAAAACTGTAGTACTCTTACCAAATACATATGGAAGAATATCATTGCATAATGAATCGATTACATCAGGAATTATAATCTTTGGCCACAAGGACAATGTGGAGGTAATGATACTAGGCAATGTTTGTAATTGTTGCAAGTCCAGGAAAGGAGAAAGAGATTTCACCAGCAGTAATATTTCACGAGCAAAAGCTACGAAAACATTATGGTATTAGCAAACTATAGTATATTGGTAAAAGATAAGTGAATCACAGGAACGACGCTAAATAAAGTAAAAAGGAGATTGCTCACTTTTAATGCTTTGCTGCTGCTGTTGAAACTGTTGCAAAAATGCCGGTAGTAAATCTGTGAGAGGGCTAATGATATGATACAAGGCATCTGAATTGGATATAACGGCGCCGATATCTGGCAAGTGCATTTCATTTGCTTCGTGGCCAGTGCTCCTTTGTACCTGAATCTCTCCAGCATAACCCTCTTTCATGTAACTGTTGCAAAAGTGTAGTAGTACAGAGAATTAATCGCAATACAACATTGAAGAACGCTGATAATAGTGCACATACGCATATTGCAGTTTGGATTAATTGGGAAATAACACTATATAATAACACTATATCTAGGTAATGGACAGATAAAAATGAATACTTTTCACCAACGGGAGCTATCCAATAAAGTGGTAAAGTTGTCTTTACAACATTACTAACAGCGTAAAATGACTAAATAGAATAAGTAGGGGAAAAAAATGAGAACACCTTTACCTCACAGGTAATATTTGTAGGTTATGTTTCTGATAGTGAACTATTTAATCAGATTTTGAACTAATATTAAATCAGCTACGGTATATTATCAATTCGAAAGAATATATTCAAGCCGTGCTAAATTATTCGAAGCTATTATACTATCAGCTTACAGCTTTGGACAGTAGACATTTTCTGGGGACACGTGCCGTGTTGCATAAAAAATATATACGTAGGCTAGACAGCGAAATATGTTGCTGTATCAATGTACTTCGGTTAAAACTACTGCATGTTCACTAGTATAACATTAGTCGCTTTAAAATTGACAAGACACACATAGTCAAGGGCGATGAGCTACTTTTAACTTTGAGTGTAACCGTAATTTAGGATATAATATATATAGATAGAAATTAGTATCACCTGAGCAATCTGTTACTAATGGATTCAATTGACGAAGCTAGTTCGATGGCTGGATTGATAGATGGAAATCGTAAACCGCTTAACTGTAAACGCTGTAAATAAGTTACATCTTCCTTCAGAATATGGACCTTGGCCGTAACTATAAAATAAAAAGCAAATTTATTACTAGTAAACAGATGTTAAAATAAAGATTACTAAGAGAGTAAGCTTATAAATTCGATTCTACTTGTGTATATTACGGTCTTGCTCCAGTTTCTACTATCGAATATGCTTGCTGGATTGCCGATATAGTAGTGTTGAATTATTTTTATATATAAGAAGAAAATCTCTTGTATGAGGGTTATGTAAACTACTAAACTATTGTACTACAGTATAGCACCATAATAAAGTGGTACAGTATTAACCTGGAATAGTCTGCTTATTAAACAAGCACATGAAAATGACGAGTAGAAGGTTCGCCTAGTATCGATAGCGATGGATCGTTTTAGCCTAAGCATGCTGCAGTTATTTTAAAAAGGTATTTAGTGTAAATACTATACCATATTTACTTTAATTTTATATTAACGTCATCATTGAATGATTAGAGTCGAAAATAGTTGGCAGTAACTACATTAGATCTTTTACGGGATCTACAATCGCGTACTTAAGTGATGGTTGGCTATCATAATACAACAATCACTTAATACAATGTATTTGCAAAATTCCATGAAATAGATGGTCAAGAATTTGTAAATTTCATCTACCCGTATATCAAGAAGTTCCTATACACTATTTGATATCCTAAGCCAGCATGCTTTACGGTATGTCCATGGCAGTCTTATAGCTTACTCGATAGAGTCTGTATAAAATATCGATGTACGCGAGTAATTTTGATATATGAGGCGGTGGAGATAGCTCAATGATTGGATACGAAGTTACTAAATGAAAGCGGTTATTTTATTACAGGCAATATACGTATGCTGGGTATTTTTTAATTTTCAAAGTAGACGAATGGTTAATTATGATGTAATGCACATGTCGATATCTGTTATCAAATCTGATCAAACCGTTGTCATTCTAGTCACAAGCCGAATCTGCATCTGTCAAGCTGCAGGTAATTAACTTACGGTAGAGTATATTTACTTTTATGTTAACAGTTTTGTTACAGGCGGCATATGTTGGGTATTTGTTAATTTTCCAAGGTGATGAATGGTTAATTGTAATATAATGCATACGATGTATGTCGATGTCTTTTATTAAACCTGATCTAACTTGGTCACAAGCCAAATCTGCCTTCGTCAAGATGCAGGTAATCAACTTATTGTCGAGTAGATTTATTTACTCGTATGCCAATAGTTTTGTTCCAGGCCTCATATGATGGTATTTATTAATTTAAAAATGGATTGAATGATTAATTGTGATATAATGCATATGTAGATATCTTTTTCAAATCTGATCTAATCGTTGTCATTCTAATCACAAGCCGATTCCGCATCTGTCAAGCTGCTGGCAATCAACTTACGGTAGAGTAGATTTATTATCAATTGTAAAGTTGGGTATCTCTCCTACTGTCTAACGCGTATTTGCGTAAGTATATCTAAGTTACCACGCACTTATCATTCTATGCTGTGGAAGAGCGTAAAAGAACGATGATAACAATCACTTTCAGGTGTAGTGAATCATTATTTTGATTTGTAAAGCTCTGAAAAAAATTGATTAAGCACGTCCGTAAAAGTGTTATAGGATTATAGTCTATACAGAATTAGGAATTAGGTGTTACTTCCTGTCCTACTATAATATCTATCTACTATCTACTGTACAGTCAAGTGGAATGATGTTGGCGTCGCCGGCATGTGCTTTGCTTAATGAAATTGCAAGGCTTCAATACTGAAAGTTTCAAATCAACTGCTATATATTAGACTGTAACTAACGGGACTTTATTTAAAGAAAGCTATTTTCGAAGTGAAAAATGAAGTTTTCCATGAGTCCAATTTTTCATTACTGGTCGTCTTTCTCTTTTAACTTATAAGGCAGACATTTTATCACTGACTAATTAATAGTATGCGTATCTTCTCAACAACAGTACTGCAACTATTGAAATCTCAGGAGTTCAAGTTAAAATACAGTATGAAAAATAATAAAAAAGAGTAAAATAAGATTGTATGATGAATTCTAGAGGATATTTTTTTTCCGGTCTGATTTGGCAATAACGAGTATGTTATTAGTTTTTGAACTAATCACACTATTATCACGTAGGCCCCTTTTAGTTTATATCTACTCTCTTCTCAAGAGAATGATCCCGTTGGATCACTATACGCGTATCATGATAGAGGTAGAACTTCTGGTTGTAACCATGTTTAGAATGCAACGTCGGTATACTATGACTATTCTTCAATAATGATTTATGGATGGAAGGAAATGCTAGACTAAATGGGCGATTGAGTACTGTGGGTTAAGAAGATTTCAACAAGAAAGACAGCAATACCGGGACTGTTGGCATGAAATACAGTAGAATACAGTCCAATACGAGTATATTGCAGTTTTCGATCATGGTTAATGTAGGTCTGGCAGACTCCACTGAACGTGGGTCCAGTATTTTGGCAGTATTTTTGGGGGGTGGACTTGAAAACACTAGATATTCCATAGTCTTGCGGATCAACATTGTGATGGCGATTTTGTAGCTCAAAGGATAAATTGATAGTCTCAAAGTTTCGAAGGTATGATGATCGATAGAATTGTGACTGGATGTTGTAGCAGATGATGGAGGGAAAAAATGATTGTACTGTAAAGTAGAACCATCACGGGAATAGACAGTCTACCCAGTGACTGCTTGGATTCAAGCCAAGGAGTCGTCTTGACGCCGGACACATGCATTCAAGTCAATACAGTAAACAGATCGTCATTGCAATCCTGCTATCCATAGTAACAAGATCGATGTCTAGTTTGGTGAAACTGGACCCTATTGAAAACTCCTACTATCAGTTGATATGGGCCAAAAGAAAGGCGATTGGAAAGGATAGATAAGACTTATTTTGTCCAAAATGAACATTATCTCTCTCGCTGTCTACTGCAGTAAGGCGTCAAAATGGGTCGCTTGGCGACATTTTGACCATTGTAATCATGCTGATCCTTGGAAATGATACTCACATTCTTCTACAGCCATCTTGGATGGATGATTATTGTCGAGATTGTGAATCCGATGAGATTGAGCTCAGTCAAAGATCGATTGCGCGCCACATTGAAGAACGAAAGTAGTTGGGCAAAAAAGGACAAAATAGACTTGCCGATCGACGAGACACGAACAGAGATGTTATCAATGAGAACAATAAAGTGTCAGCCTGCGTAGTATTGTGTTTTATCTCAATGAGGATTGTTATTATTGTTCCTGTTATTCTTCTCTTGCTTAATGACAGTACAGTATAGTGAAACAGTGGTCGACTTGATTTCGCTTCACTCACCTTACTGTAGTCGTGTCGGTCGGTGATCACCCTATCAGTAGTATTGTTGTCAAAGAGTGAGTGGTCGATTTATCCATTTGCTTTCAGTCGTTGTACGTACGACACAGTATGCTGTCGTGTTACTGTACTGTACTGTAGAAAAGTTGGCGAGACGTCAGTTGCAACGTACTCAAGCAGCAGTCGAACTGGATGATCGATTTTGCTGGAGTCACCTACTACAGGAGTCATCTTGCTGTATAGGGTCAACTTTGTGGTGTCAAAGTACAGTAGTGAAATGCCCCATTATTCGATCGTAGTGAGTCACTGTACACTATACAGTACTGTTCTAGTGAACATGAAAGACAAGGGTGATTTTGATTACAGTTACTTTACATTCAAATACGGAATACGTACAGTAGATAGTAGACAAAAACATCCATACTGCGGCCAAGTAATAATAACACTATTACATCGATCATTAATTCATTCTAATATTAGCAATCACTTGGACAGATATACTGTATACTGTAGACAAAAACATCAAGTAATCCATAATTCGGCCAAGTAATAATAACACTATTACATTGATCATTAATTCATTCTAATATTAACAATCACTCGTGTAGATATACAGTATACAGCAAATAAAAACATCAAGTAATCTATAGTGCGGCCAAGTGATAACACTATTACATCGATCATTTAAATATTCATTCTAATATTAGCAATTACTTGTACAGATATACAGTATACAGTAGACGAAAACAGCAAATAATCCATAGTTCGGCCAAGTGATAACACTATTACATTGATCATTAATTCATTCTAATATTAACAATCACTCGTGCACATATACAGTATACAGTAGACAAAAACAGCAAATAATCCATAGTTCGGCCAAGTGATAACACTATTACATTGATCATTAATTCATTCTAATATTAGCAATCACTTGGACAGATATACTGACTAATACTGTATACTGTAGACAAAAACATCAAGTAATCCATAATTCGGCCAAGTAATAATAACACTATCACATTGATCATTAATTCATTCTAATATTAACAATCACTCGTGCACATATACAGTATACAGCAAATAAAAACATCAAGTAATCCATAGTTCGGCCAAGTGATAGCACTATTACATTGATCATTAATTCATTCTAATATTAACAATCACTCGTGTACATATACAGTATACAGCAAATAAAAACATCAAATAATCCATAGTGCGGCCAAGTGATAACACTATTACATCGATCATTTAAATATTCATTCTAATATTAGCAATTACTTGTACAGATATACAGTATACAGTAGACGAAAACAGCAAATAATCCATAGTTCGGCCAAGTGATAACACTATTACATTGATCATTAATTCATTCTAATATTAACAATCACTCGTGTACATATACAGTATACAGCAAATAAAAACATCAAATAATCCATAGTGCGGCCAAGTGATAACACTATTACATCGATCATTTAAATATTCATTCTAATATTAGGAATCACTTGTACAGAAATTGGATTTTTTAGCAACCGTTGTTACACAACTATTCTATGAATTTATTTCCTTTACTGTGCGGTAACGATTCCATTTTATTCACTGTGTATGAGTGAAAAGGAGAAGGATATCAACTGCTGTATATACTGTACAGTACAGTAGTATGAACAATTCTCTACTGGGCATTTTTTGGTCACCATTTCTGAACAATGAAAGGAACACCAAAACAATATGACACAGCACATACAATTTATTTCACCATTTTGTGGTAGCAGCTGTAGTAATACAATTATATATGACAATTCATAGTCAACAAAACATGATAATATCATTACTTTTAAAACAGTGGCAGAGTTGAGTTTACTTATAGGAAATAGTAGGTCATAACACGAATAGGGATAGTGATATTGATAATAATACTAGCATACTTAGCAGTGTTCCATATAATCTGTCTATTTACACTACGTACTCGTACATGTATAATATGTATATTTTCGTTCGGAAGTGGAATATTGTGGCATACTCCTTTACTATAATACTGATGCTTAGTACACAGCTGCAACTATACCCTCAATTTTGCATAAACTGCTACACTTCGTTGAAAGCTATTTTTACTGAGTCATAAGCGTAAATCGATCGACGAAATGCGCGTATCGACTCATTGGCATGGCTTGTAAAGGAAGAAATGGAAATACTGTAATACTCGTCTTGTATGTTTATTGTTCAAAGGACTTCTCAAGGTCAGCTATAGTATATGTACACTACTCTAAAGTCCAAATTCTGGTACCGGTCGAAAAATTTTCAACAACCGTAGTACGAGAACTTGTGGCCACTGTATTTTATTCATTTATGAAGTATTTAAGTATACATGCCAAAAGTTGAATCTCGAGTTTTACTCTTGAACGGCACTATATGCTTCAACTAATAGTCCGTTGATATCGGATTACTAAATACCGTCGTAGTCCACTGCTGATGGTACAACATTATCGCCTAGTCGCCAGTGTATGAAAATACTGTACATTAATAAGGACAATATCCAGTCATGGGTCACTAGAAGGACGGATGGTGTCTATTCTAGTTCAGTTATTGTAGCACATTTAACATTGAATTGTGAACATCGCTGGGTACACACACGTGTTCCAGTTACACTGTAATCCCTTGGATATGTTTGAATGGTAAGAACTAGAAGTAAAACGCTTCAAAAAGACCAATGGTTACGACCCTTCCTATACATATAAGTCCCTTATTATAGAAAGTTACCTACTGTACTGTATATTAAGACCATGCATTTGCAATCGATGTTGTACCAATGGATGCCAAAATTGGAATATCGAATGTATGGGATTGCATGCACACTTTGTACATAAATTCTGTCAACGGATTCTTGTAATTTAACTCTTCCTCTATCGATTATTGACTTGTATTTTATTGAAAATCGACAGAAATTTCATTGTCTTATTTTCAAAGTTGATCGGGAAAATGGACTGGGACAACCTGTATATTGGATAGTCAAACACCAGCATCCTGTAGATTGATCCTAATATTATGACAGTACTGTTGTGATGGAAAGCATGGACAAAGTCTTCTGCACTACTTGTTTTATTAGGGCTTTTTTTTTTTTTATGGCACATATTTACTAGACTACAGTAAAACGACAGTGCCCGAGCTGTGCATTCACTGTGCAGCACTGATTCTGCGCAAACGATACTGTACACCGTATACCACGCTCAGTACAAGGAAGAATCCTGTACTGTACCGCTGTCCGTCCATAGAGAGGAGGACAAGACCTGGAACGGTCCGGCATCCGTTACATTATAACTTCCATAAAACGAGTGGATCAGACTTGCGATTGCAGGGCACTACGTGATTGTTTTGCCTCATCGTTTGAACTTCCAGTATTGTACAGTATAGTCATAGTCCGTAAGGGTGTTTGTCTTAATTTAATAGATTATAGCGATCGAATATTTCCAAAACAAACATGGTACCAAACGATTTACCCGTAACCAGTAATCACGAAAATAATATCGGTAAGCAGGCTGTAGAAATAATCCATGACTCAAGTCGCAAATCAAGTGGATTGTCAAAATGATGGTGTGCACTATACTATAATCAGATGTGATTTTATTGCCCTTCATATTGGATCTACTGCAATCGCAAGTCAAGTGGATTGTCAAAATGATGATGTATACTGTACAATAATCAGATGTGATTTTATTGCCCTTCATATTGAATCTACTGCAGTCGCATGTCAAGTGGATTGTCAAAATGATGATGTATACTGTACAATAATCAGATGTGATTTTATTGCCCTTCATATTGAATCTACTGCAGTCGCATGTCAAGTGGATTGTCAAAATGATGATGTATACTGTACTATAATCAGATGCGATTTTATTGCCCTTCATATTGGATCTACTGCAGCCGCAAGTCAGGTGGATTGTCAAAATGATGATGTATACTGTACTATAATCAGATGCAATTTTATTGCCCTTCATATTGGATCTACTGCAGTCGCAAGTCAGGTGGATTGTCAAAATGATGATGTATACTGTACTATAATCAGATGTGATTTTATTGCCCTTCATATTGGTTCTACTGAAGTCGTATGTCAAAATGATGATGTATACTATACTATAATCAGGTGTGATTTTATTGCCCTTCATATTGGGTCTACTGCAGTCGCAAGTCAGGTGGATTGTCAAAATGATGATGTGCACAGCACTGTACTATAGTCAGATGCGGTTTTATTGCCATTCATATTGCGTCTACTTCTTACTGTATACTACGGATTAGGATGTTAATGTGGTTCACCAAAGGTACTGCAGATTCTATTTCTGTGGTCAGTCGATACAATCTATTCACTGGTAGTACTATGCAATACTCATACTACAATCTCTCTACTGTACTCCAAGTCAATTACTCCATTCCACTGAAGTCATAACTCAATTTCTATTCTATGCATGTCAATCGATTTGAAGACTTTGGTAATTGATTTTCCTGCATAGGTGGATATGACGAGTATAACCATGATTGTTTGCCTTCTCGATTGTGCGTTGCCATTGATACAGCAGCTACCCAAATATTGCTAACGTCATCTACTCACTCGTTCAAAGGTCGAAAAGGCAACAAATTCGAATTCTACCAGTCTACTTCCAGTCGTCATGATACAACAGAACGCTCGAAATTACATATTAATGAAAAAGGACCTTTTATTTCAATTTGTAAACAAAGAATGATACTATCCTGTACAACATTTTAATATGGATTTTATAGTATAGCATTCAATTCGATCATAATGATGCTGTAATTACCATTGCAACATTGCATCCATCATCTTTTCAATTAGGAATACTTAAAATCGAACCCTAAATTCTAGATATTGACTCATACAATCAATCCATCCTGTGAAAGTGTACATTTCAATCCAACATTTTATACTAGTCAAGTCATAGTTCTGAGAGCTTTTTATACCTATATCTTGTTTTCGAGATTAAAGTGAATAATTGCATCCGTTATTGGTGGAAACCTATCGCGATAAATAAAGTTGTTACTAATTGATTCGAACCATTCTACAGCCACCAATGTTGACGTCGATGTACGCTCTATAATAGTGTAACAAACTAACAAACTCCTACAATATCAACGTAGTGGCTTTCTACAAAGTTTCTAGGCTAGAATACTTACCATAATGGTAGAGAAAACTGTTATTGTCCGATATTACTTATTTATTCATAAGGCATTGAATTAGCACTAGGGATATCAACCTTATACAATTGATAAATATTATATTGTAGATTCCAATGAAAATCCAGTACTACACGATGAAGAGGATAGCGATATGGACGAAGAGTTCGATGACGACAATCAAGGATATGTTCCACTTGGCCAAGATGATGACGACCAAGACGAATTGTTAACTGAAACTCCTCAGGTTTTATCAAGAGTATTACTCTATGTGTTATAAATGCATGACAGTATATTATACGTTAAATGCTAATAAAACCAATAGGTCAGTCAGTATCTCTCGATAGTTATGGAAACTCACACACAGAATAATTGATGTAGAGATATCAATACTACCGTAAACATATATCTAATACAGTACAGTGTTATTTTTTTAGTGACAAGACTACCAGTAGTTACTTAAGGAGAGTGAAAGGCCACCAGCCTAAAATCATTTTTTTATTTTCATTTCTACGTACAGTCCGAAAACGGCGAAGGCGGTATGACAACGTGCATGAATGCAAATGGACAATCAAATGATCATTCTCACCTACATGAGCCGATGAATCCAGGTAGTTGACAGCATAATTTTCTTGTGCATTAATACGAGTGTATAAAGATAGCCATAAAATATGCTAATAAAAGTAAAATTTGTCCTAAGTAAAAGTATAAACTCGAAAAGTAATCTATATCGGTAATAGCAGTGGTTTTAAACTAATTAATGGACGAATTCTTTTTTGTGCTATTCGCTAATATATTTAATAGCCCACGCTGCTCTAATCGTTCAATCAATGTCCAATATAAGCTTACCCTTATCCGCCACCCCAGATTGGGCTAAGCTTGTACCAGAAGAAATGTGGAAAGAGTCATTACTCACTACCATAGCTGAAAGGCATAATCAGGACGATATGTGAATTCCACGGCATAAGTTAATGCTTTATTTGTACAGTAAAAACTCTCATATACAATACAATTGATGAAAAATTTTATTTGTTAATATTGTTTACAAATATATAGCTTCAAAGATAGAATATTGATGAATTTCATGCCTGGATAGTTGTGAATAGTGGTTTAATTAATCAATTTTTTTTCTTGAATGCTACACCTGATAGGTTTTGCTTAAAAATTTTATCTACATCCTGTACCGTATTGCAAATACTTTATTGCTAAATTCGGGTAAAGTCATCAAGTGTCACAATGCACACGCTAATAATGAGTTTTTGATGACAATTTATTCTACATTTGATCTATGAATAGTGTATGACTTTTCGTCACTGCTATTTTAACGAGTACAGTTATTGCGCAAGAAATTGTATTTTTATATACAGTACTATAAACTCGATTGCAAGCTTTATCGACAATGTAGAATGTTCTCCATATTGTTTCATCCACGCTCACCAATGAAGCGACTAGCCCATAAATTAATTTTATCCTACTGTCATGTAAATTGGCGTCAAAGCGGCATACAATAAATAAATAATAACGCATCGATAATTTTGACTTATCAATTATTTACCTATACGTCTACTCAAGTAGGTCAACGTATGTTATTGCGACATTAAATTATCATGTAGCTGATAGCTAGTAAAATGGGTAGTGTAGTGCAATCATTCACTATTATCGGTAAACAATTTTGTATTATTATAAAGCGATCATCTTATTATCGCGATAATGGCCATAAGATTATACAATACTGTGATAATGTATGTGCTGGATATAAATGAGTTTGCATAGATAGAGGTGTTGGACTAAAACAGAGAAGTACAATGTAGAACCCGAAACGTAATTTTGTTTATTGAAAGAGACATTTATAAATAAAATATTTGACGTTCACGTTTACAAACGTAACTCCACTGTGATAGTACAGACAAACAAATAATGATGCCGTGATATATAGATGATATCTAATGGCGAATCGGTGCTAGAACAAGATTGGATGTATCGCCATATTTAAACTACTAAATACTGAGTCAGCCAAATACTCCTACAATTAAGTAAAACTATGTAAGATGTATTTTACAATGCAACTTAAAGTGACAATTGTGAAATAACTGAAATTATGATATTCAAAACTGAGGAATACAAGTTATGTTACTACGACAGCAGTTCTGCTCTCCCTCTAAACTACCGCATACAATGAATTGATCATCATATATATTACAAATGCGCACTATTACATCATAAAAGGAAAATTTTTTATGATTAAGTAAAAACATCACCGTCTCACTCAACTACATTTTTACATCATTTTTATACATTACAATACCATATAGTAACGAACTAATTCATAGCCAACGGTGGAAATATTATAAAAACTAATCTTCAACAACTAAACAACAACCTTACTAAATTTTGAGATTGCGTTGAATAAATGCATTCAAAGTTTACTAAACGAATCACTAAGACATAAGTGTCGTAAATGACTTACGTCCGAGTATAAAGATTAACAAAATAAACTGAAAACGATGCCGTTGTCGCTACTGAGTATAGATCATAATGGCATATCTACAGTACAGCGTCAACCCTAGAAAAAAGTTAAAAAATAGGATTAGTGAAGAAGTGATAAGATTGCGGTAAGATCTTCATCAAAGTGTAAAATCAATCATTGAAGTATGAGTATAGCCTTTAATTTTTACGGTCATCTTATATATTTTATATCTTTAAAATTATGAACTTAAATTGAACAGTTACATACCACACACAAAAGATATAGCAAGTTAACGCTCTTTCGAAGACGATAAATATTCAGTAGGTTGTTTATGATCGTTTATCGCCTTCTGAGCAGTAGTATCTATAGGAAGGTCGGATTTGCGTCGAATAACCTTTTCTTTACTATCTTTACTAGTTTTGTTACTAACTCCAGCAGTAACCCGGCCGCTATGCTGTAATATAAAATAATTTCATTATTTCTGCTATACTATTCGACACATCAACATCGTTAAGATTTAATTTTTTTACCGTATTCGATGAATTATTCACAGATGGCCTACTGTCGCCCGAAGCGTCTCTACCAATTTCTCCATCAATTGATGATACACTGACCATGATTCCTTTTTCCACTAAGCTTTTCGACTATCCAAAAAATTAAAATTAGAATAGTTAACTTAGTAAAGATTATGCAGAAGCATTTTAATATAAAAATTACAAAGTATCCTTACAAGTGGATTTTGCAGAGCCCGCTGTTCAATTTTTAACCAAGCATCTAAACGTTTTTGTCGTTTTTCCTTTTCTCTATAATTATGCAATGATAGTCATTCAGCAGAGATTATGGATACAATACAAATTGGGTATTATACATAAAAATTCTCCATGATATTATCCAACTAGTGTGTGATATAATATAACTTTAAATTGAGTGCCATACAATTTTTTTTCCTCTTGATATTTTTTGGTGCATTCATCAAAGAGCTTTTGATTTAATTCCATAAAAAGTTTTAAAGCATTATAGATTAAGCCATGAATTGTCCTATAATAGAAAGTAATAAAATTATTTGAATATTTGAATTATGATTTTAACCTGAAGGGGGGTCAAAATGGTAATACTTACTTATTCCAGTGCGATTTAGAGTTCTGATACAATGTTGAAAACACAATTGGTAAAATTACGGAAATATTTTCACCAACTAAGTTCATAATATATTCGTTATTCCAAAAGAATAATGCGCGTTCAGCAACCTAATATAAGGGTTACGTTAGATATCCTATCTGAGCAGAAAAGGTACAACAATTAAAACAAACCTGAAAATGCGGACTAGCAATACATTTCGCAAGTTGCTGAAATAAAGGCTCTTGAATTTTAACGAACTCAGTAGGTTCAATTACGTCCAATATCTCTTCCAATTCATTGAGGAACATAACCTTTATCAATTCGTGGAAAAAAGCACCATCATTAATTTCAATTGAAGTCAGACGAATATATTTATGGCATTGCTAAACTGATTACTTCTTTTGGGCTATGAGATTTAGGCCAATACTTTAGAAATACGCGTGTTACCTAATTTTAAATACAATAGTCAAGAAAAAATTATCATGGATATAAAGTAAAGTCTTTATGTCATATTTACAAACCGGTTCCGATAAAGCTGGATCTTTCTCCAGGAATTGTACAACACAATACGCCAGCTAAAAATAGTCCAATTTGTGAATATGATTAGATTGAGAGAAATATCCCTCTTCAGTCCATACACAAAATCTACTACCTGTGGATGATGACAGCTAAGTGATTTGACCGTGTGAAGAGGAAGCAATGTTTTCAACAAGAAAGTTTTGTGTTCCTCTTTAAGTGGCAGCGCGAATCCATTTATTATGCTGATATGAATAATGCTGCATATTAAATTCCTTTGGTAATACTCTACATTAAATTGTAAAGATTCTCATAACTCTTGTGAATATCTAACCTGCCCAAGATTTCAAGCAATTCAGCTATACCGTTAAACTGTTCCGCTTCGTAAATAAATCTAATAAAATAGATTGAATTCCAATGTTAGGAAAATAATCTTGACGAAGAAATTGTTAATGAATACCAATTATCCACATGGTTATTATTATCAGTACCGATAAAATATATTATTAATTTGTCTTCTGATGTACGCCCTTAAATTCAAAAATTTTCCATATATTCTGTGAAGTATAGTTTTTAAGAAATCTCTTTCGCGCGGATCCTCACTGTCAAATAGCTCTAAGACCTACGGGTATACATTGATGTGATTGAAATACCTTAGTACTTTTCACTCATCATTAATAACTAGATTATTAACTTACAGTTATCCGTTTATTATTACACAACTACTTCTATACGCACTTGCAAAACAAATTTTTGATCAATATATCGCTTGGCAATAGCTGGTTGGAAATCTGGGGACTCTAGAAACTTTAGGATGAGCTCGTATACAAACTGAAAATCAAATAATCATAAATCATTAGTTAAGTTGAGAACAGTAAAATATTTTCATTTACGTACGCTTGGTTAACACAATACTACTACTATAGCTATGGATTATTACATTTGATTTGATAACTATACCTGTAGATGGGGCCAGGCTGCTTCTAAATTAGGTTCATCTTCTTCGGGATCATATTCAGCTCCGACAGGATTAGACGACGGTGGTAACGTCCGAAACGTGTTTACAGCAAACTATAGCCCAGTGGATAAAGATTAAGGACAGCATTCAATAGCATGATTTGCGCTGGTATGTTAATTTAGTAGTCTAAGCTAAATTGTTCCTGATCGTTTGGTGTAACCGATTTAAGAGCAACTTACCATATTAATAATTTCGGGGTAAATTGTTTCCGTAATTACTCCACGATTATGCGAAATGTAGTCAATCATTTCATTCAGAGCGGCTCTCTTTATTTCTTTCCACTTGACATCGCTTGTTGCATCTTTTACAAAATCGAATATGACCAAACACTGCCTAATTTTTTGCACGAACAAATCCTCACGTTCTTCAGTTGGAGCATCTGAAATTCAATTCAAAAAGTTTCTTATTCCAATCAGCCTTCTAATATCAACAATATTTTAAAGCTTTGGCCATTAAGAATGTTACTAGTGTATATTTTGAGCCAGCGACTCCAAATCGATACAAACTACGTAGCTCTATATATATACATTTTGTTGCAAGTTGAATTTCGCTAGTACTAAAACAGCGCATACTATCACCAATTTTGTACTGCTAATTAGCAGTCTATTCTACGGCAAAGTTGATTTTACTGCGGCCCCGCTAAACCACTGACTTGCATCGCATGGTTTTTTTGACAGGGACTACTAAAACTAACGTCTGTCTTTTTCTTGTAGTAGTCTGGCTAAAACTGACGTCTGTCTTTTTCTTGTAGTAGTCTGGCTAAAACTAACGTCTGTCTTTTCTTGTAGTAGTCTGGCTAAAACTAACGTCTGTCTTTTTTCTTGTACTAGTCTGGCTTTTTAGTAAGCGTTGATTATCAAGTGGAAAAATAATTGAAGAGACCGTATTGTAATATCACTATTGAATGAAAATAAATTTATAGATTGCCTTGTTAAAAAGGTACAAAAGAATGGCTATCCCCCAAATGAAAGAATCGTACAATCATTTTTTTTGAACTACTTTAATACGTGATATGAAAGTGTAGAAAGAAGCCATCCGTTTCCGTTCTTTATGTCTGGTAAATCCATGAAAAGTATTGTAAAAAAATCAGCGAGTACCGGTGTCAAATAGCGGTAAAAAGTTCTCCTGTTACAATGCAGGAAATGCTGTAATTGAACGTGTCAATTCATTTTTTTTGATGAACATCTTCCACTTCTACATATGGAGGATAACATTGATGTCCACTGTCAACTAATTCTCATTCAAAGACAGTGATAACTGTCTGCATTTGTGAAGATTATCGAGTATAAAAACTACAAGGCGCAAACAATACTCGCCTATCGCGTCCGTGTACAACATACGGGCTTAGATTGTATAAACGAGGAATTTGCAAATGAAAAGAGCGTTGTTGTACTGTATTGTATAATTTCTTTTTGCAACAGAGAAGAAATAGAGGATTTACCGATCATTAATTAAAATGATAATCAGTATGCTTATTTTTGATGACTATCCCACTGTGAATGATTACCAATGCCAAATTTTCATACTATAAAAAGTCTCTAGTACAGTAAAATGATCGATTATCAGGCCGTTTGTACATTGCCGTAGTAACGACAAGAATACAACGCGACCATACAAAGTACTGCTAGCAGTTGTTGATGGTTGAATCTTTCAATTAATTTATTATTTATTTTACTGTTTGTTTGAAACTTTCGATTGGAAAAAAAAAAAAACCAATCTTACGGTCGGTTTTAGGCTTGTGGTGCATTTCATTGATGATCCAATGCTATCAATACTAGCCAATAATAGGATAGACTAAGTTTGCACTTTATGCAAAATAGCAAAAAAAGCATTGTGCAATTTTAATTGCAAATTCTTTTTTTGCGCCACAGTTTATTTAAGCAAAATGTCCAAAAAGTGCTAATATGTTGTATAACAGTGGAAGCACATCAACTGTCCAGCACTACTTTACATCATGTTTAATAATTGAAAATCTAATTTTGATGTAAAAGTAAACAGACAGACGTTGCAACCCATTCTACAATGTAGTGGAATTAGGCCAAAATAATGTAGCAGAGTACGCCAACACACCTGGCGTACAGTATCAACATAATACGCGTAGACTTCATTAGTCTAGGCGATACTACCAATACTGGAGCCAGCCAACGTTTACGTAGAGTGAACATGCTAAGCTAAATTGAACGATTTTCCAGGATGTTAATTAAACTTTTGATTGGTAGGTAAATAAAACAAGGAAGGCGAGCAAAACCCTTCAGCAGATTAACTCAACGTTGCTTCTATCGTCCATACTACATACGCTTTAGGATGGTATTTTACGAAATCTAGTTTACGTGGCGTAGAAACGAGCGACAAGTCCGTCCACTTATCCTAATATCTAGCACATAAATACTGTCGATTTCATCTTCCGAGCTAAGAAACACTGTCTAGTCAAATTGTATTGCATACAGCGTAAGTGTGTACACATGCTGCATAGCTAAAGAAAACATTGAGAAACAAGGCTGGAAAATAGGAAAATAAAATGAATTCATTAAAGCACATTGATCGTCTTAAAAATGTTTCCTAACGCGTCCTGATGATCGCAAATCACCATGTTGATACTGCACACTGTACAGCAATGGCGAACGAAATACACCCTCAAGCTAGGGTCGATGTTTTATTCTAGTAGTACTGTCGATTGAATTGGTGCAAGGCTTTGAAATTGACTAAACTATTCATGATAATCAAATATTTGCAGGCAATACATGCACCGAAAGATGCGGAGCGTGACTTGAATAAAGTAATGCTGTGCATGGGAATATCAAAACTGAGTGTGATCGTTAGCACTTTTGGCCAATTACTGTGCCTTGTGAGTTGGTCGTTGTGGTTGTACACAGTAGTCAGTAAGTCTTTTGCATAAATGCACCAAAAATGGAATTATTTCTAAATTACTGAACGATTGTAACGAAGAGCAACCTTTAATTGGCCACTGTAGTAAGACGATGAAAAACAAAATGAAAATTAATTTGTGTATGATGGAGCGCATTTCCTTCTCTTACTGTCACCAAGTATGCAGTCTATCGCGGCAACAGAAATGCAAAATGAATTATGACTTTGCATCCATTGGGTGATGATAATGTCGAATTTGGTATTTCCAACACTATGCTATCCTATCCATATAGTACATAAGCCGAGTTGAGTGCTTACCCGGCTGTAAATATTAAGCATTCAAATTAATTAATTATCTCGCCGATGATGATGAATGGCATTGTAAGCGGCAACGCAACTGGTCACAACCGCAGATTTTCAATTCTTACTGTATGTCATTATTGCAAGTTATTATGATGACTATCCTACCTTTAAACGATGGTAGATTTTGTAATTCTCGATTTTTGCTAATATTGAATCTGGAAGAATGTTGGCGATGGCTTCTCTTGGGTCCAGCAGGTCCAGAATGCTTGGCTTTATTTAAGCTATTTGGAGGCGGCATCACGGCATCCAAACTTTTATGATTTTTGGGACTCTATCGAAAGGCGATGAAATCAAATCAATAATGACCTTGGTTGGTGATGAACGACTACCAACGGTTGATCGAACGAGAAATAATTCCAAATACAAAACAAGATCAGCTACAAACTGATCATGATTGATCATAAAAGCAATAGAAAATTTGAATGATGGAAAGCAGCAGCAGCAGCAGCAAACCAAGCAAAAATTTGGCGTAGGATTGAAGGCAAGCAAAACTTGCTAAATTAAGCCAAGTTCATGAGGTCCACTGTGGTACTGTACTGGTACCGTACTGGTATCTGTATCGTACGGTACCGTACTGGTCCCGGAGAAAAAGTGGACTTGTTGCCGTCTCACACTCTTTAGCGTCAACTCTGACCAACTGACGCACACCAGCGTCTCAGTCTGCCAGCTGGTCGATACGCTTGTACGGTCGTCAGGGCCTCGAGCTGACACTACAGTCCAGTACGGTCCCAGTCGAAACCGCTTGCAGCTGCTGATTGACTATGAAGGAGTACCCTTACTGAAACAGTACACAATGAGCTTACGATACAGTATAGGCTAAGTCAGTAGAAACATAAACTCTATCGGTAGCACTATCCAAGCAGGTAGGGTAATGTCTTAAGGTGATGTATGGGGAAAGGAAAATATGGCCAAAATGGCCTCAGCCCATCTTCAACGCTTTGCTTCCAAGATTCCATGCCATACGGCCATAAGATCAAAAAATGCCATTACAACAAAACTTTATAACCATGACTACTAGGGTAGCAATGACACTCTTCCATGATGCATAAAAATGCAAGGCTCTACTTTCGATAACGATAACTCGACTCAACAAAACTGGAGACCTCCTAAGTTGCAGTAAAAAAACATCATGTAGAAAGAGGATTCTAACAAAACTTCATCAGCTACTACGGCTACAGTAGGTTGAGCACTCTTTTCTACCTCCCGAATACAGAATTGATCCCAGTCCATGCTACTGTGAAAATGCATGCAAACACTCCACAGTGATTCTTATTTTAGCCTACGGTACTATTGCAAACGATCGTCGGTTCAATTTAGCCAAGCAGCACGGGCTACTGTATTTTCAGCAAACAGCTTACAAAATAGAAACACGAGTATATTCTACATGCCAGTTATTTACAGCATACAATGTCGCCATTTATAGCAATCATCTCATTGGTGTCTCATTTGACTGTAGTAAGGAAAAGCTAAATGTGGACATTCACATTTGGTAAAGACGTTGTTGCTTAAAGCCAATAACGTCCATCATAGGATTCACATCGCTTGTACGATCAAAAGCAAATAGTGCGTGCAGCACGATCAATTCATGCCTCTCATCATACTGGCCCTTCTATTAAAAACTAAACTGATATGGACTCGATTCTTGGGACTTCCTGATTCCTAGCTCAACTACGAACGTTCCAAACTTGACTTTGTCGAGCTAGTCATTTTCTTACTACAGTCTTGGAGTTCCTTAAAAGCTCTATGCAAGTTACTAATCGCAGATAATCCAACAACACGTACATAATAGTAGTGCTTACAAGTATATTCTAGAATTGTAAAGTAGGTATTGGAAGCAGGCGTTGTACATTATCGTTAATTTACTGCTTATGCAAATAAAGCAATCTGGTCGATTAACAACAACTTAGTCTACCTGAATCTTACGTTATCCTGATGTAACCAGTTCATCAACGTTAATAATTATCTGAACACTTTTAAACATAAAGTCGCTACTATGTAAAATATGTATTGTAACGCATTTTTGTAGACTTTACAACAAATTATTGAACGGTATAGAATGAATAAAAACAGAGACAGCATTGAAGTTATCAATAGAGTCTTCAAGCCCTTATATATAACTAATATGAAGGGTAAGCTGAGTTTACAGTTACTATTCGCCCATTAAACATTTATAGCTGAAAATGGGTATTCGGGTGATGATGAGAATTGAGTTTGTATTTCTGCAGTATGTTGTTGACTGCATACAATAACTAGAACTCAGCCTAGGACTACAAGACTAGAATGAATAGTATGGCAGCAATCGATGTCATATTTGCTATAAGTGATATGCGTGGAATTATCAAGCTAACCTTACAGCAATAGATCAAGTGGATTTTCTACAAAATAGTCTACAGTCTAACACAGTTGCGTGGACTAAATTCCTATCAAGTTGATGCATCTCTCAAGTTTGGCATGGAACAAGCGACTCAATACAATTCACGTTCAAAAAAAATAATTGCACAATCAGCTGGGCAACCGAAGATCGCTATGCCAGCTCATGCTACCATTGAATCAAAATGGATAAAAACTATCAACTTATACCATAATTTTACAGCATATGCACATCTGAGTTATCATTGTTTCTTCAATACCAACATTCGCAGATGATAGGACTGCCTACTACATCCTGTGGCTAAAATAACACAGGATACAGTATCAATACGTAGCGATATATCCTAGAATAGGGGATATACTGTACTATAGGTATATTCTACGCGTATAGTATATTTATTTTTACTCCAAGATTGGCTATACGTCATTTTAGAATGGATGACTTAGTCAGCGTTGAGATTGGTGTAATAGAAAATCTATCCATTATAATGATGAAGACTCTTAGTTGCGTAATGATCATTTGCTTTGTAACCTATAATAGTATAGAGCAGTACAGTACAAACTTTAAAGCATCGTTTGTTGAGTGAACAGGCCGGATACTTGCAAAAGAGAATTGAAGATGTGCATAGCGAAGAGAATAGCGATCAAGCAATTGTTTATGGTAGACGTATCCAGTCGCATAGGCATTCTTGGCTAAGATGTTACAATTGCAGTAGGCTTTCTATCCTCTAGAGACTCTCTTCACGTTATTAGTATGATAATGTGAATTATCTGGATTACATTGACGATTAGGGTCGAACAAGGAGAGAGCAATTGATGATCTCAAAGACCTTATCAAGAAATAGCATGCTCTCAGCAAGTAGTTACCACAGCGCGAAAACTTACATCGACATCAGAGTTGCTTTTACCAACAGAGTTACTTTTACTGCTATTATTCGACTTACTAGCCGCTGCCTATAACGTTTACGATAATAAAAATAATAATAATAATAATCAAAGATCAATATCAGAGGAGAGAAAAGAAATCAATCTACTTTACATCGTTGAGCATGATCATTTTTTGGAAGGTTAATCGGACTGATTGATGAAGATAACCGAGTACTGTACGTTGAGTTTTTCTTCTACACTTGACAGTTACAGTAGTTGCATGTTTACAGAGCATTTCTACGTTTCTACAAACTACGTCGGGAGTAGACTGTGCTGTGCCATGAGTACACCATTTGTGCATACTCCATTGAACAGTACTCAAGTACTATACAACCCATTTGAATGTAGAGCTAGCTAGAAAGGTAGTATAAAATGGAACCTCATTTTCAACTTGGTGATCATTTTCTCTCTTAGGCAACAAACGATGTAATGTAAAAATAGGCTGATGAAATATCTTTCAAGACAGAAGCTACGCGCATCCTATGTGTGCCTCATTTCATCAACTCCGCATTCTTGATCGGTGTCCAATTTTTTTAATAACTACATCATAACAAATGTACATTACCGCAAGCAATCAAGTCGACAGTACCAATGTTATTGATATCTACCAACCAATCAATGCTATTGATGGATTGGAAGCATGTTTTTTTGACCAAATTTTGATGATAACAAATAAATTGACTGCTTTCTAACGCTTATTTCATACCTTCTTCTTCATCATATTTGGCATTTTTCTTTTTAATTTTAAGTTAACTTAATATTTAATTAACCAAGATTACATGGATCGCCTTTTGATTGTTTAATATGCCTTAGCTAGTGCGGTTCAGTTCGGTGCGGTTCAGTTCGGTACGGTTCAGTTCAGTACGTATTGTGCTGTCCATCAACATCATGATGTAGTACACCGCTACAGCTTCTACGCTAGTCTATTCCCTTGAAGTTTCGACTAGTACCGTCATAGGCACAGTATTTGTCCACTAGTGGACCCCCTCCATTGTACCCGAGGCATTGTTATTGTTTGCTTTTTTCAGCCTTCCCAGGATCCTTAGAGGTCCTGCAATCGCTTGTCCACCGTCCGCTGTCCCGTAGCGCTTGGCCAAGGATCGTGAATGACAGTTCTAGTCACCCCTGCGCAGTCGTCACTGCGCAACAGCAAAAGTCCTTGACCTACTCCACGTGACCGACCGCGGACTGCTGCAATTTTCCTAGTACAATATGTTTTGATAGAGGCTGGCACTGCTGTTAGCGATCCTAGTCCTTCGACCGTAACGACTGACTACTGACTGACGTGATATGTGTGACACGACAGTCTACAGTACATTTCTAGCCATCATTACAGTATTACAGTACTTCAGTACAGTACAAGGATCTCTTGCAGTACTGTAGTTCCGGGTATGCTAGTGGACTGGTCTGGACGGGACGAAATTTCCTATACTGTACTATAGTTGACGGACGTCCAATTTGCTACCGTCATCGATGATACTATACCGGGCTAGAGGAACGACGAGGCCACGGTTAAAGGGGACTTCGGCGCCATCTTACTCAAGAAGAGGCCACGAGCTCGCCTAGAAGTTTAGTTAGGTCTAAAAGTATCGCAAATTGTCCAGGATAGCCTTGCCAAAACTTTAAAAAAATGCCTTCCAGTAAAACTCTTATGGTAGCTGCAGGTGTCGGTGTGGCATGTTTTGTTGGCTACTGTATTTATTTCGATAGAAAAAGACGAAATGATCCGCTGTATAGGCAAAAAGTCAAGCAAAGTAAGTTTGATCCACTGCAAACTCGTGTTATACCATTGCGCACAGGCGACTACCAACCTTTCAATGGCGATTGATTTTACTGCCCTGGATAAGAATACAGTCATGAGTCAATCGATCATTCTCCAAGGCTGCCATAGCAGCACAACACATATTATTCAATGTTAGATAGTAAATGCAATGCTGTCCATCTCTTTGACTACAAGATAATCGACTTACTGTACATAGTATAGGTTGCAAACGATGATATGTGCAATTGTCCATGCAAAATGCGTGCATATAGTAGACACTTCTTCCCTACGATGGATACAAAAGTCATCGCTGTAACCAGCTTTACAGTCGTAGACATGGATGGAGTAATGTAATTAATTTAGATGAATTAAAAGTCTTTAGACTAGTAGCCATACGTTCAATTTAGTCAAGCTGTAATACTACCCAACGGATCGACTAACGTCAAAGTCCATCCTTAGCAATCATGGATTGTACAGCATAAGATCAACTTTTAGTCTTCAAATGATTCTACAAGCTGCAAGTTAGACTCGCTAGCTGCGAATACGACTCTAGGGACTGACTGATCGCCGCATTCACTGATTGCGGATGATTACACGTACATCAATTAAATTACCTGATTCCAGTCATCGATTACTCTTTTTGTCTTCATAACTGCCATTCGAGCTACTTTCGTCGCTTGAATTCTGCAAATGCTATTTCCATTCAAGCACTGCTGACTGACAAGGAATGTGTTGTTACAGTAGGAGTAAATACTACAGTTCTTACTGTATGGTGTAGATCAGTTAAGAGCGGCTGCCAGTTTGCAGAATAAAACTCAAAACTGTAGATGAATGATCGTCACTTGATATCCTGTTTAGTAGCCCATATGCGCTAAACTTGTACGTAATTGCCTGACTATTGTAATATAAGACCAACATGTCCTTGACGTACTGTACAATCAATCGATCGATGCTAAAGTTGGAACGCTTATGATTGCAAACGTGCAGAGAAACATGCATTTCCAGTTGGAATACTTCAATAGTACATATTAACTGTCATTCATGTGCTGCAACAGTGTTTTTTGCATAGTACAGCATATACTACGACGATAAATATCAAGGCGAAAAGTGCTGATCTTTTAACGATTATAATATTATTGATATCTTGCCAAGGGCTAGATTATGCAGTACACAATAAATGCAATATGTTACGACATCAATAGAATTACCGCTAGGGTAATACGAGGACGTTTCATATTATTAAATCGGGTTATTAGTTCTATTTCACATATCTAATTGATACCATTGCTTTATGAAATTACTCACAGACAGAGAGAAACAAAAGAAGTTGAAGGCGGCTGAAGATAAAGAAGCGGTATGAAATATATCCAGTAGTAGTAATTGTAACCTCATGGTTAACTTTGCTCAATGCTCTTATCCTGAATATTTTAATAACTACTCAGTAATGTACACTCTCAAAAAGATTACAATTGACACCTTCATCCTTTGATTAAAATATAAAAATAGTTGTATCAAGTAATCATTAAAGGTTGTGGTCTATCTCAAATCAGCCATTTGACAAAAGATACTTTTTCTCATTGAATAATTACAGTCCAAGTTCCCCGATTTTAGAGATCCTGAGGCAATGCAACAATTTTTAATTAGAGAAATTAGCCTTGGAGAAGAATTGGTTAGATCAGGTTTGGCGGAATCGATACTTTGCTTGTAGATATCATAATTGCAATGTTTCAATGTTCATGGAAACCTTTTCTATTCAGTATCACCTTTGCCGTAATACTTTTAAGGATTTATTGCCATAATCAGTACACATAGTACGGTAATAGTTATCACTTACTGTACTATTTGCAATGCTACCAGTACAGTACAACATAAGAAAGAAACTTGATGCTGTCATGCCTACCTGCATATATAATATATACTGTATGACTAATGATGAGTAGCTTAAATTTTGCGTCTAACTCCATTTTTGATGGTTATTTGCTAGGCGATAATCAATCTGCTGTAAAACATTTCATTAATGCCCTTTCCGTATGTGGCCAACCTCAGCAGATGCTTCGCATGTTTCAACAGGCTCTACCACCAGAAGTTATTCAAATGATAATTGAGGAATTACCTAAATTGGCAAAGGTTTGTTACACTAATCGAAACACCTTGTAACCCGTTTACTTCACATTTTTTATTGACTTTAATTTCGGTGACACACTTCAAATGCAATATTTCTCGTCCATCTATTTTTTCAACGTGATTTTATTAAGTCAGAGTAATTATTATTATTCGGCCTTTTACTATTCTACAGGAAGGATATCCTCAATCCCCTGGATCGGAAACTGAAGGAATTGATTAAAGGCCTTTGCTCCGACGTTGTTGTCTTTTATTATTATATGCTTATTAAATCCACTCTAACTCATGTGGTATATATTTAGCTCGATTTACTATGATTTTGCTATTGTATCATATTCAGGATTTCGAAACATGATCAAATAGGTAATAGTACCGTACTAATGGCAATATTCAATGAACATCACAACATAGAATCGGTCATAACAGCATGTCTTACCCTATCACACAATATTGGAGTTATTATTGCTATAGTATTTATTCGGTAATATTTTTTAAAAACTTTACTATAGCTCGTGACAACACTAGCGGTATAAATCACTTTATAGCATGCAGATGTTGCGTACTATTTTCTGGCAGTGAACAAACTTGAAATTCATTGTAATACATTCAACAACTCTGCATGAAAGTCAAAGATCTTACTACCATGTGTGCGACATGATGAGATTTTCGAAGTTCCCGTTAATGTAATACTGTGATCATAACAATATAAAAATAAAGAATATCAATATAGTAATAAAACTTCCAATTCTTGTGTCAATCAATAGTTAATTACATCCACTGCACAGTGCTTAAAGCAACATAAATAATACACGTACATCAATTTGGCAATGGGTCAAGTAATATCTGTTTGATTTGATTTTCGTACCATACTTTAATGAACGGGATACATTGAGACAGTTGGAGCTCAAAACGTACATTTACTTTTATTAAAATATGAAATTTTATTCATGTCATTGAAAAGAAAATCGACTATATCGATAGTCATACAATTACCATACCTTAAGATATGCAAATACATCCTGAAAACATAAGCACTCGGTAGGCAGTGCTATTATTAATTTAGATGACACTTAAGTGCACCTAAATAAACAGTTTTAAATTAAAATCATTCCGAATAATAAGCTATAGTAGAGTATAATGAATAAATTTTAAGCATAAGTAATCGCTGTACATCGTGTACAAACATATTTTATAAGAGTATTTCATATCAACTTATCATTTATGACAATATACATCACCAATACCATACTATATATAATATATACCATACGAAGAACGAAAAACAGGTAAAGGGTATAGATAACTAGCATACGAATATATGAATTATGATGCCATGACAAGTAAGTATTCTAGATAATATTTTACATTCAGAAAATTAATCCACACAATGTTATCAGGCAACTTAAGAAGTGGAATATACAGTCAAATATTACAATCATTGCAAAGGAAACACAACATTTTGGATACTTTTGAAGCAGCTTCAGTATCCCATATTTTTAGTACTCAAAAGGATAATGAATGTATTAATAAATGTCCAATTTTTACAAATTCTCTTCTCTTCTTCGGCCTACAACATCAGTAAACCAAGCGTCTAAACATTTTCATTTCAAGCAATTTTGCATCCGTATCTGCAATACCGTAAGTAATTCAAGGTATACAATCTTCTTTTCATAAAGTGGTCGACGAAGTTTTTAACTTAATAATGAATAATTTCGAATCTATTTACGACAATATTCGATAAGATAATGAGATTCTACCGGTAAGTAGTATAAATATTTTTACATACAGTAGTAGAATATGATCGACAAAAATTAAATCAAGATAAAATCAATATTAGTTTTGTACGAGTTCATTCGTATAAGATGCCTTAATATAAACGATAAAGAATTATACTGCTTATGTCTATACTACACCAAATTACCATACTGCTACAAGATCTAAAAATATTGTGATAGGCATTTTTCTGTAATCTATCAAAGTAACGGACATACATTTACGTATATGTTGCGTTAAATATCATGTCGTAGATTCGATAAAATTTAAAGAGCAAAATGTGTAATCAATTGATACTTCTTATTGAAATAATGCATCGTAAACTATGAATAAAACGCTTTCCATTGGTTATGTCATTAATCTTTAGATTTTTTCGATTTAGAATCATCATCAGCTCTTTTATGAGTTTTCATATGAGCACTGCGGCTTTTCAGTTTGGAAAATTCCCTGATTGTAATTACAATATTGACTATTATTATCACAGTTACAATTTAAATTCTATCATAAAATAAGCATTTAATAAACGATGTTCATAAATTTTTTTTACCTTCCACAAACTTTACATATAAAAGACATTGGCTCATTGCCATTGGTTTGCGTTTTGTTTACTTTTTGGCTCTTGGGACCGGTTTTATGCTTTTTGTTACCTTGTGCATTATCCTCACGCCGATGTGCAAATTTTGGCCTTCTAACCTTGTTAGGTTGAGAATCTGAAGACTTTGCCTGACTATGTAATAAAACATATAATTATTTTACGCATTATTAAATTGTAGGCATCTTTAATATTATTATAATCATACGTTAAGAATAACTTACACCAACTTTGCTACTAGTCTTCCACCATGGACACGGATGTGACCATTTAAAGCCTGCTTCGACGAAAAAGACTGTACAAGAGAAGCAGATTCCTTCATTGCAATGAACTTACATTCAAAAATAGAAATTATTATCTTACTATTGTGCCATAACACACTTACAGCTGTACATCCACCAATGTTACACACGAACAAGCCACTACTGTTATCACTTTTACTTTTCTCACTGCTTGCAGCACCAGCAGTTTTTCGTGTATCAGGAGACACGGACACAGAGCGACGTTGATATGTTCTACGCACTCTCCTGGGAACACTAGGCTCCGATTCCTAGTGAAAAAATGGATTATCAATCTCTTTTGAAAATAATGTCACTAAAGTATGGACCACTATAAGCCCATATGTCTTCTTCTATGCATGTGCATTTTAATAATTACATAAGGTGTTCTTCGACGATACTGCACAGGGAAGAGCTTTTTCCATAAATAATAATATTCAACACATTCTTCGACTGTCTTAGTTCGAACCTAAGTATTGCATTTTGAAGGTTAGTATAAATACAACAAGAAATTCTATTTTAAAAATGGGGAAAACAGATACCGCTTTATTAATTGCTACAAAGTCTTTCTGATGTTCTCTGTACGCTTCATAAAACGCTTTCTTTTCTTTTTCGCTCCAACAGCAGCTGCCTGTAAATATAATAGATAGTATCATTTTAGTTACTCTTTTTATCCAAGTATAATTCTTGAATTACAAATGCAAGTAGAGTACCTGTATAATGATAGGTTAAAAAGGCATCAGTTTCTTTGTACCAGGATTCCATTTGTAAAAGCATACGTAGAGCTCGCTGACGAAATGACAATTAATGTACTTAGAGCCAATTAGTTTGCATTATAATATGATAGCATTAAAGATTTACCTTTACGTTTCCTTGAGCTTTATACAGGCAATGCAAAGCAAATTCTTTATTTCTGCCCCCAAAAGGCACACCATCTGAGCAGGCAAACTCAAGGTAATTTTCAACTATATGTGTACATTATTACAAGTATATCATTTTTTGTGATTTTGACACGTATCAAGTAACTTTTTATTTATTAATAAAACTTTATTAATAGATAACAAAAGAAGAAAATTTCTATAAAACGTACTTTCACCTTCTTCCTCTCTATTAAGATCATCTGAACAGATAAAAATGCGATCTGCATGGTCTTCCTCAGCAGTTACATCTATTGTATCTATAAATGAAATAACAACATTAAATAAACGATACTGTATCGAATACTTCTGTAGAATAACGTGGTATATGTGTGGTAATAAATGTACCTCCAACATAGCTAGGAATTTCTGCTTGAAAGCTTTCACCTACATTAATTTTACTGCAAAACATTATAGCACAGTGTTAAAAAAATCATATAATTAAAAATCATATGGATTTCTTTTGATATCACTTACGGAACAAGTCTTTCGGCATCATCATCGGAGCTCTCACTGTCATAACTATCTGCACTAGAACTAGTACCTGAAAATTCAATAGTAATCATAAGATTTAGTTCAAAATTTGGAAAAAAAATACAACACCTTACTTACGCCGTCTAAGTTGTGAAGCGCCACCAGAAGAATTAGGATGCAGCAGTGTTGGTGAAAATATGTAGTTGCTTTTTCGGTTCGGTGTTAACATAGGAGGAGGAGTATAAGGTGGTGGAGTACTACTTCCACTGTTTGCGCTATTGCTTAAACTTGTATCCAATCGCAGTCGTAGCCTAGATGATCTGCCAGAATTATCGATTTGATTAATATTGCTATGAAAATCCAAAGGAGCTGGTCTCGGTTTGGGTTTATGACGTTTGTGATCTGCATCAGCGTCAGATATATTGCTGGATATTGCCATGGTATCGGTAGCCGCACTCTTAGGGCGAGTATTCAATTGCCGTACAGCTAGAACATCCACAGAATCTAGTTCTTTCATTTCGTTATTTGATTTATCCGTATTATAGTTTGTGCCAGAGTTATCTCTTTCCCTTACAGAATTTTCAGCCTTTCTTTTACGCGAATCATCATCATTTTGTACCTATTTTGAATGAAATGTCAATAAAATACTAACTACTAATGTACCAAGAAAATTAGTGCCTGACAATGCTGTATAATCATACCCGATTCTTGTCAAAACCACCGTGAAGCCTCATGTGACCATTTAGCGAGCGTGATGACTTGAAAGATCTTTTACAAACAGGGCAAACTACCTGGGTATTGACAAGAACTGATGGACTACATTGGAAAAATGAAACGATTATACATTAATCCAATGTGAAAATTTTTGATTCATTATCTCCTTAGATCTATCTTAGTGACACACAACAAGATAATTTCATTACCTATAACGACCTGGAGCCGGTAAGATCTAAATTGTAAATTAAGATAGTATATTCAATTAATAATACAAATAATTGATAAAATTTTCTAAACAATTCATCATAATGGTCAACTTACAGGAGCCCAAGAAGAGGGATTTGGAATGGCTCCGGTATTTTCAATCTGAGATGGTGCCACAGCTGATTGTACAACACTTAATGCGATAGCAGTAGGATCTGGGAGACTAGCACCCGCAGATGTAGTAACAATCGCAACTTGAGATGATGAAGTAGAATTTGTATCACTTGATAATACGGTACAAGTAGATATTTTACTGACAGATGTACTGGTGTTACTATTGACTGAACGTCTAAGTATAGCTGACCCGCTAAGGGATTCTGCACTTGATTGAGGCATATTTGCGACTGGGTGTTGACGCTGAAATTGTATAGGGTAATACATAGATGCGTCGACAGCATGCGGCCAAGCTTGTACTCCACTAGTAGTAAGAGTACTTGGAAAAGCAGAACCAGTAGAGTAGCTACTGATTGATGGACCGGTTATATATATAGGACCAGGAATTGCATGATAACCGGCTGCTACTTCAACAACGGCTCGTTCACTAGCACCATGAGGAATACCAACATTTCTCATGGTTTCGTCTCTGAAGCAACTGCTTGGATGCTCCATTATTGGTATTGATGGCGTAACTGCAGACCCGCCAACGCTAGTGAATATATTAACATGACTAGATGAGTAAGTACTAGCTCCAAAGGATGTAGGAGCAGCCATTGATGATGATAATCCAGTTGAAGTCAAATTTTCAACACGTGATGGTGACATTGTTGCTTGTTCAGAAACTGGATCGAACTGTTTGTCAATTTTACCTGTAGAAGAATAACTCCTGGATGATTTATCCGTTGATCTATTGGTTGATCTATTTTTAATATCAGTAGTGATACCGCCAAGCTCAGATGATTTTACATCAACGGCTTCTTTCATATCTCGACGATAGCTCTCCATTGATTTTCGAATAGCACGCTTACCATCATAAGTCTTGTCACTTTGATTGTCGTGCGGTCTTTTGATCCGGTGGCGCGTGCTATGACCATTCCTATTCAATTGAAATTAATCAATAAATGATCTCAGGATATTTAAGTTACCCAACTGCTTCAATGATACTATGTGTGTAAAAGGGATCGTAATGCAACTCAACGAGACTACCATCTCTATATACCCCAGTAAGAGAGAGCCAATTGCTATTAAAGGTGTTACGTTGAGTACTGTAACTTACACATGATCCTGGCCTGTAACACTTTGATTAGCATTTTGAAGAATCTGCTTATTGTCACCGGGATACATAGCAGTGCTCTTTTTAGCCGATACGTCAGCAGAATTCTCCGTTAATGTCCTATTACTATTTTCACGCTTTGAGTTGTTTTGTGGCAGGTCGTCCTTTCCAACCGACGCTGACGTAGTTGATTGATGTAATTCAGTGGGATCGATATGCTTAAAATTGAATGGAGGTTTAGGGCCTCTAGCAGAATAGCTGGCGAATTGTTCACCTGGTGCAAAATTATCTACTGCAGACTGTATAAATTTAGGTGCTCTCTCTCTTCTGCTTTTTTTGCTGTCAGCTAAAAAAGGAAACATCAATTTAAATATTATCACTTAGAAATGTTGAGTATTACTAATTGAAATTGTACGATGCCAATGTATTCTGTAAAACGGGTACTAATCATAATTGATAAATTACCTCTTCGAAGTAACTGTGGATTGTAATTTGCAGTCTCGCGAGGACCCTGGATTTCTTTAGTAATCGTTTCTATCTCATCCGGATGATGAGATTGTGGATAATCTGACCACATTGTTGAATTTTGGGTGATGATTTGTAAATCATCGTTTAAAATTGCATGGTCCTTATCTTCTATTCCTATAATTTAGAACATGATCAAAGTTAAGTACCGTTTCATCCATGATACGATAGAATAATTTTCGTTTTAGATTACCAGGATTTCATTCATAGGGATATGTCAAAAAAATCTCATTAAGTATTTATTGTAGAAATGGGTTTAGTAGGCCTGTGTCAGTTCCGGTGACGATTTCTTGACTGACTAGCTATTAACAATAATTGGATGCATACATACTGTAGGCGTATACTGTCATTAAAATTCTATTGGCAGTAAGATAATTTTTCATCAATCCAGGTTGCTGGAGAATAGCTGAGTAAGACATGAAATGAATTTGCATGATGGATTGTCCAATGAGCACCAATGTAAAGAGTGTATGACATATTCAGTATAAGATGGAAGAAGTGATGGAACTACTTGCATAAATAATAATATAATAACACTATTCAGCGCATGTAATGGCAATCTTCAATTTTCTGCAGTCCATGATATGGCCTATGACCATAGTCGTTGCTATCCGTACAGTCATGCGACACTCTTCAAATTGGTATGGAGTCAAGATGGAAATACTGATCAAACTACAGCACTAGCATCAACAATATACTGTACATACTGTATTCTTCAGCCTAAATCAATCTTTCATTTTCTACCAAGAGTACCATGATTGCTAATGCTATGTATCTTCCAGTCATGTGACAGTGTTGCAAATCAATCAACATGGATTGCCTACGCTTGTAAGCGCCCATTGTGCACTAAAATGCATACTATGCCATTGATTAACTCGATGGTAGGCAAGATGCAACGCTACTGTCAAACACCTACAGTACAGAGGACATAGAAGGAAAAGCCAGACAGCCCTTGTTGATGTTATCAAGGGCTGCAAAGTGAAAACCGTATGGTAAAATGTTTGTTATGTCTGTCATCTTCTATCTTCATACACTACACAGTAGAGTACAGTAGTATCTCTCGGCACCTTGATCAATACCTCTACGGCGTCGTCATTGCCAATACTGTAATGCTATTGTTACTACCGGTAGGTCCTGCTGATGCCCAGCCAACTACAGACTAGGCCAGCTGTTATTATTTTTTTCCCCATCATCCAGTATTCGAGGTTCGAAAATGGCCGAGGCAGCAACTACGCTATTAGTCTACACTGAGTCCACTTTCTTCGACTAGGTACTGACTGACCGGTACAGTTGTTGTTGCAAATCAATCCTTGAAGTCCACAGTCCTTCAGTCCAGTCCCACTACAGTACTTCGCACTGTAGTCGACGCTAGCCTGCGCTACTGGACTGCACAGTGTACAGTGTACAGTATAAACTGTCCGGTACTGTTTATATACGTCCATCATGGATGATTGGTTGCCCATCAGTCAATAACTGTCAAATGCATCTCAATAAACAAATCCATTCATGCTCAGTAGCGGGCTGTTATGCTATAAGTATAATACTTGTGCAACTTTGAAGACAGGATGACAAAAATGGATCCAAATGAATCAAGAATAGAATGATCAGTTGGGCTTGGAACGAGATCAATACCTTGGCGAAGAGAAGTTAGCTGCTTAGCAGCTATAACGTCTTTTTCTGTTCTTTCTAAATTGGGATTGCAAGCCTCAAATCGAGGCAAATTGCTGTCGCTGGCATTTGCGCTGGTGCTTGCATTGGCACTGGCTAAGGCCATGTTCAATTTCTTTTCTAATGCAACCAACGCAAAATAAACATCATTGAGAAAAGAAAAAAACATGTACAACCGTGGCATTGAATTCTTGGCGTAGCAATCAAATTTTAAATTACAGTTACATACAACCACTTGCAGAAACAATCGTAATCGCTTGCTTCCGAGATATCCACTCATTGACGATCATGGTTGATAATTTCATGTATAAAGTATTCTCTCATCATTTCCAAATTGCAACCAAATTGATCAAGTGTAATCCTAAGCCAACGACTATACAATATATAAAACTGCTATCCTACAGTAATGTAAAGATGAGCTCTGAGTGGGTGAGCATATCATACAAATGATGAATCACACGTCTAACAAGTGCATGGGCCATTACGTATTTCCAAAAGTATGCAACCGATATTGCGATTAAGTAATACCTAGTAACCGAAACTAATGAAGCGCCAGGATGTGACAAAAAAAACAATAAAGGGTGACGAATTTGGTCAAGGAAAAAGTCAAATTTGAATTCATAGCGATGTAATAGCATTGCCAAAATGGAAAAGAATAGCGGTATTCAATATTCAATAGAGTAAATATAAATAAAATCGATCGGTAACACTAGAGCAATAGTTGAATGCGCTTCCCCCTTAGTACAATTCAATTCAATGTAATCTAGCAAGATTTTTATACCCAATACATCTAGAGCCAATAGTCATACTGGTCGATTAGGACGCTCAATAACGCTCACTAAAACTATCATCCAACTAAGCTTCATCAACAACTTTATAAACAATGCAGTTCTGCTGCAGAAAGCAGAAACTGCGTCAATAAAATGCACTACAAAGTACAGTACTGTACACTGTAACAAATACATATGAGTTGGAGAAGAAAAGAAAGCAGATTCGGTACTCAACTTTATTTGGTTGATGAAAGCTGGAGCGAAATAGCTTTTTCTCCGGCAAGCTTTCGTCAATCACTGTCTATGACATCAAATGTAATTGAGACGACTTTTGCAATAAGCGCAACCAGGTGAAAATGATGTAGCAATTCCCTTATTAACTGCTAGTTGAGATTTGAACGTATAAAACGAGTACTGTGTAATAAGTGATGTGCTACCGACCTGCGATGAAAGTGTTTATTTTTTTTTTATACGCGTAACGCTGGAATCGATCAAAAGTAAATATAGTAGTCAGTAGAAGCACAAGTTCCTCAAAAAGTTGCCTTTGCTATTACAGGAATGACCAAAGTTTGAATAAAATTTTCAGGGAAGTTCCTCTTTGATTCAAGACTGCAACCAACACTGCAGTGTACAACACTATTACTGGATGCATAGTTGCTGATCACTAAGTTACAAAGTTATTATCCGTATGATATGAGTATTGTACTGTATAATTAGAGATGAATACAGTATTTTATATCGTATTCATCACAGCAATGACTAAAACGTACTCATGGAAGACTTTAATTGCAATATCTATGACTAAATTTAGGAATTGTAAAGTAACTTGAATCATAAAGGAACTAATTGTTTGCAGTAAATGATGGCCTAAAGAGAAACAACTACTGTACAGTATCGAGACCAGTTATTCATAACGCGCTGCATACTGTACTGGACATGTCGGCAATTTAGCTACCTACAGTAGAAAAAATCTGAAATAAAGCACAAGAGTAATTTTTGGTACTGTCTACTGATTGGTTTCTAACGTACAAACTTTTCAAATTCGTTTGGAAAAAAGGCTGTATTTGTATCTTTCTCAGCCTTTATAAAGAAATGATAGCATGATATAGCAGTTCCACTGAATAGGATATAATTATTAGTGAACTGCATTGGACGTAGAGTAAATTAGCTCTGGAAGCGATAGCCGATCTAGTACAATGCCCGATCAATGGTGGATTTCTTTAATTTTATCACTACCTAAGATTGAGTTTTGTAAATCATGACTATTAGCTAAGCTCGTTAGCAAAGTGAATCTTACAATAATGACGTAAGTTGTATGGTCCAAAATTGAATTTCTCTATTCCACTATTTAGATTGAAATTTTCACAGTAGCACTCACTACAAGGGTATGTATGAAGTGGGCTACAAAGGGTATGCCTACTGAGTCAATCGAAATTATTACAACAACAAATGTACAAGACCGTGTGACTTGATCATGAGATCCCTTAATTATTGTAAGCAAAGCAAGCGGGGGAAGGGAAAACACTGGCCAAGATGGCGATCCTAGTAAGCCTTATCAATTCTATACTCGTTACACAAGACAAATCAACTTTTCAGCTTGTACAATAGTAACATTATAACAGTAGAGGATAATTTAATAGCTAACCATGCTTATTGGTCTCATGTAGTTTAATTTTGAGCATGAAAAAGAAGGTAAAAAGTATTAGCTTCAACGTGTTACGTTGATTTACTAGGTAATAAAATTGATTTCTAAACATTCAGTCGTACAGCAACGATTGTCTCTCTCCTACAGTGTCAATTCTTGCATCGTTTAATGGAAAAAATGACTAGCACCAAAGTAAATTAAACTAATACAACATCAAATAGTATGAAATGGATGCTAATACGAGGTCCTCATTTGCTTTGGAGTCAACTCTTGCAGTAATATTGAATGGATCGCCATTGCAGGAAGCGAAAAGGTAGGAAAAAAATCCATGTTATGAAAAAAAAGTCAATGAATGGCATAGACTAGTACGGACGTACTATGCAGTAGACAGTACCTTCTATAGTGGTGTATATCTGAAGAACCGTTGATTTATTGTAGTTGAGAGTGTTGTCGCCGTTGTAGAGTAGTATTCTCGCTTGTAGGCAACAAAAAAAAAAGCGAAAATGGATGATTGCATCTATCCAGTGATAAATGGATGATTTCTTTGAATTCCACCTTGGAAAAGTAAGTCAATCCATGAGAATGGACTGTAGTATAAGTCTACTTGTCCGAGTATGCAAAGTTTTGATGAAAAAAAAAAAAAAGTAGCGAAAGCAGGATGAATGTAGCAATCGAGGCAGGCAGTTGACTTGACGATTGTGTTATGTGTACGTATGCTATGGATGTTTTGGAAGGTGTATTTTCTATTCTATCCTACTCGATCATTATCGAATCGAACCGTATGATCGACTAGGTTAAGCCAAAGCGTGTAGGCTACGTATGGATAACCCATTCAAGCCTAAGTGAAAGTCTTTTTTTCCATGCTAAAATCAATCAAGATGCTCATGACAACACGGCACTTACTTTGGAATAGTTTATATGCATACCATAATAACCTATCATCCATCGACTACACTTTTTCTCAATCAATGGATACTCTCTTCACCATGATCATCAACATTTGCACAAGGAATCAAGTTACACATCATCTAACCTGTAATGGCAGGCTTTCACTTCCCTTGATGGCCTCAGTAAACTGCATCAACATTACAGAAATTGAGCTGAAAATGTCCGCCTCGACAAACTGTATATGTACTGTACTGTTTTTTCACCGTCCAAAAATGATTGTGCTAAAAAAAAAAGCACCACTGTATTATGACTGACTGTCTGAGCAAAATGGCCCAGGCTTGCGTCCTCATCCAACTCCTTCTCGATTGGGTAGGGCTGATCACGTGGTAACGACTTACTCAACAAAGCCAAGTGTACAGTACACCATTTCAATGGGAACGTCACAAAGGAGGCTATTGTATTGTAGCCATCGAGTAGATAATACAGACGACGTCACTACTGCTGGATGAAAAGTATGTAAACTGACCGGCAACCAGTCAGGCTAATACTTGACGCCACTCTCGATACTAACTCGACGTACGCCGTGCGCTTGCCAAGGCTGAAATGCCTGACTAGTCAGACGTCAAAGCTATTTTTAGCAAGTCATTCAAATCATCTATAGGGGCCGGCCTACCGGTGTCCAAACCATGGTCGAAACATACAGTACAGTACAGTAATAGCACACAGTGCATACTAGACTCATACAGTATAAATACTGTAGACTGACGACTGTACTGTACAGTACAGTACTCCAACAAAGCCAAGTGTACAGTACAGTACTGTACAGTACTGTACACCCAGCCATTTCAATGTGAACGTCACAAAGGAGGCTATTGTACTGTATTGTAGCCATCGAGTAGATAATACAGACGACGTCACTACTGCTCGATGAAAAGTATGTAAACTGACCGGCAAACAGTCAGGCTAATGCTTGACGCCACTCGATACTAACTCGACGTACAGTACGACGTGCGCTTGCCAAGGCTGAAATGCCTGACTAGTCAGACGTCAAAGCTATTTTTAGCAAGTCATTCAAATCATCTATACAGTACTGTAATAACACACAGTGCATACTGGACTCATACAGTACAAATACTGTAGACTGACGACTGTATATTGTATTGTACTGTACTGTACTGTACAGTATAGCCAGAGCTTTTAACCGCTTGCAAACTCGCTGAGGACTTCACTGTAGTACTGCACTCTCCAGGACTGATGGAGACGACGCGATCAGCTTTGTTGTCTTGCATTGTCCACATTTTGGGGGGGGGATTATAATTATCCTCCTATGGCGTCTTGTTTGCCGGTCTCAGTATGCAGTATTATGAACTCATTACAACCTTTATAGTTTGTATTAACCTTTTGAAACAATAGACTAGAGCGTGGATACCGTTGACTTATCTTTTCCATGTTGTACTGGAGGATAGAGTAACACTGTCTAAATTAGAATTACGGTAGAAATAATGAGTACATAACAGCGACTACAAGCTCATTCTGTTACACTTTATAGAGTCAAGGACAGCATGACAATATTCCTTTATACTTTGAAAACAATTATTCGATTTCGTGAACAAAAACTCATTGCAAATTTAGACCTCTCTCTTTCATTTCATAACTGCACTTAAATAATAACGGCACAAATTGCGCGCAAATAACTACAAGCTCTTAACTGCTATTATTGTCTTCTCATATTGTCACTTTGGTAGACAAAGTATGCTAGACCAGTAACCCAACCACCACTGAAATGTGCTCTACACGCCTACTACACATCGATGGCCAATATTATTTATTTTGAAATGATCGTACTGTACAGTACGTGTGCATTAATTGGTACGTGATAAAATGGACAAATGACACACGTATTGTAGTACACAGCTTGATCGTTTTTTCATCATCCCTATATTAGACGTTATATTATTAGTGTAGAATGCATTTCAAAGTGGATAGGTCACTCCAAAATTGAGATGGAAAGCTCTTTTCAATTTTATAAATCGTAATATGGCCCGCTAGACATCAGTAACAGAGTAATCCATTGTACAATTATTAAAATCATCTCTTCATAATAACCGCGGTAAAAATTAATCAATAAAAATAACCTTTCTTCCATTGTGTAACCAACATTGCAATAGCCTACAAGTTTTACGTTCGATGCTTGCTTTCTTCACAATTGTCATGAATTAGTGAAACTGGGTGTCATACAGTACAGTATAACTTTGCCGATCACTGTAAATGATCATTCCATAAAAGTAGAGCTCGCTCTTAAAATCATACATCATAAATACATGGCCATATTTCACTGAAACGCGGAATACTGTAAATAAATAAAAAAATAGAAATGAATACAAGACCACCCAATGTAGACGTACCGTATTGTACTCCATCTGCAAAGTATAATCGGTACATGATACAATAGTCAGTAATACAGTACCAAAAGAGTTTGTATGCAATGGAATAGTTGTAATTTCCAGAGTAAACAACAAATCTGCGTCGATGCTTACGAGAGATCACAAGCCAGCTTAGTAATGTTAACACGCGCATTCGCGTACTGTATAATTAATGTACGCTATGTATAGTAGTACTGTACAGTATATCCTGAGAGTACATTTAGGATATGATATACACAAATGTTTGCAAAATAGGCTATCTTTGACGTGTTCCATCTTTCAGTAGTGCCGCACTGCGTATTCCACATAAAAGATTTCAGCACATACTGTATTCATTGAATATTTGCCATTTTTGGGGGGAATTGAAGTACTCTCTATTTTCGATTTCACACCAGACTATCGAATTCACTTTACTACTGTCGATATTCACAAACTTTACAATCAGTAGGTTTGCCGAAACCAAGTCTTAGTCTGCACTAGAGCTCATGTTGTAGACAATTTTACAAACTTTCTTGTGTTAAGATAAATTGCAACACTAACCCATTAATTTACTGTTAAACTCACATTCGTAAAGATACGTACAGTAACTACAACGGTATACTGTACTTTGCAATGTCAGTCTCTGGAAGCGTGCATGATGGAGCTTTTCACAAAGTTCGTCCGTATTAGTTGCTAAGGTAACACAATGGTGTTTTTGTGATAGACATAGCAGCCATTACAGTCATAAACTTATAGTATACTGTATTATGTCCTTGTATACTGCAATGACCACACAGCATTATCGTAGTGATATTGTTATGTCTGTATAGCAAATACTGTACAGTATACTTGGTATAATATCAATGAATTCATTAATTGTATTATCAGAAATCTCATTTGCACGGTATGGTATGCGAGTTTAGCCATTAAAGTAATAATTATTCTTATGTACAGTTATAGTATAGTAGTAATAACGCCACACTCCATAACTACTGTATGCTTTGTTGACTTTTCACAAAATTGATTTTTGCGGCTACCTCTGACCTCTCTGTACTGCACTACTACTCTACTGCATGGCGTGGCCCGTTATTAATAAAGAGAAAAATCCTATACTGTACAGCACTGTACTCGGTAAAGGTCTGTGAAAAAATCCGATATCCGAAAGTATCAGTTTATCGTTCGGAGTCGGATCAATTTTTGGAGATAAACATTTTTTTAATCGGATTTCGGAGTGAGACATAACATTCTCACAGACCTTTACTCTACTCTACTCTACAGTCTACAGTATATACTCAATACATTGCTTATTGGCAGGTATCATGCAGTACTGTCTTCTGTACCGTATGGAGCAGAGTTTAATTGCATGGATGCTCGTGAGTTAATTTTAAGTACAGGCGGTGGGGACCTTTACTATATATATTACGTTGATATCATGTTGTCGAGGTCAGTAAAATGGTCGTAAAGTAAATTACCCCAAAAATGTTGCTAGTTATTAGTCAACAACTAAGAATGGGCGTGAAATAACTCAGGTTCAAAATCAAACACATTTCAATCAATTAATTATTAGAAACAATGCCAATCAAGTAATGACGGCACAGTACAGCAGATACCATACGGCGTGAGATACTTTGTATCAGCTATACTATACCTTCCGTGTGGTAGCATGTCGGGTTATTTTGAAAGAAGGGAAAATTATAAAAATGCAATATAAGCGTCGCAGGAATTACTACTGATCAGGCTACACACAATCATATCACTTGCTGCGGTAGTATAGGAAATTTTTTCATAAAACTACAGAATGAGCCCAATTATACCCTTGCCGAAAGTAAATAAGATCTTACAATTTCAAGGGCTGTACCATAGTTTTCTTTTACCTCTATGGGCTGTACAATAATATTAGTAACTACCACCTATTTCAAATTTTTAACAACGAATGTTCCGATTTCTCACTTCCTAGTCCTAAAATAATCTCGAATGGACCACAAATTTCGCTCTACTTTCTCAACTGTTAACTACCAGTTAACCTTTCATGCTCAAAGTGACTTCTACGTCTTACACAAGCTAAGTGAAGTAGACCAGTGGTAATAATCATGCATCTTATCATTATGATTCCGAGACTTATAGTACCTTCTTTATAATGATATTTAGGTTTGTCCACATGACAGCCTTTTAAAAGTAAGAGGGATCTACACATTTTTTTAATTTTACAACTATTGACTTTCATATTTATGGAAATATGCCCCAGTTCGATCAGAATAACGCAATGTAGATGAAATGCCTTCTTTAATCTGTAACCAGCACGGTCAACAAGCTGCAAAGTATTAGTAGTGCTGTATTTATAATGAAGCTCAAAAAGGTTGTTTCGCTTACAATTTTTAGGCAATAATTTTTCGTTAAACAATATTTTAGTCTAATTTTGAACATAATTTAAAATCTACTAAATTTCGGAAAGAAAACAAAGCTACACTTCCAAGCTCTAGCAAGTATAATTGTAATATTACTATAACAGTAATAGACTTATACAATAACAAAGTTATGCAAATGACTTTCAATCATAAAACCAGTACGTCATATAGACACATTGATTCGAAGGCTGAAGAAAAATGAAGTACTGGAAATAAATCATTGCATGACGAAAACAATTAATCTATTAATCTAATCGGTTACTAAAATTGCGATTGTCATCATGTTATGATAATAACGATTTGAAGCCTACCAATATCGTGATACCATGGCATTTTTTTATCAAGACGAAAAACTGACATTGCAGTTTTAACTAAGATATCACCAACACATTAAGAGATAATATCAGCAATGATTTCTATAGTTAAAAAATGTAGGCTGAAATTATTGGGGCAAAAATTGGTTCTAGATAATTTCATCAGTGTATCTCGTACACATCTTTGACACATCATAAGAATTCATATAATTACAAAGTAAAGCCTTAATAAAGATAGCACATTAACATAAGGCAATTTATAAAAGCTATCTACAGGACTCAAATACAGTAATTTTCGCTTATGGGACGCAGAAATAAACCACAAATCCGCGATTTAGATTCGAAAGCGTTTACCGAACGATTTCATTGGATTCTTTCAACACTTCTAGTACTGGTTACATCCTAATGTGACTGCTTTACTTAATAATATTTACATTTTCGCATAGCTAGCAAGCACCAAATAGATACGATAAAACATATTCCATTTAGCTAAATGACAGCCGTACGACAATTGTGTCGTAGCCAAGAATTAATTTCATCAGAATATTTATCAATTTCTTCTTCATTACCATGGATTTACATATCGGCGTAAATTTATTTTTACTAGAATTCTAATAGCATACGATTTACAGATAATCCACAGTCGAATACACTGACCACTTCAAATGTAATTGAAGCTTCATTGTCCACCACCTTTGTTAGCATTGCCGTCATTTACACGTGATAGCTGTTCAATCTTTTTCCAAACCTCGTCTCTATCTTTTTCTTTCCTTTTCTCCCTATGTAGCAAGTCGTAGATAAGTAACTAATACCTGAGAACAGTTACAATTGATAACTAGACTTTTACCTTTGTCTTTCTCCTTTATAGCTAGCAGTTAATTCTTCAAATAATTTACCATTCATTTCCATAAAAGTCTTAAGTACGTTATACACTAACGTCACAATAGTTCTAAATATGCAACAAATATCAATGTCATAAGAATTCCTTATCCATAAGTATACTTCATAAGTTATTAACAACTTAAAGATTAGCACATACTGATTCCAATGTTCTCTTGAAATTCGATATAAACAGGAAAATAATATTGGCATAATAGTTTCGGAATTTTCTTCAATAAGTCTTACTATGTATTCATTGTTCCAAAAGTATAACGCTCTTTCTGCAACCTATTATAAAATAATTTTCAAACATAAAATAGGCGTATATTAACGGTCATAAGACAATCAAAGCACAAACCTGAAAATGAGGACTGGATACGCATTTGGCAATTTGTTTAAAAAGAGACTCCTGGATTTGCTGAAACTGTGCGGGGCCAACAACATCAAGAATCTCTTCCACTTCACTCAGAAACATCACCTACAAAATGTAAATAATATTTACATTAGTATCGCCCACTAAGGGATAAAGAATAAACAAGGCTCAAATAGAACCAACTTTATACCTCCTTTTGACTGCTAGTCTTAGGCCAATACCTTAAAAGCCCATGCAATACCTAATAATTTTAAAATTTTATGTAGATATTTGTAAAATATTGCAGTAGAAATATAAAATATGAACGTAAGCTAATAAAACTTACCCCTTCAGAAAGAGTAACATCTTTCTCCAAATACTGCACCACGCAGTAAGCAAGCTACTCGGAAAAATAGTCAAAATAATATAAATCTAAAGACGAACTGTATACTTCCAGTCAGTCAAATTCGTTATTACCTGTGGATGGTACAAACTTAAAGATTTGGCTTTGTGTAAAGGTATTAGTACTTTCTGTAGAAATTGTTTGTGTTCATCTTTCAATGGAAGCGCAAAGCCATTGATAATACTGTATTAGCCCAAATAATAAAAAAGTTGTCAACGATGATACGAGTAGATATCTACAAGCTCTAATCTACGTATCCATGAAGCAACTACAATTACAGATAGGACTAGGTGATAACTTTAACTATGCGAAATACGATATTTTATCAGCCATTAACATATATCGCATAACCATACCTTCCTAATATTTCCAATAGTTCTCCAATTCCATTACAGTTTTCTGTCTCATAAACAAATCTAGGTAAAATCATTATAAATTAACCATAAATACACAATATATAGTATTTGTAATAATTGCATGCATGCAGACACTATACTGTAATATTGATAAACATGAATTAAACTGATAAGCTTCTCAATAAAGACGGCATACTTCAAAAAGATATTGTTAATTTGCTTCCTTATATACGCCCGCAATCCTAGGAATTTTCCATATATTCGATGTAAAACAGTTTTTAAAAGTTCCCTTTCCCTTGGATCTTCACTATCGAACAGTTCCAGCAACTACAATCATAGCATGAATTAACGTCCCGTCAACAGGGTGATAAAAATTTTTTCCTAAGCACACGAGGATTGCTGATAGGTAAATAAAATGAGTACTTTACTTGTAAAACAAATTTCTGATCAATATATCTCTTCGCTGTGAATGGCTTAAAATCTGGTGACTCCAAAAAGCGAATAAAAAATTCATAGACCAACTGCAAATACGGAAAGTATCGATAATGAGAATTTAGTATAATCCAAAATTAAAAAGTAAGAGTTGAATTATTCAATATAATAAACGACGCATCGACAAGTACATGTATTTAATAATTACTGGATATGTAAATCGTAGCTACGGTTACGTTTGTGTATGTGTATCCTTGATACTAGAATTTTATTTAATTTATTTCTCAATTAAATGTTGTAGCTTTTACTAGCAAGTAGTACTAGTTGTACTGGATGAATCTTAAAAATGTACAATAGCGGTCTGAGCACTATAACATGAAACAATTTATTTACGACCTGTGGAATGCAGATATTTCACAAATAACACTGTACTGAGAAAATTTTCCATATTAAAGAATTCTACATATGTGATATGACTTTAGAAATTGTAAGTATAAATAGATAGTATTATGAGCATTGCAGTATTTACTTCAACGTTTATGGATATTCATCTCAGTATTTTGTGATGCTATACAATGAACTACACCTAATTATTGACACAGTTGTACATTACTACTAAAAAATGTCTTAGCAAGTGCATAAAGATAATATGTGCGGTGAAGAACTGATCAAACAGGCAAGCAAATTTCTTACTCTGCTTGTTATATTCATTACATTACATAGGTCATTATAACAGTTGAACCTGAAGATGAGGCCATGATGCTTCCAAAGTCGGTTCATCTTCCTCGGGATCGAAATCAGGATTATCAGATGGCGGTAAGACTCTGAAGATATTGACGTCCACCTATAACATATAACAACCTTGCTATTAGTTCTTGTCTATCTTATCAGAAGCCCTGTAACATACTATGAGAACATTTTCATTCCTTTGTTAACAGAAATATTTGGTGTTTAAATCCAAGAAATAGTAAATTACTTAGATTGAATAATCGTAGAGTATTTTTGATACTACATTACTACCAGAATATTTATTAATTTGTAAACAGTCATGCTTAAGTGAGAAGTATGCGTACAATATCATTGTCATTCTCTTAACGAAAGCTAGGCCTCGCTACTATAGGTAAATCATTTAAATGGAAGGGGATATTTCAGTAATAATGACGTTATTAGTAACGATGAGATGCTAGTAAACAATATGAATCAGTAAATAATGTATTTAGTCCTATAAAAATAGAGTTCTTTTAATTTTAATTTCACGCCGATTTTTTCTTATATTATATTTAGTGAACACCCCAAAGCATTGTAAATGATAGCGTTGTAACTAGGAAGACTTTCTAATAGCAACCATAGCTCATCACAGTAGTATAATTTAGCGTAAAATCAAGTATGTATTCCGTACAAGTTCGATGCCTACTGCATTTACACCTAAAGTTAACCCTGTAGCGTGTTGTTCAAAGGAGCAAAAGAGCATCCCTAGAATAGGAATCTTTCAATTTATTGCATTATGAACTGGCATTTATTAACGTGCGTAAAATGGTGAAATACTACGTACCGTATACCAATTATTAAAATTTAGTAATTAATACACGATCATGATGATAACGTTAGTACTAATCTAATAAATTCAGAATTGCGGTATAATCTTCAAATTATTAGTTTAATCCAACGTGAAAAATTTGATAAATTGTCGTGAATATCATGCTACTGTACAAAATGTTTATTTTCTCTTTAAATATAGAAAAAGGGGAAAATCGGACTTAAACTAACGTACAAATACCGTACTTTATGCCAACATGTAGCTATCCATGCAAGAATTGTCAAGGCACATAGCAATAATTTCTATATACTTTGCCATCTAAAGAATGAATAAGCGTACCGTACATTACATGTTTAACAAATGTTTAACAAAGAATATATGTACCGTATGTCATCTCAATATCAATTTTGATAAATGCTAAAACTAACGAAATACGTATAATGCTATAATCTATTTCTTGCCATATTCAGCTACATTATATTTCGGGCCGATATTAGTATCAAAATTCTACATTGAACGATAATCTAATAATATCTACACTAACCCATATATTCGTATTGCAATTTTATACTATCTAAACCAGTCTATAATATTATCTATTGACAGTTACAATAAACAATTGGGTGAATAAAATTCGGAATTGAATTTCGTGTAGGTATAAAAAGATAGTCACAAAAACTAGAAAATTTGTGAGGGAGCTTATCAACGTATATATTATACAATTTAACATCGATTTTGAATAATTACTTCAACAGTTGACTTTAACAAATAACTGTTGTCAAACATACAAGTATAGTATTAGCATATTCTAGTGCTATACCAACAAAGTAAATCATCGTTTGTCTGCTTTATTTTAGTACAAAAAAGGCAAATAATCGTTAGCAGTCAAGCAACTGTAACGAAGAATGAGAAATTCTAACTGATAAAAATGTGACTATAATAACACAACTCTAACTCTAGCTGTTGAAGAAAGATCCAATAGTCCATCTATACGTACAACGAAGGCGTGGATATATACGCGTACTATACTATGTCATCTCTGGAGCAATATTGTGCAACAGTCCCCCGCTTTTTAGCCTTTCATTTAAGTAAGCCGATTACAAATGCTAAACGTGTGCATGAGATATAACGATAATGGAACTTACCAGCTTGACAACCTCACTGTATGTCGATTCTACGATGACTTTACGTCCTGCAGAAATACAATCAATGAGATCATTGAGCGCCGCACGCTTGATTTCTTTATTCCTGAGATCACTAACAGGATCCATGAAATCGAAGCAGTAGCAACATTGCTGCAACTTCTTGATAAACAAATCGTTTAATTCTTCGCCTTGTGCATCTATGATAAGCCAATTCAATTACACAACATTAAAAATCAGTCATGATGATACAATAGTAACAGTGGATGTAATAAACATAATTTATAGTTTCAAACTTGATTATGCTAAGTTATAGAGTTGCGTGAATATAATAGTGCAAGTAGTATGTAATACCATTACTGAATAGTTAACCGTTATTATAATCACGTTAAATGGAGCGAAGAGTGATTAATTCTGAGAATATGCTGATTAAAAAAATTATAGATATAACTCCATCCCCTTCCACTAAATCGTGGGAATACTGAGCAATTCATAAAATTATAAAGAGTTGGATGACAAATGATTAATTACGTTGCATTTGTCGTGTTTATTGTAAATGTAAATGTTATAAAGTTTTCAAATTACATCATTTAATTTGATTTTATTTGGGGGTATTGCGACGTTGTTAAAACGATCGAAATACTCTTTCGATCCAATCTTCATCGAATAAGTGTAGCCCATAGCAATCGCAAGCTACTACTGAACAATTATCTTATTTCACAGGCATTGAAGCAGAATGGCCTGACATCATTCAAGCTGTCATTACATAAGACCAAATCAAGGACAAAGAATTATTCAAGTACAGTATGTGCTGCATTTAGGTATTGGCATTGTAGTAATTAATATAGCATGATCACATGATATAGAGATTTTTATGCTGAATATAACCCTCGTACAATATAAAAAATTAAGAAATGATAGTCATTATAAAATGTGTCATTTGCCAAATTCCCTACAGCGGTGTATACCATCAGATTTATAATGATTACTTTTAACAGTGTATAATTTTATGTAGTACAACTGACTGATAGAACTAAGAATAATCAGGACTCTACCAACTGTTCCTCTCAGTTAAATATTGATCTATACAATTTATCCTCCTTTAAAAAGCGCTTTGTAATACAACTGACTTTAGTCTAAACTCTTGTTATGCATTAAAAATAAGGAAATAAAAAATTAAAGAATAACCCGGACTGTTTTTGCTACACTCTGTCTGTCTGTAATCTATACAGATCCATGTCAGAACAATAGACAGTAGAATTTCAAATGTCTCTTCTACCTTTTCATCATGAATGCCAACACATTACTGTAGTTGGACTTAAATTGACCAGCTCTTAATCTACAGTGGCCACTACGACAATGAATAACCGCAGGCGGAAAGCTATTTTTGCATGTAATTTAATTCGGTAGGCCAAACAATTTATAGTAGTTTAGAAAAATTAATTAATAATTATCATTTATGAGAAAATACGGTGTCGGTAGGAATCACCTGGGCACTAATTCCGTGCTACATTGACGCGTGCTAAAAATTGAACTTTGCGAATTAAATACAGTCATTCACATAGCAATCGTAAAATGAAAATGGAGAAGGATCTCTTGTCGTAACCTCTTTGCAATACTGTATGGCATACAGTATCTCTCCATCGTGGCATAGTCCAGATCATCGACTCTGAGATAACTCAAAAATATAAAACACTGAGTGATTGTCAACTCCCCGATTGCATAATCGTATTATACTACTATACCGTGCGATAGCGTGCATCGATACTACAACGACATCGCGATAATCATGGATTACGCTGACGAATAGTCTATTTTGTAACTTAAAAGGTCTAATTGAAGATACGATTTACTTCTAACAGGATAATGTATCAAAAAATGTTCAATTCAGGATGTTGATGGAAATGATATCGATTTTATAAAAGGGTAGATTGTTCATGACAGGCACGATATCCAAAAACGGATGATTTTACTAATCATTGAAAAATATCACATAATCAAAAATACGAATAATTTATAGATTTACAGTATTTGTACCTGTCAGTAGGAATTAGGGTTTCTAGTTCTAATACTCAATGGTATTATAGTACTGTACGCTCTAATATGTTTATATGCATCCAATTTCAATTGATCACCCTAATAAAAATACCCTTTTAGCTACCATGCTTTATATTGTTAGGATCTGTCGAGAATCCTCTAGGAGTCAATAGCCGTGCACGGCAGATATCAACACTTTGAAAATATTGAATTTCTAATCAATAAAAAGCAGTCGATTGACTACGGTACCGTATAATTTTAAAAGTCAGTGCCGATCCAGTTTTTCAATGCATTTACACAGTCTATGTTGGACTGTTTTGCTAAAAGGATATTATGTACCCTTATTGTACAGTACTTGAGCGTATTCAGTGAATGTAGATGCAGAGCCTTTCAGAAATGTCTATCTAAAGTGAATACCTAATAATGCATATTTATATAATAAAATATTTATCGCGATCTTCATACTAACACCGTACGCCGTTTCTTACTTTATTATCGTCAGCGCGACTCGTATCTTGAAAATATCCTACTGAATGTATACTATACAGTCATTTAATGATTGGAATTATGCTAGGAGTATATGAACGTATGAAACATAATCAATTAAGTCCACACTTAGCCCAGTTCAAATATGACAGAAACTTGGAAATGGATGACACTGAATAAATCATCAAGTTAAATAAACTATAAAAGAAAGTTGAAGCTTCAGTACAACAGCATACTGATTATTTTCATAGAATAGATTGAATATCCACCGAGAATAGTAAACGTTGCACCAGTACTACAGTATGTCCATGATAGCAAGTGGCTTTAGATGACTACCGCATAACATTATGATTTGTTCATTGCAATCAAGATAGAGCGCCATGAGTTTATTGGGGAAAGTGTTGGTAGCACTTGCTCTTAAGAGATTGGTCTTTGAAAGTGAACGTTGAGTATGTATACGTACACCTCTACCTGTATACTGTACTGTACACACGTCTATCCGACCCCTACTTGTAAATCTATCCTAAGTTCCTAACTGACTTTATGCAATCAAAATAACGCTCATCGCCCAAGCAGTTGATAAAGGGAAAAGCAAAAAAAAAAAAACCAGTGGATCCAAAGCGTACGTCGACAATGCGGTATTGCAGTACAACCGCTAGGATAGTAGAATGGAGTGATGGGGGGGGAAAAAAGCAAGGAATAAAAAAACTGCTTTCAACTTAATACAGTTTCCATTTGATGTTCGACTAGGATGGAAGAAGATTAGAGTAGAGGCTAGGGGAATTCAGATTGGATGGAGCAGATCGATGATGATGAATAAAGTGGAAATGACTGTATGAAGACTGTCCATCAAAGAAGATAGACCATGGTGATCATTGTTGATCAGCAATGATGTTGCGATGGACGGAGCAGCTGTAGGGGCCATAAGTCGACCTAAAAACTACAATCAAGTTGCTATCAAAAATGGGTTGGAAAAGCATATCCATCGATCGATAGCACTGTCCATATTGACTTGACAAGGACTGTAATATGGATGTGAAGGATTTTTAGCATCAAATCCAAAGCAAAGAGTGCCTTATGATATGGTTATTTCCATCTTTTAATGTCTGCAATAAAAAGAAGTGGGGAAATATTACGGACGTACAGTCCATACGCAGTCCATAGTAGCGTTGCCGCGTAGACGACCATTGCTACTTGACCAATGTCATCCAGTAGCGATGGTACATAATCCACGGCAACATCAAATCCCATAGGATGAGCGTGTACAAGGGTAATGGATTGAGTCTATGACCATCAACGCAATCGTCTGTACTGTACTGTGTCCAATAGGTCAACGAGTCGAGTATGGAGAGGAGTCGGTCTATCGGTATAGAGAACAAGTGGACGATCGACACCAATGCATACAAAGCTTATGGATAAACACTACTGTATGATACCATAGTTGAAGTTGGATGAGAAAGCACCAAGAAGTGTTTCCCCCCCCCCCCCCTCCCCAATTGAAGTTACAAACTCCAGATTCTATCACCATTTTCAATCCAACGAAAGAAAATACAGTCAGATCCAATTGAATATAATAACACCAACCTTTAAGGGACTTTAACGTTTGCAGATCTATTGTCGACTTTGCATTGAATCGTGATGAACTTTGACGAAGTTTGACTGCGGTATTAATAACTGAAACGCGTTTTCCACCGTTCAACGCTTGTTTGCCTAAGTATGGTGGTACAGCATGAGCCTGCCCATGAGGAGAAAATGACCGTAATATTAGTAATGAGAACGATATCCAAGTCAATGTTCATGTTGTTCATTAATACCATAAGTACTTTTACTCAATTGTTAACAATAAGAATCATTCAGTAGTACGTCTTAAAATGCAACCTATCAAGGATATCATTAAGGCTAAAATGATTGCGATCAATTATCTGCCTACATTGACATTTTCCATAGCCGAAATTTCTGAAAAATTGCCTGTCCTCAATGATTGTCCTACTAAGTTGTAAATCGATTCAATTCAGTTCAATCTTGCACTTCAATGGATGCTTCAATTGTGCAAGACGGTAATATCCGGTAGATTCTGTGCTCGTCGTCTCCAAATTTGCAGATATTGAGAGAAAGTGCCAGTTCAATTCCAGTAAGGATTGGTCGATCCTCTACTACCAGATTAATATTCACTTCTACTCAGTTTAAATAGCCAACGATGGATTACCAAATCGCGTAGCGACAGCAAAAGCTTTGAATGCAGTCTTCTGACCTTCACAAACGTGATAAAAACTCCTGTCTGGTAAAGCGGTATAGTACAGTAGAGTCGAGTCGTCGATGTTGATGCGACAGTCTTCCACAGTACCATGGACTGTATTATACAGTAGATAGTCCAGTACGTCCAGCATTGACAGTACGGTACAGAACAGTCCAGTCCAGTAGTCGGAGTCTACAGTACTGTGCACTGTGACCTATAGTACTGTGCATTGTAGCCTACAGTACACTATGCATACACTAATACTGTACTGTACTGTACACTACAGTAAAACGCTTGCAAACTCAGTACACAAAGTACTGTACTACAGGAGAAAAGAATCTTTTCCTTTTTTCTTTCCGCTACAGAGCTGTACAGAGGTACCTTGTCGGAGTGTACTGCGATCAAAAGTGACCGCGAAATACAGCCTTTTTAGCCGTCTCGAACTGTCATCATAACAAGATGGACAGCCAACAGTGCAAGTGTGCACTGTACTGTACACTGTACAGTCATGGATTCATGGTACAGCATACTGAGTAGTGAGTGCAAAGGGGCGACACAGTAAAACAACATCATCTTCAAACTACAGTACTGTACTGTACAGACTACAGTATGTACTGTAGGATGCTTGGGCGCATGAAATCACAAAGCAACAATCTACAGTACGGAGGAGTCTCAAGTCCAGTGTTGTCTGTATTTAGTCTCAACCAATACAATACAGTTAAGGTATAGAAAGGCTTTACACTCTTCAGTATGGCATCTTTCTACATTCGACGGGTAGTCATTTACATCGACTTGAGATCGATTGGATTGGAGATAGACTTTAGATCGATCACTGTCTCCAGACTACTGTTCTGTACAGTACTGTGTTCTACTGTACTGTACTGTACACTGTACAGTCTGTACTGTAGGATGCTTCGACGCATCAAGTCACTAAGCAACAATCGAATGCACGCAGTCTCAAGTCCAGTGTTGTCTAGTGTATTTAGTCTCAACCAATACAATACGGTTAAGGTATAGAAAGGCTTTACACACTTCAGTATGGCATCTTTCTACATTCGACGGGTAGTCATTTACGTCGACTTGAGATCGATTGGATTGGAGATAGACTTTAGATACTGTACACTGTACTGTACAGTACTGTACAGTACAGTACTGTAAATCACTGTCTTCAGACTACAGTACAGTACAGTGCACTACAGTACTGTACTGTAGGTCTACACTGTACTGTAGGATGCTTCGACGCATCAAGTCACAATGCAACAATCGAATGCACAGAGTCTCAAGTCCAGTGTTGTCGGTATTTAGCCTCAACCAATACAATACGGACGGTTACGGTATAGAAAGGCTTTGCACACTTCAGTTAGTTCAGTATGGCATATTTCTATATTCCAGGGGTAATGATTCACATCGACTTTAGATAATCTGCGATACAGTATGGAAATGTTAAAATCGCCTAAAAGATTTCTTTTGGATAAGAAAATTACATAATTGTCATACACTATAGATAGTCAATGCCATAATGATAGACAAACCAATCGAATTCTTTTCTATTTCAAACAAATCTGGTAAACTATCGTACAGTACTTGTGTCTACTATACCGTAAATAAATAAATAACAAATCAATCGATAAATAAATACTATTACAGTGCAATATCTCTACTGTACTCTACTACTGGACTACAGTATTGTTCAGTGACAATTGAGCACAGGTATTGCATTACCAAGACAGCACCACATAACTGTTTAATAGTGTGCAAAACGGTATAGTATTTCCGTGCATCATCAAGATCAATTGATCCTTGCAAGGTACTCCATATCCACAACCCACTGACATCAATCACGAATCAATCATGTTCAATCTATTCATAAAAAATACTATCTAAGTTTAGATGACTGCTAAAGATTGAATGCACACATTTCAGTACAAAGTACCTTGTCATGCGCTCAGCTGGAGAAAAAAATAAATAATGACCCGGGATAGCCGAAATTAGTTCCTGTTTATTAGTAGTTCTTATCGTTAGACGTGAATTCTGTACAGATATCCGCAACTATTATAACGCGATTACAGTCGATGGATGGAACGCTTGTACGTCGATAAACATCCACCACAACGGATCATTTCGTTTGGTAGAAGTAGCTACTGTATGGTGCCGTATGCTAATAAAATGATATAGTATTGCAACTTTTTAGACGTCAAAACATGGACTTTTAAAAGACTACTTAAAAGTCCCCCATCAAAGTATGGCCAACAATATCGTAGCAAAATATCAATTGATACTTGAAAGTTTTAAATTAATCCCCCAAATTTTCAACCATGCTTGTATTGTAACCGTTGAACTACTGTATTAGCCTGTATACTACACAGTATAGACATAACAAATGAAGTTTACAATCGGACATCACTCAATACGAGCTCATATATAGACACTAATCGCAACATGCGTATATATTCAGACCTCAAAACCTCCGACAGTTGCACCCGCCGTGCCTTAAGTTCTAAGCTATCATTGCTTTTGTCTGCAATTGAAATAAATCTAAAGTATAAAAACTCCATATAGACAATGAAAAGTCCTTGTGTGTACTATCAATGCCTCAAATAATGTTTCTATTTTGTAAAATGATTTCTCCTACTTCTATCATCGTATACACTATGCAGTACAGTGAAAAAAAACTGCTTTGAGTGATATGATTTTCATCTTTCATATTTATATCTCAGCGATTAAAATGTCATTTGAAGTCGTAGCAAAATGAATGAAATCGATCCTGTACTTGTTATGTATTAGTGGTAAACTGTAATACTAATCCTTAAGGTTCGAACCCTACACTACAGTAATCGAATGAACTAATTATGAATTTAAGTAGATTAGAGAAGTATATTGTACCGCCTTTATGTACAGTACTGTATATAGAATGTCCGAGCAATGTACTAGAAAAAGTATTTTTTACAATGATCATAGACAAATTAACTAATTATGAATGTAAGTAGCTGAGAGAAGTATATTGTACCGCGTGCATATTAGGTTGTAAAGTATGCACTTTATGTACAGTATATATTGTCATATATATCTGTATATAAAATTAAGAACCGTATACTATATTACTGAAAGATTTTTGTGGCTCGAACAATACTTTTTGTCAGTCCCATCGCGTATATACATTGGAATTCATGTTGAATTATATTAGACATTCTATCCTGAACACAATTTTAGCGCAGCTTCTTTCACAAATTCAAGTTCTATCATTTGGTTCTTCTTTCGCGAATTGCATATATGATGTACTGTACAGTACTGTACAGTACAGTATATCTGCAAGTACATACCGTACAGTATGCAAGGACTAGCATGAATTATACTGTACGTGGATTGTGTGGCATTGTGCCGAATATCGAGTACAGTAGTCCATCTGTCCATGGTAGTATACAGAGTGTGGACTACTACAAGTACAGTATAGTACTGTACTGTACTCGGTATAACGACTGGTTAACATTCAAGGTGTGCTTACTGGTACAGTACCGTACAGTACTTATAGCGCGTGGATCTGAAGGTGAGTACTGTATGTTAGTACGGTAGGGTTGTACCATCGATTCCGACGAAGAGGCCGTTGTGCCTAACAGTTAGCCTAATGGCCGACGTCTTTGCAGAAAAATTAGCACATTTCACCACTTCCACTTCAAAATATTTCACAGATTTCAAGAAAAATCGCCAGGTTGGATCTGAATCGACGTCTTCAATAGAACTATGCAGAAGTGAGTATATTCAGGAAAGGAAATCTTTGCTTAATCATTCAACCATGAGATATTCTAGTACTGCATCGCGATACGTTTGCCATCATGATTGCTAGGCACTAGCATCCAATTCTGCCATTCTCATTGTGCTTGCAAACACGCATGGTAGTGCAATTTGTGTAGGCAATACTAATATACAATAATCTACAACCAAGAAATGCAAATGCTAAATTGAAGTTAATTATTAACTTGCAAATTTGGAATATCGTGTAGTCGCAATCGTATCTAAATCAGTGATCTAATGCGTTAAGATAGCAAACTACTGTAGTACAGATATGCTGAAACTACATCGCAATATTACAAAGCTGCATACGTACAGTATATTTAATTTCTACTATTTGATGATGACAGTACGAGCTAGGACTACTCTCTAGGGGCATCGTATCTAAATCAGTAATCTAATGCGTTAAGATAGCAAACTACTATAGTACAGATATGCTGAAACTACATCGCAATAATACAAAGCTGTATACGTACAGTATATATAGTTTCTACTATTTGATGATGACAGTACGAGCTAGGACTACTTTCTAGGAGCATCGTATCTAAATCAGTAATCTAATGCGTTGAGAAAGCAAACTACTGTAGTACAGATTTGCTGAAACTACATCGCAGTAATACAAAGCTGCATGCGTACAGTATATCTAATTTCTACTATTTGATGATGACAGTACGAGCTAGGACTACTTTCTAGGGGCATCGTATCTAAATCAGTAATCTAATGCGTTGAGAAAGCAAACTACTGTAGTACAGATATGCTGAAACTACATCGCAATAATACGAAGCTGTATACGTACAGTATATGTAGTTACTACTATTTGGTGTCGACAGTACGAGCTAGGACCGCTTTCTAGGGGCTAGTATTTATTTATCAATGTTTTGGTATATTGTAACCGTAAAATACGTAGTGTGCGCATATTTATTCGTATACATGCTGTAAATTTTACATTGCTTAGATACTCGTATGCGCATAATGCTTTACAAATGCGTAGCTACAGAATGTGTGTGTACATTCATTAATTATTGGCTTTGGCAATGTATCTGATACGTATCTCAACAATAATCTTTTGCTCATGAATTGCACTACATAATGTTGAGATATATTCTGTCTCTTTGGCGCTTCACATCAGATGCTTTTGTAAGAAAAAAGTCCACTCCTAGCATTATAGCTGAAAGCTAGAGCCAATCTATAATCCAGCACAAACAGTAAAATTAGACACTTGAGGACATGCGTATTGCCAAAATTGAATGCTAAGTCGATAGCTTAGTGTATGTACGCTATGGTCATAACTTTATTGCTTAATTAATTCCTACTTCGTAGCGGAACACAATCACTATGTACAGATGCCTCCTCTCGAACAATACATGGGATCTTCCGTAGAACAGCGGCGTCAATTAGTCTACCAGGTAAAGCTAAATTTTAATGCAACTTCTAACTACACATGTTTTCACTATCGTAGAGTGCATAGCCAGCATCTAAGTAATAAATTTTGCTGTCAGTATTGATAATACTTTAAGAAAGTATCATTTTCGATTTGATTGCATAGACTTTAAAAATAGGTGATATTGTTGATGGAATTGTAACCTCGAAGAGGCCCTTTGGATTATCTGTGTTACTTCTCAGTCTCTATAATCATCGCCAACTCCATATGTCCAACTTGGAAATTTATGCTTCATGTCATGCGTCCGAATTTGAAATTTATCCGGATAAACCCGTTCATTCTCGATTAAAACAGATTGAAGATTATGCAGTTGATGATTTCGTAAGAGGTACAGCAACTGGAAACAAATTTTAGCATTAATAATTCAGTAGTAATTGTATGACTACGCCCAGATCCTGTACTATTTGTCTTAAATATTTTGCTTGCAATTTTTCAACCACCCTTCGTATTATTGATTATGTTACATTCACACAAGATATTTTTGACCTTTTACTATAGGAGTGATCTATAAAATTGACATTTCCAGTGATGAAATTATGATATCTCTACAGCAAGAAAAACTCTTAAAACTATTCAAGAACGTTACTCTTGTAAGCTAATATCGACGCTAAAATATCAATTTATTATTATTATTTTATTTACAATGACAAAATTCTTTCTAACGGTGATGCTTTATTAAAATTTTCACTTGTAACACCGTACTTCACTATACTTAAACACCTTTACTAGCACTCTATCAATATTTACTAGAAATTATTCAGAAAAATAGTACTAACAGTTATAATAATTATAGGGAATGATTGAAAAAGCTGATATTCCATACTTTTGCACAGAGTAAGTTGAAATAAATACCTATAAATATGGTTAAAAGCCTAGCAATTGTGGCAATTTTGACCTGTTTGTTAGCAATTAGATAGGCGAACCTAAATTTCATAATTCTAAAGATTATATATTATTCTGTTTTATATTTAACAATTAAGAAAAATAATGAAGAGTCGAGATACCAATTGGGAAGACTATAACCAGTATCTAAAAAAGCAACCGGCTTTTTACAATACAAAGAGCATCAATACTTTATCCAATCTTCTAGGAATCGATAAAAAAGCTAAAATAGCTTTCCTTAATGAGCAGCAAAGGTAGACAAAAATTGAATGTATCCTTTAATTTCTTTCGATAGTTGTTGAACTTATGTTCGGCTGTATCAATACAGATAATTATATTGAAATTTACGAGCTTATTTAACCCGCTTCCAACCACTCTCTACCACCTATAAGTTACCCAAATGAAAACTTCTACGACAATCTCCGTACCAATCAGAACCGAACTTGGTCCACTGATATGTCAGCTAGGAATAAATTTAAATATTTACCGTAGTACCAAATATATCGATAAATTAATCTATGCCATATGTATATTCCATTGTACGTAGTCTGGCAATCGCAATTGAGTATTTTAAACAAGGAAATAATTCTGAAGCAATGATACAAATTCAGCAGTCCTTAAAAATCGATAAGAGCAATTACGAAGCAATCGTAGCCAAAGGAGCAATGTAAAATTCTTAAGAAAATTACCAATAGCGTTCACAATTAAAAATGCCGACAGTGTCTAATATCAATCTATCAAAAAATTTAACTCCAAACTTTAGAATGGCCAATGAAGGTCACTTTGAAGCTGCAATAGATTCCTTTGAAGAAGCACTGCAACTAAATCCTAAGCATCGGAATGGTTTAAAATATCTATGTGAGACGTTGCAAACAATGGCTGAAAGGTAGCCGATATGTACAGTAATTTGCTGTCTATTAAACACAATGACGTTAGAATTTACGAAATCAACATATTTCTCTTCTCACACGATGGCTATATTGCTAAATGATATTATTAAGCTTAGTTAAAATATACTCACTAATAATTGTGAATTGACTTTCAATTTCTCTAGATCAATTAATGATCTTGATTACCGTACTGCAAGCAAGTTTTATGAAAAATTATTAAAGTACAATCCAGCCAAAGAAGCAGAAATCGGGAATAAACTAGCATTGTGCCGTGAAGCCATTCATAAGCGTGCTGCATCAGTAAGTTATTTCCTATAAGGCTTACAACAATATTTAAAGTTCAAGCATCTGCAAGATTGTGTTTGTATAAGTTACGATTATACATTTGGATGATGACGTATAAGTATCTTGTGTAATACCTGTATCAAATTCGATCACCAGCAAAATTAAGCTGACTCAATAATTTATCTGGAAGATATATTATTCCTAGTACAGACTGCTTTGCATTAACGCAAGCCACTGATGTCACACTCTTCTATCATAAATTTCGTAATTGTCACTGAAGATTATTTTAGTAGTGTAATTATAAACTACTGTTAAAATTCTGCCAAGTAGCTAATCAAAACATAACTTTATCATTACTATTACTACTTGTTTTTTAAAGTAAAATCGTACCCATAGTAGTCCATACCCTCAGTTTAAATAAATGATCGCAAACGCTACGAAGACATTCTTACAACACTTTAACCATTTTGTAACCTAATAGAAAATGAATTCATCCAAAGATAAAGCAGCATCGCGCATACGTCAAGAAAGCAGTACTAACACGAGTAATCTCCACAACATTAAAAAAATTTTAGCGGCTGAAAATTTATCACCAAAGTCTCATAATTCTTCTAAAAAGTAGGTGGAAGGAATTCATTACTAATCTAAATATTCAAGAATTTTCACATTTAAAATTAGAATGTATTTAATTATTTGATTATTAATTACAGTTTATTATTGCGTAAAAGACTACTTTTGCATGAATTATTTAATATTAATAATTAAACTGTTTCAACTCAGAAAAAAGAAGAAAAAGAAATCAAAGAAAAAGATAAAGCGCAAAAAGAGTGGAATTAACAGCTCATGTGAAGACTTTGACAATGATTATGATTACAATGATAGAAAACATAGTAAACATCACAAACATAAATCACAAAAGCGAAAGCGGCAGCAGGATAATTCGTCAAATAGCGATAGTACTACGGATTACGCTAGCAATAGTAGCAGTAGTGCTGAAAAAAAGAAAAAAAGAAAATAGTTTACAACAATGAAGATTGTTAATAAGATGATTTAGCTTCAAATGGAACCCAATCATACACATCATCAGCGGTCGATTTCTCGCCACAAGTTCTTTCCATACAGAGATCGGTTTGATAACTCCTTTCACCGCACATTATTACAACAATTACTAAACATTAGGCAAATCTATTCCATCCATAAATTGCCTAGAGGCTAACATGCGGAAGCAAGATTTTATAACCCTTAGCTTTTCACATTTTGTATCGTTTGTAATTTCACGTTGAAATGTGTTTTATACTAACTATATGAGCTCCTGTAGTGCAACCTGTGTCTCACTATATTTGTTATTGTATACTTTTTTCTAACTGGAACGAGTAGTGAAGAAAAAAGGCGGATATCACAATATTGTAAACGATCCTTCGCCTTAGCAGTGACAGCAATTTGTACGACATAGGTACCGCTCTTACATGATACTATGAGTATTATATATATACTGTATTTATGCATGTTGGATAGCTGTTTTGTACATATAAATACAAATACATGTAAAAATATGTAACCTATACTTTTATTTTCTTCCGATTTGTTCTTAATAACAACTTGATTACCCTGAAATTGCTAATTTCTTTAACTAAATGGAAATGTACTGTATATACGAAAGATTGCTGTACATATTGTTAATGTAATACTTGCTGCAATTGCTACTACTACGCAGTACAAACTTAACAAGTCTTCTTGTAATTAAAAAAATGTTTGTAACCAATGCATTCATATTTGCAACACTAAATCTATTACGATCATAGAGACGGATATTAGCTATCAACTATGATCTTAAGAATGTATACCCGATCCCCAGGGATTTTAGTGATAAGACATAAACGGAATACACGATTTCTAATACAGTACACCTGAGCACTTTCTATAACTACAAAATAGTTTCCATAGTGCAATCTTTGTATAAACAACACTGCAAGTGATGCTTTCATCTTAGTAGTCTTGTTCACAGTCCGGATAGACTAATACTGGATAGTAAGGCTACGAATATTAAGTTACAAATCGTTGATATTTGACTAGGATTAAATTTTTCATTATTGAGTCTTTTTAATAACTTATACATGGCAAGAAAATCACCGCATCTAGAACCAGATTTCATCATATCGACTCTATACTGTTCTATAACATATGCAAAATCTAAAGGTATCTTGAAAATACGAGTAGGAGTAAATGCCTTTAGTAGGCATAGTGTTTTAGCTGTTTACTACGATCATAATATGAGCTATGACAGCTTGCACTACTAACAGACTCACAAAATGCATGAGATGATCGTAGAAACAATAATCTGTCCTTTTACTAGTATGACTTGGCTTAGTGACAGATTTGTATAAATATTCCAGTCAGCCTGTACAGTAAATCGATGTACTTTTCAAATATAAGCTATGATTCAAGACTACTCATTACCGCTCGTGCTAATTAATAAATCGCAGATTTGCTGCAGGCAAATTTGCAAGCAGTCATTTCGAGTTTCGATAGAGCAATTTCATAGCAGACCTGTATAGTTGTGGTTAAACTCTGTAGTCATTCTGCATTGTATAGTATTTAAACTGAATTCTAGATCAATGGATCCCCGAATGTTATAAAAACTTTCCGTTTATAAATTCATGCAAAAATAAATCATCCTTATTCAGCTCCTAAGGCCTAACATTCCCTTCAGTAGATACCTCTTTCTTCTGCAATTGATTTTTGCGTATCGTACAGGCAAACCTTTAGAGAAAGTCGTGCATTTTATCCTACGATAATTCGTATAGGAAATATTGCCTAATCTGCCTTTAGCCAATTTTGTTAAGCAGTAATTAATGTAGCTGTTCTTCTTATTAATTTCCTCTCTGACCGACTGAGGTCTGTCTGAGGCCTTAGCTAAATGTTTTCTAAAATGTAAACATGGACTAGTGCATGTATCCTCAACAGTCTAATACACGAGCTAACAATATATGGCTTAGTATTTCAAATCTACCATTCGTAAGCTAAATTCGAAACTCTTCAAAAAGTGCCGCGAAAGTCTAAAATTAGAGTGTTTCCTTGACAAGTTGGCAGCTAGCGACCTGATGAAATTGGCTACCAAGTAGTTAAGAATTCTGTATTTTATAATAATTAATCAAGGGTGAAATGTGCATCTACAGTTTCATAGAGTAAAAGGTTTTCATTACGATTATACTGAAGCAGCCATGGAAAATTGGGCTAGCGATCCAGATGACGATAGCGACGTGCCTATATGGTTAGTACCTTATCTAGCAAGATGTTTTTCTAGAGCAGGAATCATTTTATGAGTAGATAGAATAGGATAGAGTAACAGCGTAGCAAGAATGGTCTACTTCAGCAGTAAAGTATAACCTGATGCATGCACAGAATTGCTGAAATGGAGTTGTAAAATTGACAGCAGTTGTAGGAATAATGAGAAGTAGAGAAAAAAATTCGCCGCATAAACTGTACTGTAGTTTGGGTAAAGGTCACACTAGAAATTTTACTCGCCCTATGACTAAGCATTAAGCTACATACGCACATTCTATTTTAAATCGTTTAAGATCAATTTGATCCATCGTTTATTATCCTTGAAGTAATGATCGAATTTAGCCTGTAAAATTGACTTAATCTGTTAAGAAAAACACATAGTATAAAGCCCAGTTCAGCTGGATCAACATAGAGAAATAGCCGACTTGATCATTTCCTGTTGTCTGTAATGTGGTAGACAAGCAAAACTATGCAAAACCACTTAGCAGTGTAGTGTAACTTTAGGTCATTAATCTTATTCTTACAGTAGGCCAGTTTTAACGAAGTGTACAAATTCATGCAAAATGGCTAGAGCTAACGGACAGTTGTACTCTAGCTATATGTTCAGCCATGGAAGAATTTTTTATACCACAACAGCGTTGATAACCTTCAACAAAATATGACTATATACGCGTATGCAGAATATGGAGTATACTAAATGTACAGTAGATGATGTAAATGAGAATGATTTACCAAAAAATAGCATACATGATGGGTTGTTAGCTCGACTTATAAAATAGTCTCATAAAAGTATTTGATACATATGCCCTACTTAATTTATTGTGGATGCGCCAGCACGACTTGTTTGAGCAGGTTCAAAAATTTCCATGATTCACTTTCGTTAGATAGTACTTTTGTAAAATTACCTCCGATATTTCGTATCTAAAATATATGTATTAATTAATTTTGCTTGCGATATCTCGCTTGATCTGACAGTATGCACCTGTTGCAAGCCTTATGATGAAAGCAATGTAATAGATATGATCAAAGTTTTACTATTGCTGGTACTGATCATTTTGCACATGTTGATGTTAAATGCTACATATATCAACTGTACTGTACAGTAGATAACTGAATACTTCGATAATCCCAATATTTTGAGCAGACACTGCACAAAAGTAATCATCCTTTAGTCCCAAGATCTCTACTATATGTACTGTATTTATACGTCTATCGTTTCTTCAATGGATATGCTCTCTGTACAGAAAGTACAGTAACTCGCAACAGTAAATGATAAACTAGCTATCAACGTAAAATTTTATCCAAGTCATAATTCTACTTTATTGACGCTTGAGGTACAGTATATAAGAAATTACTTACTGTTAAATCATTAAACACTCGAATTTGTCCACATTTTGTCCTATATCACATCCAAACAACAAAATGAAAGTAAAATATTTTGCAGTTAAATTTTTATTAAAATAGCTAATGCACCGGAACAGAATAGCACATCTACTTTACATCAGTAACTGTTGATGCTTGCTATTCACTATTCCTTATTAACGTTTGAATCAAATCTACGACTAGTCATAGCGCGAAAAAACGGCAAGTCATGATAAAGTCCGATAGCTCTGGCTCAGAGGACATTAGCGACGATATTAGAACACCGCAAGATATCTGTAATAAAAGGAAAAAGTCCAAGTTGGTGTCTCGAAAATTAGATTATGGTCAAATCGGCACAAGCGACAACGACACCCATAGTGAAGACGATACTACTTTTTCCGCGTCGTATAAAACAGGTCATCAAAGAAATCGAAATACAACTAAAGTTCCTGATAATGAAAATATCAGCTGTGGCAATTTCAAGCGCCGTAGGTCAACACGTTTGAAAAAAAGAAATCGAAATATAACTGAAGTTTCGGATAATGAAGATATCAGCTATGGTAATTTTAAACGCCGTAGATCAACACGTTTAAAAGAAAAGAATCAAAAGGCAACCGATAACTTTGCATCTATAAAGCAAAAGTGTATGTATCCTAGCTCTGTCACTTTATACTTTATATCCTGTATTAACTATTATTTCTTACTGCTGGAATTTGTCACATTTCTAAAATTTAAACTAGTGATAATTACAAAGTAATAGTACTATTTCCGTTGTTAGACAATATCAAGTTTTTCGTAGTATTCTTTTCTATTATCGTGAGATGATTGAAAGATCATCAATGATTGGGCGTTTTCAATCATAGTTATAAAATATAGAAAAGGCAATGCGATAAACTAATGTCGGTTAACAGCAAACTTAATATTGCATTACACGCCGTGTGTGAACTTCAATCAGTAATACGCTGTTGATACGCTGTTTTAAAGTCGATTAACTAAAACTCCTTTAAGAAATTATGTACTCTTATACGCTGCATAGGTGAATATAGTTAATAATGTTATACTATCATTATTTACTCACAAACTACTACCAGATCCTGAAAATAATTACGATATATCTGGACTTCAACACCCTATCAATCAGTCTCCGTCGGAAGCTTCTAGCGTAGATTCAGTACAATTGGAATGGCTCGTCTCGGATGATCATGAATCTAATGATGGTTACAAAACGTCTCCCGAATCGGATGTTATTAAAAATAAAGGAATCAATCAACAAAATTATCATTATGATGGGGAGAGTGCGAATCAGTCGGATAATGCATCATCGACACCGTAAATTTATTATTTTGTACACATTCATTTCCTGTATTAACTTACTAGCGCCAATAATGTATGCGTAAATCTATTCCTCCTTCAGACCTTCATCTTCGTATTCTATACGACGGTCAAACAGAATAGCAACAGTTGAAAAAAATAAAGTCAAAGAAGTTACAGCCTTGAAAGAAAGGCTGCAAAATAGAAGTAGGTGATAAAATGATTACGTGCACAGTACTTGTTCAAAATATGTATTCTTTAATTAATTATCTAATGATACAAAGTATCTAAGAAAAGCTACCAAACAAACTGATGTACAGGATAATTTCCTAATTATTACTCATTATGAATTCATCGTTAAATTTACACGTATTGTTGTGTAATTATAAAATTATAATTAATAGAAGCTGAAAGCCCTGAAAGTGAAAGATATATCATCTCGGATTCTGAAGATATCGACAGCTTTGGTAGTAGTAACGACATTAATAGCCCTATGGTCGATAAAATAATCAAACCCCATGATTATAATGCTAATGGTAAGCTATAGTCACGACTATATAGAAAGCAGAACTGTGATACACTATTATTTACTTAATAAAAGTCATTCGATACCATTATCTACTTACTGGTAACGTTTACAGTAGATACTGTGACATCATGTCTTTTGGTAACTGATAACATAAAATCCTAAATATGTACATTTGTTAATAGCACATTTCTGAAGGTTGATTGATTGCTTTTTCAGTTGTATTATCAGATAGTGATGACTCTGAAGCCTTATCAGAAGAAGCTATTGAGGTATATATATATATTTTAATTTCGTATCAAGCCACGTCGTCTAAGGTAATTATTTTGAATAGCGTGTGCTGTCTGTTATGAACACATCTAGGTTTCCGAATATCAAGCTCGGAGGCAGCCATTTGGTAAATAGCTCAGTTATACATGTGAAACAGTATTTACAATTAATAAAAAGCACGAAATATTAATGTTGCTTTCATTACTGCAGAGTTGACAAAATTCCGGGAAAAGATGCATTCACTTGCCCAGCCCTTAAAAGAATGTTTTTGTATCTACATCCAATACATTGCATCTGTAGCTATCGATGATCAATTCGCTGACGAAGTCACCGCCGAAAACGGTAAGTTTGGAATATAAACCATTACCAAACAACAGATTAGGAACGTCATTTGAATTTAATTCTCCAACTGATTAATAAATATTAAAACTTGATACAATTTATGAGAATTTTAATTTTAATCCCATAATTGTCATAGTTGACTATTTTTTGAAGCCAAAGAATCGAATAGAAAGTCTTATTGATGCCAAAGTCAGTATCCTACAAAGTACAGCCTGGCAGTCAAATTTTAAGGTAAAATAAGTAACATATATGAATAAGTTTAACTCTCACCTATACTATCACCATTATAAAAGCATGTAAAAATGCGAGATTATAATTTACGCGCTTTCATAAACGTTTATGACGTGTATTAGAAAAGTTTACATTTGTATACTATGCATTAATTGCGTAACATATTCCGAATATCTTATACTATATGCTAATTACAAGCTATTTAGTTTAACAACAGCAACGATTTACTTTGAGTGCTATAGAGTCTTATCGCTATTAAGATAAGTAACACTTGGATGCTAGTTATAGCCCACAAGAAAGAATGTACATCATGTTAATTATTAAGTTAGATCGTTTTTTAGTGTGCCCCAGATTAACTTTGTTTATATATTTCTAATTATAATAGCAAATATTCTTAATAAATTTCAGGCATCACTAGAAAAGTATCCAATGATCATTACTTACGAATTACCGGGCCAACGAGACTGCGAGGTAAATGTGTACTCTCGTTTATTACTTAGTGTTGAAATTTCTCCATAATTTGTTCCGTAAAAAAATATTATCTATAAAATTAAGGCATGCAGGCTATCAAACAGAATTGCTACCTGGAGTCTCACATTTAATGGAAGAGCCTATTGTCGTGATACTTTTAAGGTATTTTTCAAATTTTGCTTACCAACGATCCATCGTACTTGTTGAGTCGTATCAAAAATACAACAGAGACTTTGATAGTTGTACAAATTAATTTTAATTCTTGTGTATCAATACGTTGATTGATAAGAAATCTACTTTAATTATATCAGGAGATACCAGATGATGAGCCTAGCAAGAAATCGGTAAGTACGTATAAAGATTTGAAAATCAAAGTTACGTCAAGTTAGATTTCACTAATTCTCTCCGATCTTCTTACATATAACTTAAAGATTTGAACTGATCGTGATAACCGCTATACGAATATAGTTATGAAACTGTACATCATTAATTAATTATCAATAATCTTTGCTACACCAGTTCTATTTAGGTAGATTCTGTAAAGTACGATCAACAATCTACCATAAACTGTACCATTACAAATTCAAATTATTTAACAAGATAACCTCAAAAGTAAGGCGATAGCGATCATTCATAATACCAGTTTAGACAAATATATAAATGACTCCTAATTAATTTTTATAATAAAAATGTTAAAATATTTAATCCAATACAATCATTAAAGATATAGTTATTCATCTTATTAAAATTAACATTATTATATTTTTACCTACCAGATAAATAGCCGATATTGCGAATCAGACTGTAGAATAATTGAAACTATTATAAATGACGATAATATCATGGACCAGTTTTACAATCAATATCAAATGTTACTGACTGAGGCGGATAAGTTCATTCAGGATTCTACATAATCATTTACAAATTACATCTATATTTTTATCTTAACAAATTTTTATACAAATTTACTTGATATCATGAATCTAAAAGTAGAGACCTCTTAAGTAAATGTCGTCACAAATACTAACTATTTTGATAATCGGAGTTTTCTGGGCTACCACCAAGCTAATACACTACTATATCATAACATCAAGATAAGTCTGAACTTGAGAAATATTAATATTAAGAAAACTTAGATACCTGTTTTAAGATTCCTTAAATTTTAATATATTCAAAATTAATTGATTATGCAAGGTAGTAATGATATAATGCTAGACTAATATAAATATATATGCGTATATATATTTTTATTTGTCATTACAAATAACTAAATTAAATGGATAACCATAAAATGTGCTATTCCTTTATGATATCTAATCATACTCGCTAATTTTGAACATAACGAATGTATATTCTCATTTTCGGTAATCTTGCCATATCAAACCTGCAACTATATATACAAATAGCAGTTCTTGGCATAACTACAGAACGTTGTAAACAGCGATATACTCGTAGATATATCAAAAATACTTCATTATATGCTTACAAAACTTGTGCAACGTCTAAAAATTGATAGATAATCTTGAATGACATAGTGATTATTCAGCAAGCTAAGAAGACTCTATTATCGGTAATATTTTCACACACTACTCTCAATAGCATTGAATTAAACTTGTTTGTAATGTTAATAAGTTTACATAGCGTTATTATCTATATTTAGTAAACTTACTAACTACATATAAACTTTAACTTTATATCGCGCTCAGTCTGTAACAACCATTGCAGCGAGCTTCTATAAAATTTAAGTGGAGCTACCGCGACTTTCGCAATTAAATTAATAAGGTGCCAGAATAAATGAATAATTGATCTATGTACATCAAAGGCTTTATTATTTATACTCATATATCATTACAAAGTGGTGCAAGATAGACCAATCACAATATTATAATCAAATTTATCCTCACACAGTTCTAATTCGTCAAATATTACTATAACATTAAATGAAGATGTTAGGGGTACAATACATATGTAAAATTTAGAACATAAAAGATCCAATTTACTTAATTTGTTATCTTAAATAATTTATTAACATGAAGTTAATTCAATTTTAAACAAAATAAGTCGCAGATAAATATGTTTGTACTCAGTTTATAAAGTAAATTAGATTCTATATCATATCTCCGCACTCATAAATTACATTTTGACACTTAAACCTCATCAAGATTATCATATACTTGTACATTTACTATAAAGTAATTTATCTATAAGATCTTACTTTCGTCAGATTCTTCGGTTTCAGTCAGTAGATTGGTATGATGATCAAACTTTTCAGCTTGCTGGTCGATATTATTTTGAATTTCAGGCTGAAAGTCAATGTTATCATGTGCTACAGTCTGCGTTTTAATATTATCTTGTTCCGCATTGTATAATTTGACATTATCTCCTGTTACAACCCGCCGATAAATATTCTCTTGTTTCTCAGATTGATCATTTACTTTCACAATTTTAATATCGCTAGTCATATCTTGTCCTTGAATATCATATCCAGGCTGTTCTAAAGTCACACTCGATTTACGCCTTCCTGCGATCCATCTTAAACTATGCGATAATATATCCGAATAGCCACTAGTTCCCTTTCTATCATCTTGATTTATAAGCCCATTTTCAGAGAGAATATTATCTTCATTTTGATGCTGATTTACCTGGCTTGAATTGCCATAATCATTGGTGGTAAGTTCTCGTACAGTTATTCCATTACCGGTATTGTTATTGTCATGCCCAGCAAAAGAATCATCATTTCCTCCATCTTTCTTATGTGATATGCCTCTGCCTTTATTGCGGCTATTACGAATTTCATACGCTTTTCGTTTTGGTTTAACCCCACGAAAGAAGTTAGCAGAAGCACGAATTGAGCTTTTCCTTTTCCATGCTGCCTCATTTTCATCAACAAAGATAGGATTTGCTGTTATTTCTTGCGTCTTTGGTTTTCCTTTGCTGAAAGAAAAATGCCTCTTAAAAATGAAATTGGATAATTCCGATTTCTTGGTGTCAATCTGATCTTGAGAATCAGTATCATATTTGCGCTTAATTAACCAAGCAGTTGCAATCAGCACCAAAATTAATAAAGCCGTCCCAGTAATCAGTAAAGGTAGTATAAAAGATGGCACTAGTCGAAATATGTAAAATTAATCGATGAGATGAGCAATAAAGAATAATATGTAACATTAATTCGGTCCATGAAATCTCCAATCGATAAAAATTGGCACATAAATATGAAAATAGCTCACAGAACAAACATCGATACATGCAATACATTATAGAATCTATCGCTTATTTATCAAGATTATACGGTAGGCAATTCTCGATTTGATTTCGAGCATAAATTGTAATATGTTGTTATTTAGGGACGAAAAATTTTTAATTCCTCTAACGGATTAATATCTTTAGTCAATTGCATATAGAAAATAAATACATTTCTACTTCGCTAATATAGAGGTATTTGATGAATCTATATACTTTTAGTATCTCTTACCAGTAGTTGGTAGTGTAAAGATAATATGGCGAAGATTTCCACGAATATAAGGGCCAGATAATGTTTGATTAAGATCATTCATGATTAATTCTGCAGCACTGATCTTAGGGGATGACTAAAATGATAAAGATATTTTATCATTTCTTAACCCGTCGTAACTATTTTAAGCAAAGTCTTAATATACATTCATATTCATAAGCTATTCCTCGTCCAATATTCGGTATTGCTTTACATTTCTATCAAACCATATCGATAAATACACGTATTCAAAGTTTTTCTAGTTTTAACCTATTTCTAAATAGAATAGGCATGGAATACTCATCACAACAGTCAACTTACGATTGCAATCAATAATTGACGGTATCGGGCTTGAAAAAGAGTAGAAGCATTGGATTGACATCCAATAGTAATGCTGGTATTAGTATAATACTGTATGGATCTTATAGATCTGATTTCTTGGCAAATTGACTCGACAGTTATATTCTAAACGAAGGATAAAAGGCATAAGCTCACGATCTTGTATTACTCAGAAGTCTATCATTAAATAGTAATACCTTTACTTCACCTATTTTAATATTAGTTCATAAATTTATAAGCTAACACACTAACCTGAGTGAATTGACTTATATCAATATAAACGGTTCTCAAGATGCATTTTTGCAATGGCCTATTTCGTATACAATCTGTCACTATTTGATTTTCTGTAGAACTACAGTAACCATATTGGGAGCAAGATGTTGATAGACACCAGGATTTTGGCACTACAGTACAAGGCTTTGATGTTTCAGAACAATCATTCCCACTCTGGCAAAAAGTTAAACCACACCATAGCTAAAAATTAACAGAGGATTCGAAAATTAATGTTATCATTCATTACGTGGGCAAAATTTTATCACAGAGCGTGAATCCCTGTATTAATACATTTCGTTTCTATATCACTGGAAATGTTGTAATAAATTGATAGAACAGTGTCAGAATAAAGTACATATTGTTAATTCTCCTTTACGATATTTACCAATCCTCGTAAATATATTGCTATTTAAATTCTTTACCTGACTACAGATAACCTTTCCTTGCAAACAATAACAGCTATTGCATTGATTTTTCCACTGTCTTCCAGTTGGATAGACTACTGAAGCTGTAAAAATATAAGCGATCAGACTTTGACTTGCGAAACTAGCCTATAAAGTTATATCTATGTTTATGATTCACTGTATCGACTCTTTGTAGACAGTAAATTACGCTAAGAAACTGTTCAAGATTTACGTAATTTAGTAGTCATATGAAAGAAATGAAAATATATCATGATATAGTAGGTGTAAAAATATTAAAAAACTGTTCAAGATTTACATAATTTAGTATTCATATGAAAGAACAAAAGCCATATCATGATCACCTCACAAGCAGGTTGATAAGAATGCGATAGAACATTTAAGAATGGAATATATACCAGTTACAAGATCTAGTAAGGTATATCTAGAGCAAAGCGAAATTAAACTAGCGCATTTAATTCAGTTTAGCATACCATTAGATCCTTTTATCGACCATTTACAATCCGAAGGTTTATATTGACACTGATATCCCCAATAACCTTGATCACATTGGCATAAATAGCTTGTATCATTAAGACGCTGGCAAAGTCCATACTTACAAGGGTTACTTGAACATGGATTTGCATAGACTGGAGATACCTAGTCACGCATATAATATTTCAAATGAAGAATAGATACAACACTAATATAAGCTTGGTTAGAATTACACTTGTAATCGATCATGGCTAATCTATATTGGCTTAAATTATTATTAAAATTTAATAATCTCCATAGATCTAATTAGCGGACATGTTACAGCATTCCTAGGACTGATTTTGTCCTTAAGATTAATCACGGTCAATACTAAAGGCTGCAATCATTACAGTGACCTTACTACACTGGTGATAAAATTATCCGGTCTTATAACACTTGTTAAATATTTAAAAGTTAAGAAGATTAGCTAATGATGATTTGTTCGGTAATATAGTAGTATATATTATAAAAATCAATTGCGAAAAGTCCCCTGCTCTTCATTCACTCAGAATTAGGAAGCTGCATCTTAAAGGCAGATTACAGTATTTTAAGACGCTTTGGCCTTTGGCTTACAGTACAATTCGCATTTCTGTCTTAAATAAGCCCCTCTTAGTGAAGTAATTAGATTTTAGATTTTACCGTTTTATTATTAAATGTTTGACGATACAAATGTCCGTCTACTATTATTAATATGATGCAGTATTGTAGATACGTTACTATTAAATAGCATGTGCCAAATATTATTTGCATTAGCAGTCTTAGGTTATTTTGCGGTAAATAAGCGGATATTCTCACTTCTTTCCGTTAGAATAAACCTTCACGATGCAATACAAATTTACAAGGGTTGTAATCAATTAAAATATTAATTCAGAACTACAGGATATACTCATAGTCAATGTTTTTCTAACTATATTTTGATTAAGTAAAGCAATGTATTCTGGAAACTTGGCTCTCTAACCATTCTTAGCATTTTTTTACCGTTAATAATACAGTAAATGAAGTGAATGAATATAGTAGACTTACTTAGTAATAACGAATCATAGCTTGCAATAACAAGCTCCCAGTCTCCGTTCACTTTATGTATTGACTAAATGCTGACCAATCCAGTTATTAATTGTATCCGTATATAGATCATAACGGTTTAAACCGAACCGAACCTTTCTCAGGTCTATATCCGTTATTTAACTCGTAACGAATAACTAATGAAAATGTTTGCACGTATAGTATTTTAAGATAAAATTAGCCTGAGAATATGCGGTACCGTACATATTATATCTTAATCCATCGAATAGTTTCTTTGCAAGTTATGTAACTCGAGGTTACGTAAAGTCTTACGTCGATATTTAATGTTTCTGTTTGTCAAATCATTTCATACTATATTATAACTTTTATATCCATATACTTCTACCAAAAGTTGTCAATACTCTACTTGTTGAAAGTCTTACGTCGATATTTAATGCTCCTAGTTGTTAAAATCGTTTCACATTACATCATAAGGCTACTAACCATGCACTTCTATAGAAAATTGCCAATTCTCTACCTGTTGAAAGTCTAACGTCGATATTTAATGTTCCTGATTTTTGAAATCATTTTACACTATATTATAAAAGTTTATAACCACATACTTCTACGAAAGTTGTGAATTCTCTACCTGTTGAATCTCTCTTTGATAGTTAATGTTTCTGATTGTTAAAATCATTTTACACTACATTCTGAGATTTATAACCACGGACTTTTACAAGAATTTGTCAATTCTCCATTTGTTGAAAGTCTTACGTCGATATTTAATGATCCTGGTTGTTAAAATCATCTTACTCTATATTATAAAGTTTATAACCATATACTTCTACAAAAGTTGTCAATTCTCTACCTGCTGAATCTCTTACTATTCATTCTTGTCAGTTAATCTTACTAGTGCTTACATTAGTAAGATTATCTTTCAAGAATGTCAAAATTGTTGAAACAAATGTATAAAAGCACCGGCATCATAAGGTATAAAAATACTAACACTAATTTTTGTCAGACTATTCGTATCACCATAAGAGAAAAAATAAAATTACGACAAGACAGTAATTTATAGATCATTTACCTGATAGCTAAATGAAAAAATCAAGACAGGTAACATCCAGTAGTAGAGCAAAGAAAGAAGAATTTTTGTGGTAACAACCATTTTGATTGATGATAATTCTTTTACTCTTCATCTACTTGAAACATTCGGATAATTAGAAACATGACTACTCGTAGCCATCAACAAGACAAGATAACCTATGACGATAAAAAGATTATAGAGCCAATAGGATCGCTAAATATTAAGATCGAAAAATATCAGCCTACTAATATAATACACTTACTACCTAATAAGACAAACTCAATCCCTGTGACGATAATTCGTAGTCCTTAAAAGTACGTATAATAGAATCATTATGCCATATCGGATTAAGTAAACGAAACGATAGCTGTCAAAAGAGTTATGTTAATTCTATACGGCAATCCTCAATAATAGGATAACCATCTTCCGATCACAATGCTAATAAAACAATGAAATATGACATAGTATCCATAATTAATAGCTAGATCGCTGGATAACGCAGCTTCCATACAATTGTTGTATTCGCTATATTGACATAGGTGGTATAACCTTTACAATATATTATACCAATCGTAGTATTGTTGACGATGGATTATACAATTCAAATTTACTTCCAATCTTTTATATTCCTCCTAATCCATACAAAAACTTGCTAATAAGATCTGTGGTAAATATGCGTAGATCTTATAAGTTTTGCGACTATATCCATCTACTACTGTCTTCTATGCTTTAATCTGCGCTCTAATCCAATCTTTTTTTCTCCCAGATGGCTACAAAAACTTGTCAGTAAGATCTGTGGTAAATGCGCACACTTCTCGAGAGCTTTGCGGTTAAAATCCATTTATTACTCTCTTCTATAGTTCAATATGTGTTCCAATCTAATCTTTTACATTTTCCCTGATCGATACGAAAACTTGTTAGTAAGATCTCCGGTAAATAAGCGTAGTTTTTGAAAGCTTTGCGGCTATGCAGTATATCCATTTATTACTTTCTTCTGTAGTTCAATGTGCGTTCTAATCCAATCTTTTACATTCTCCCTGATTGATACAAAATTTGTCAGTAAGATCAGTGCTAAATAGGCGCAATTCCTGAAAGTTTTAAGGTTATATATCTATTTATTGCTGTCTCCTGTAGTTCCGTGTGTTCCAATCTAGCCTTTTATAATCTTCCTGATCCATACAAATACCTGTCAGTAAGATTTTTGGGAAGTATGCGTAGTTCTTGAAAGCTTTGAGGCTATATTCATTTACTACTGTCTTACGTCGTACGTAGTTCAATGTGTATTTTAAATTGGAAAATAGTTTAAAATTTGCCAAGACAATTATCAGATCAAGCATATATTGTATGACAAAGCTTATCTGCAACGGGAAGTAATTTATTCCAGTTATAAAATCAGACCTATAAGTAATTAAATCGAAAAATTACTATCAAAACTTTTTTAAAGTGAGATTTGTTCCCTTGGTTATCATTAACACGTTCATATACTACCAAACATCTAGCATAAATAAATGATACAAGATCTTAGGAGAATAATTTAGCAATACAGGTAATTTTAACTTTAGGTTAATGTTATAATGGCGGATGTTCATGCTCAGACATTTTTTATTACATCAAATTCCCCTTCTTATTAACAGCAAATTCATTCAATTGTAGGTGGACAATAATGCTAGAAAATCTTTCATATGTTGATGTTTCATAAATCCAGATATTAAACCCAAGGATGATCTTTTATGCCCGAGTATACATCTTTGCAATTGTGCTAGTATTAGCATTAATGTTAACTAAAAGATCAATCCCTAAGGCATCATATTATATTGAATGAGTAGCATAATTCATATTCCAACTACTGTAGTACAAGTGTCATATTTTAAACGTTTACGATATTAGGCAATTATAAAATCAGTAGATATTCAAGATACACTGACAAGTAACGGTGCAACTTGTGAGTAGTTGGATACTTCCAAGAATGTATTGGAAATGATAGTGATTGCAATAAACAGTATCGGAAAAATTGAACATTACAATGATAGCCATTACACTCATAGTTTCTAGCTTTACCTTCTAATAAAATAACGCCTTGAGCAAAAGCCATTTTAATTAGCATGTTGATAATAGTTTGCTATGTAGATGGTAGAATAAAGTGTAACAGTATGCTGCCAACATACCATAAGCATGGGTACTGTGATTGTGGTCAGAATTATGTAAAAATTAACTGAAGGTCAGAAGGATAGATTAAACTTATTCTAATAAATTTGTGATGATTGCAATAATTATTCTACAACACCATCATGATAAATATCACTTAGAATTTGTAGGTAAAATAAATCTTGACCTATTCTAAAGTATCTCTAACTTAATGTGCTACCATAATATACAATTAACTAAGTTGATAAAACTTAGTTGTTTACGATTTAGGTTGATCAACGATGATCGATTGTAAACTCTAAAATTTTATTAGTAGCTGGACTAAGAACTTTCTGGCAAGTATAGTTGTCATGATCTAGAAGTTACAATAAGAAATGAAGTATCCAATAATTTCAACACTAATTAGCAATCAATTGACCATAGTAAATACATACTCCCACGCATAAATTACTAGTAGTTCATGTTGCGTCTAATAAATACGAAGAGTAAATCAAAATAGAATCACTTTCATATGATATAGAAGAATACAATAGGAATAAAGTAAAGCCAACAGCTGATACTTTTTTTTTACTTTAATCGACATCAGGTATTCCAAGTTAACTAAAAACTGTATTCTACTTCGATCAGTATCTTGTAACTCTAATGCTGTATATTCTATAACAATCACAAAATCTGATAAGAATGTAAACATAAAAGTATTTTCACAAATTTGCAGTCATAACAAGAAATAATTAAATTTTAATTTCATTAATAACAATAATAAATATTTACCACAGTATACTAGAAGACTCAATTATATACTGCAGCTGATGAGATCAAATTTATAAAAGTACAATATATAATTTTAACTTGCAGTTAATCCCGCAAAAATCTGCGTGCTATCCTGGCCGTGTTTTGCCTAGAGTTAGTTTATAGATCATAGTTGAGATATATAATTAGGTCTGTTTTCAAGTCTAATCATAATAACGGATAGATTATTTGCATGTATAATTTAAGAAATCTTTACTAAAATTTATAGTCAATTATCGGCTACAGCCAATTAGTTATCATGCCTTAGAGGTATTTAATATGGCTAATTAAATAGTTAAAATAAAATGATATTCAAAGCTAGATATTTTTAATTAAGGGGCTTATAGGTAAAATTAGCGGAAATGTCATTATTCTCCATTACTATAATTCTGGATGATATCGATTCTCTTTTTTACATCGTTATGAATTAATATTGATCATTATTGAATCATACGCATCATTCCCAAATTCTTTCATTGCAGAGCAATATGAAATCAGAACAGTAATTTTATAAGTGTCGATGGGGATAAAGATCTGAACGAATTTTCAAAGAATGTACTGATCAGTTTTAAAGTCATTATCGTTTAGAATTTTGTCCTAATAGAACTAAATTTGTGACCGTAGATTGTACTTGATCTCTCGATAACAGTACTTCAAAGTAATCAATATTTAGTTTTAGGCACTCAAATTTGCAAGTACAAGGCGCCATCAAACAATTTATTACCTAAAATAAATGAAAATTTTTTCCAGTACATTATTTCGCGTAGTAACAATACCGAAACAAAATCAATAATTTAATATTGCATATTTTCTACTATGTGATGGCAAATGTCCAATATAATTATGAATAGTTCATTCCAGACTAGGGTTAGACCCAGAATCGGAATTTGGGCAGAAAATTTCAATGGACCAGTAATAGACAACGCATTGATTTATCAAGGAATCATCCTGAGGCTATTTCAACTCTCACGCTATGATTTTTTCCGTTTCAGCTAAGATACACAAGAGGCTTAGGATAACTTAAGCAGAATATTAGGAAGGAAGCTCAGTCCGTAAAAATTTGATCTAGCATCGACATTGAAATGATATGGAAAGATATGGATTAAAAAGAGGTGTTTGCATTAGATGGTAGTCTGGAAATTCTTTAAATTCTTTCGACAATTTCAAAATAAATAGAAGTTGTTGCGGGAGTAAAATTGCAATAGCGTGAAAAGACACCTCCTAGGTATATGCATATAATAAATTAATTTGCTTTTAAGTGTTTGTTCCGGATATCCCAATGTATGTATCATAAACGATATAGGAGAGTTGGCACTGATTTTTTGGCATTTTTTTCATACCGGAATAAAATAATTGCTGGCAAAATGAAACTGAGTATTCTATTATGGATTGAAAACAAATTTGACTATATTTGCTGCAATTAATATTAAACAGTTATAACATTTAGTGTACTGCGTCGCTGAATTAGAGATTGCGATATATAGGAAATGCCACTCACACTTTGTAACTTATGGACATGATACAATCCAGGTAATATAGAAGAGATGAAGACTAAATAATATCTTTCAAATATGATGCTTTACCATCCTATTGCTTGTAAGACTGCTATTTGAACTCATATGTGGAAGTATGCAAGCAAAAAACTTAGAGGCACCAATTATTTCTTTCTCGCAATCCATTCTCTGGCACTACTGTATAGAATACTGTTACTATTTTTCGATAAAGAGCTCACATAGTTATAAGGTAATTTATTTTACTGAAATAGAGGCCATCACACCGAAAAATACTGCACCAAGGTGTAATAAGTAATATCTACTCATTAATAATCTTCATAATATTTCTTCTTATTGTGACTTTCATAATAAAATACAAATTTGTAGAAGTATTTTATCATCTAATTTTATATACCATTACTAAGTACTAGCAACAAGCCTCTCAGAATGCATCTCAAGCGCATTATCCCTTCTTAAGGTATAAGAAGAGTATCATCCTTGTTGCAATAAAATGGATCATCTAACGGAGTTTAAGCGATTTTCATATTACTTTCTGATCGTAGTAGACATTAACACTAATTAATAGAGTCAATTAATGATATTTACCACTATAGGGAGTATCTTTAACTTAATTTCGCTAATTGATAATATTTC